CTAGCTCACTGATTGAGACACAGCATGCACGGCGAAAGCCGGCAGCTGGACGCCCTTCTTCCACCTACACAGGGGGGAAGAAAGGAACACGAGAGGCTACACCTTCCCCTTTGAGCAAGGGAAAGCAACCCGTAACCTCAAACACCTTCGAGGTCTTAGGGGCTTTAGATGAGAGAGACTTTGAGGGACCTGCACAAAGGGGAACTAGGCCTTCCAAAGGGCTAGCATCCTCCACTACGAGGGACTCACCTAGTCCAACCCCCCATACTAGATCCCCCCGGGTTATCCGACCCCCCATACTCACCCACCCCACTCCACCCATTAGTGTCTCTCCACCACCTAGCTCCTCCCCGCCCATTCACTCCTCCCCACGTAGAAGGAGTCCTTCACCTCTTAGTCCCCACCGACCGAGGTCTACCCCTTTCTCTGAGGGTATAGGCTTGGGCCCTATCCATCCCCCTCAAATCCCTGTTGATGATCTATTAGGAGGGTCTACCCCCAGCATACTTCCTATTAGTACATCTTACGTAGCCCCCCATTCTGATTCTTATACCCTCCCCCCCTCTCCCCTATTACAACCGTCAGATCAGTTTCCTATACTTGATCCACCACCCGCTAATTCTAGGGAGAGCCCCGATAGAGGACAGTGCTTAACGAATCGTCAAGCACCACACCCATCCTCTTCATCTAGTGCTCATGATACTACGGGCCACACGACTAGTACCCATGAGGATGGTAGCTCTGAGACTGACATTGAGACTACCTACCTAGAGGAGGGATATCAGACGGAGGTTAGGACCACACGACTCACTAGACGCTCACCTTACTCCACGAGATCTAGGACTCGTGGGGCCACTCACTAGATCATGATACCTAGCATCATATGGAATTGTCGAGGTATAGGCAACCTCGAAACCCAATTCTATATAGCTAGCCTTATCAGACAGTATCGACTAGGTATAGTAGGCCTCATTGAGCCTATGATATCATCAGATCGTATCCAACCCTTACTTAGGAGGTTAGGTATGGATCATTTTCACTCCAACCCCACGAATCATATTTGGATCTTTTGGACTAGACCATACTCTATGGAGTTGCTAGTCGAGGGACCCCAGCATATCACTATGACGGCTCGAGATCTCACCCAAGAGTTCACCTTCTCGGTCATCTATGCATCACATAGATCCGAAGAAAGAGAAACTCTTTGGACGGACCTAGTTCAATACGTGAGGGACTACCCTACACTAGTTGAGTCTCCTTGGTACCTAGCAGGTGACTTCAACTGTGTCCGTAATACTAGTGAACGTCAAGGTGGGCGAATCCCTAGGGCCCGTAACATGGAGATGTTCAATGATTGTATTTTTCGATTAGCTCTTATTGAGCCACCTACATCAGGCGAGGCATGGACGTGGAGCAACAATCGAGGGGACGCTTTGATTTATGAGCGTATCGATCGTTGTTTCATCAACAGCATCGCCATGATGCGACATCCCATATTAGTCACGATATTACCCCGTTATAGGTCAGATCACACCCCGATCCTCATACTCCCTAAACAGAGTATGAGCACCCATAGACCCCCCTTCAGATTTCAAACCATGTGGCTCCAACATGAAAACTTTCAGAGTTTCGTACAGAATCACTGGTACGGACAGATCTCAGATTCTCCTATGGAGAACCTTAGCTATAAGTTAAGGAATCTCAAACTCCACCTTAAATGGTGGAACCGACATATCTATGGGAATGTCCATACCCAAGTTGATGCATTGCAAAAAGAGTTAGCAGAAGTTGAAAGACTACTGCAAGCTAGATATTCAGATGCTGCTTGGGAAAGGAGGAGTAGAGTGAGTGACCAGCTTGATGAAGTTGTGCGACGACAGGAGTTATTCTATCTCCAGAAATCACGCATCCAGTGGTTACAAGAGGGTGATAGAAACACTCGTTTCTTTCATGCCTCGGTCGCTCATCGCTCACGTTCAGATTATACCTCTCTTTTAGAGACATATGATCATGACCTTTCCCGCATGCAGGAGGCAGGGGTTGAGTACTTTCGTACTCTCTTAACCTCTCAGCCGATTGAGATTTCTGATGATATGCTCACTTCGATCCCATCATTGGTCACTCACCGTGAGAACTCTCTCATAACAGCCATACCCACGGGAGAAGAGATCAAGGAAGTAGTTTTCTCTATGAGTAGACATCGTGCACCCGGGCCAGATGGTTTCCCAGCTGATTTTTACATTTCATGTTGGGATATCGTTGGCACTGATCTCATCCAGGCCATCAAGGAAATCTTTCGTCGTAAAGTCTTTACACGAAGTTGGAAGGCCACCTTCCTTGCACTTATACCAAAGGTGACTACCCCAACCTCATTTAGAGACTTTCGACCTATCAGTTTGTGTAACGTGTGTTATAAAGTTGTATCTAAGATCGTTACACGTAGATTGAGTAGTTTCCTTGATAGACTTATATCTCCAGAACAATGCGGATTTGTCAAGGGACGGTACATTCACGATAACATCATGCTAGTACATGAACTAGCACAATCCCTTGGCCATGATTGTCGAGGCTCTAACATCATCATCAAATTAGACATGGAGAAGGCCTTTGATAGGATAGAGTGGAGTTTCCTCATTAAGGTTCTTAGACGCTTTGGGTTCACCGACGACTTCATTGACTTAGTTGATGCATGTGTTAGAGAGAATCATTTCTCTTTATTAGTGAACGGTAGCTCCACACCATTCTTCACGGCCACGAGAGGTCTACGACAGGGCGATCCACTATCACCCACCCTCTTCATCTTAGTTGAAGAAGTCCTCAGTCGATCCCTCACCCGAGCGATCAATCAAGGACTAATCCGACCACACTACTCAAAGAGGGGTTGCCCGATCATCTCACACTCCCTCTTTGCTGATGATGCGATACTCTTCCTCAATGGATGTGAGACATCCATTAGAGGGCTCATGAGTATTATCTCGAGGTATGAGCGAGCTGCAGGTCAACTCGTAAATGCCTCGAAGAGTAGCTTCATAGTAGGCCCTTCTACCCCCATAGGGACCATACGACGCATCCAGGGCCTAACAGGGTTCTCTCGTGGACACTTACCTTTTGACTATCTAGGATGTCCTATCTTCCTCGGCCGTAGGCGCATACACTATTTTGACGCCCTAGTGGGCAAGTTGAGGAAGAAACTAGCAGGATGGAAGTTACAACTTCTATCCCCTGGAGGACGGATCCAGTTGATACGCCATGTCCTCATGAGCATACCATTACACCTTTTGGCAGTCCATGAGGTACCAGACACCGTCTTACAGACTATTAGACGGATATGCACGTCCTTCCTTTGGGATGGACAACTTGAGGGACCTCGTCGTCAACGCCGAGTTTCTTGGGAGAAAGCATGTCGACCTACGGATGAGGGTGGCCTAGGTATTAGGCGCCCTCAAGATGTACTTAACATGCTTCAAAAGAAACTCATTTGGAGGATGAAGACCACACCATCGGTGCTAGGCTCTTTTGTGTCAGCCAAATATGGCGAGTGGGCTCGACAGCCGGCCGACATCAAAGGAGTCAAACGATGGGCAGACTGGCAGCGACATTGGTTGGAGATGGTGCCTCTTATTCGCTGGCGAGTGGGGCGAGGCGAGATCAGTGCCTGGTACAACACTTGGCTAGAGGACACACTATTGGCCAGTTTTACCACTTTCACATCTTCTTGGCCTCGCTTGACGGTAGCCGAGCTTCTCCAAGGAGACACTCGTCTACTTATTGAGAGGCATGGACTACCGTCGGACTTGTTACCAGCCATCACCATGACTAAGATGAGTTTTACTGAGGACCAACCCATCTGGACACTTACCATAGATGGCAGTTTCTCTTGTAGCTCCTCTTGGGAGCACTTTAGAAACCGCTCCCCAAATACATTTTGGGGAAATCTCATATGGCATCCGGCCATCACACCTCGTGTTTCGTTCTTCTTGTGGAAGTTCATGCACCGAGGACTACCCACCGACGATCGAGTGATTGTCACCGATCAGGAGGTGGAAAGGAAATGTCATTGTTGCTCCATCACGACAGACGAAAGTCTGGAACATTTATTTTTCCATAGTGATATCGCTGTCGAGTGTTGGCGTCAACTTCTAGCGAATTGGCTTCCAATGCTCTCGTACAGACCTACGAGACCACCACTAGAGGTCTTTAGGAGAGTCTTTGACTCACCAACGAGTGTCAAGGTTTGTCCTTTCATCCGTATCTCCATAGCATATATGTTACGGGAAATATGGAAGGGACGTAACTCATCTCGATATGCAGGCCAAGTGATGCGTGCCACAGAGATTATGAGGCACGTAACACAATGGTTTCGGAGTACTCATTCCTTAGTGCCAAATAAAACGAAACGCTCGCGTTCTGTTTGTGAGGCTTTTGGGCTTTGGGGACTCCATATCATACCTACACAGACCTGGACTACTGTCCGATCTGTTAGATGGACACCACCGAGGGCTGGACAGTGGAAACTCAACGTCGACGGAGCATCTCAAGGCAACCCAGGATCATCTGGAGGAGGCGGTATCTTACGCAATAGTACAGGATGCATTCTCTTTGCCTTTTCGAACTTTTATAATATGCAAACTAATACTGTGGCAGAGGCTATGGCAATACGGGATGGTTTGTTTCTTTGTGAGGAGCAAAATATTACTAACATTGTTTTAGAATCTGATTCCAAAGTGTTAGTGGACATGTTACGTGCAGACTCTTGTCCTCATTGGAGGCTCAAGAATATCTGGACAGACATCATGCGATGTCGAAGACGCATCACAACTATTACGCATCAATTCCGAGAAGGGAATCAGACAGCTGACGCCCTTGCTGCGCATGGAGTCAGATCGCGTCGAAGGACAGTCTTCTCTTTTTGGCAGGACATGCCCCTGGAAGCCCGAGGTGCTCATAGACTTGAGCGACTCGGCATACCCTCTTTACGCATACACCGCACTCCACTACCGGCCTCTCCACGACAGTGGCATATTGCTTGGAGGAGATCAGGGGTGGTTACTATTGGCCGCTGAAGACCACAATGGAGATACAGCACAACACGGACAACAAGGCACATCGTAATCCACTCGGGTACATTACTTCCAATCATTACTCTCCTCATAATCACATCACATCTACTATCTATCATGCTCAAGTAGTGAGGACATAGAACTATCAGCATATGTTGGCATCGGCCCACTTTTGAACTATAGGTCTATAGCACATCAGACCTGCCAAACTAGTTGTGAATCGGCAACCTAGCACCTCTCTCAAGATCTTATTAGTACCATCAGCCAGCTTGAACCCATGAGAAGGTAAAGATCTATATCCATAGGATTGACCCTCTCTCCTCTCTCTCTCTCTCGATTCTCTATTTCTTTCTCCCTCCCTTTCTCTCTCTAGAAAAAAAAAAAAAAAAAAAAAAAAGAAGAAAAAAGAGACAGCCTACTTCTTTTCCCAGAATCACTAGCCCATCATAGACAATTAGTGGAGGGTGAGGGAAAGGGCCCTAAAACCAAAAAACAAAAAAAAAAAAAAAAAAGGGCAACCTTTTTCCCTTCCCTTAATCACTAGCCTAATGTACACCAAATAATGGGCATTAGTGGAGGGTAAAAGAAGAGGCTCTCAAGGAGAGAGAAAGAAGAGAGAGAGAATAAGAGAAAAGAAAAGAGTTAGAACCAGAGACCAAGTCATTCCTCGTGGGGTGAAAGGTCCCTTACCTACTTAGAGGAAGTACGGCAACTGATGATACTAACAAGATCTTGGCCAGAGGGATTAGGCGCGTGCAACACTAGCAAGGCAAGTTCATATTTGGGCTTATTGTCATGCTTCAGCATAGTTCTATCCTCCTCACTACCCTAATCACTCTTTTCTCACCACTTTATATCAATGTATTTATCTCTTAGAACCACTTACTGCAGCAAACTCTTGTCTTGCAGGAACATTGCATGGCGCACAACATGGAGCTCTCGTCCTACTCTTGTTGAGCAGATCTTCCAACTTTCATAAACTCAAAAGCTTTTTCAACCCACTGCAAATCAATCACCTTCCTCAAATATGATGAACGTCATGGAGTCTACCTCTAGTATCATCACATCCCCTCTTCAAAAGAGGTCTTTCATTCTTCATGTCATCCTCGCCCCTTGTGCGAATGAGATCCCACTTATGTAACCTCGGAATGAGGTCAAACTTTTATCACTCAATCAAATTTCTTCTTCTTAAAAAAAAAAAAAAAAAAAACCCTAAACCCTAAACCCTAAACTGTAAACCCTAAACCCTAAACCCTAAACCCTAAAACCCTAAACCCTAAACCCTAAACCTCAGTCCAGGTCTGTGTAGGTATGATATGGAGTCCCTAAAGCCCAAAAGCCTCACAAACAGAACGCGAGCGTTTCGTTTTATTTGGCACTAAGGAATGAGTACTCCGAAGCCATTGTGTTACGTGCCTCATAATCTCTGTGGCACGCATCACTTGGCCTGCATATCGAGATGAGTTACGTCCCTTCCATATTTCCCATAACATATATGCTATGGAGATACGGATGAAAGGACAAACCTTGACACTCGTCGGTGAGTCAAAGACTCTCCTAAAGACCTCTAGTGGTGGTCTCGTAGGTCTATACGAGAGCATTGGAAGCCAATTCGCTAGAAGTTGACGCCAACACTCGACAGCGATATCACTATGGAAAAATAAATGTTCCATACTTTCGTCTGTCGTGATGGAGCAACAATGACATTTCCTTTCCACCTCCTGATCGGTGACAATCACTCGATCGTCGGTGGGTAGTCCTCGGTGCATGAACTTCCACAAGAAGAACGAAACACGAGGTGTGATGGCCGGATGCCATATGAGATTTCCCCAAAATGTCTTTGGGGAGCGGTTTCTAAAGTGCTCCCAAGAGGAGCTACAAGAGAAACTGCCATCTATGGTAAGTGTCCAGATGGGTTGGTCCTCAGTAAAACTCATCTCAGTCATGGTGATGGCTGGTAACAAGTCCGACGGTAGTCCATGCCTCTCAATAAGTAGACGAGTGTCTCCTTGGAGAAGCTGGGCTACCGTCAAGCAAGGCCAAGAAGATGTGAAAGTGGTAAAACAGGCCAATAGTGTGTCCTCTAGCCAAGTGTCGTACCAGGCACTGATCTCGCCTCGCCCCACTCGCCAACGAATAAGAGGCACCATCTCCAACCAATGTCACTGCCAGTCTGCCCATCGTTTGACTCCTTTGATGTCAGCCGGCTGTCAAGCCCACTCACCATATTTGGCTGACACAAAAGTACCTAGCACCGATGGTGTGGTCCTCATCCTCCAAATGAGTTTCTTTTGAAGCATGTTAAATACATTTTGAGGGCGCCTAATACCTAGGCCACCCTCATCCGTAGGTCGACATGCTTTCTCCTAAGAAACTCGGCGTTGACGACGAGGTCCCTCAAGTTGTCCATCCCAAAGGAAGGACGTACATATCCGTCTAATAGTTTGTAAGACGGTGTCTGGTATCTCATGGACTGCCAAAAGGTGTAATGGTATGCTCATGAGAACATGGCGTATCAACTGGATCCATCCTCCAGGGGATAGAAGTTGTAACTTCCATCTTGCTAGTTTCTTCCTTAACTTGCCCACTAGGGTGTCAAAATAGTGTATGCGCCTACGACCGAGGAAGATAGGACATCCTAGATAGTCAAAAGGTAAGTGTCCACGAGAGAACCCCGTTAGGCCCTGGATGCGTCGTATGGTCCCTATGGGGGTAGAAGGGCGTCGTATGGTCCCTATTGCTTGGACAACTTGAGGGACCTCGTCGTCAACGCCGAGTTTCTTGGGAGAAAGCATGTCGACCTACGGATGAGGGTGGCCTAGGTATTAGGCGCCCTCAAAATGTACTTAACATGCTTCAAAAGAAACTCATTTGGAGGATGAGGACCACACCATCGGTGCTAGGTACTTTTGTGTTAGCCAAATATGGTGAGTGGGCTCGACAGCCGGCTGACATCAAAGGAGTCAAACGATGGGCAGACTGGCAGCGACATTGGTTGGAGATGGTGCCTCTTATTCGTTGGCGAGTGGGGCGAGGCGAGATCAGTGCCTGGTACGACACTTGGCTAGAGGACACACCATTGGCCTGTTTTACCACTTTCACATCTTCTTGGCCTCGCTTGACGGTAGCCCAGCTTCTCCAAGGAGACACTCGTCTACTTATTGAGAGGCATGGACTACCGAGCAGGCCACAGTAGCCGAAGCCACGATGGCCGTGGCGGCTCAGTCTCAGGCCCAGCCGGCCGAGGTTGCGCGGAACACGGTCGTGCCAGACAAGACCGCGCAGCCCAAGGGTCCGAAGGCTAAAGCTTGTAGGACCCAACCACCGGCCCAGACTAAACCGGCCCAGACCAAGCCAGCCCAGGCCTCACCGGCCCAGACCCCACCGACCCAGGCCCCAACGGCCCAAACCGCTCAGGCCCGGACCGCTCAGGTCCAGGCCGCTCAGGTCCAGACTGAGCTGGACCAGCACACCCAATCACAGCCCACCCAGGCCCCAGACCTACTAGCCCAAACCTCTGAAACCGGAGCTGCTCAGGCCCAAGCCAAGCTAACCCAGCCCACCCAAGCCCCAGCCAAGTCTTGGGCCCAACGACTAGTAGGACAACAACCCACTCCTACAGTGGCAAATACACCGAGATGCGAACTACACCCCACTTATGCTGATGGAATACCGTCACGGGGTTACACTAATGAAGGGGGAATGAGAACAGTCTCATTTTCTTCGAATGAGGTCTCCCAACTGGCGGAGGCCTTCCAATTTTCATTGATAGGGCGTTTCTCTACGAAACGTCCCCACCTAGATGATATTTATAGGATCTATTTGGCCCCAGGACATTTTCAGGGTAAGGTAGTCATCGGTGCCCGTGATTATCGGAGCGTCTTTATCCGTTTTGAGCTCGAGGCTGACTATCGGAAAGCTTGGAGTCGGACCACATGGGAGATTCAGGATACCATTATGCATACATATAGATGGACCCCACAGACAGACGGTATTTCCCGAGGGAAACAACCGCACTCCATTCCAGTTTGGATAGGTTTTCCTAGTCTACCAGCACATTTCTTCACGCCTAAGGCACTTGAGTCTTTGGCAAATGCAGTCAGTACATTTATACGCCTAGATCCAGGCGTTAAAATGTTTAACCGCCCAGGTTATGCACGAGTATGTGTAGAGATAGACCTCTTGGCCCCCCTTCAACGCATGATCATTGTGCAGAATGGGGATGAAAAGATCTATCAAACAGTTATATACGAGAGACTACCTCATTTTTGTACCCATTGCACAGTGTTTGGACACACCATCCACACTTGTCGACATAAGACCACCCCATCATCTTTAGAGTCTACTACGATTTATTTATCACCTATGTCATATGATAATTATATCAATGAGGCAAGGAAGACTACACCTAGCTGCCCTCCCATACAGAGCTCGCGTGCTCCCTCTCGACCATTGCCGGTCCAGACTAGTGTCCCTCCAGCCGGTTCTAGGGGACAACCCCACCTACATCAGTGTCACATCCTATCTCTCGAGCATCCACATCCACCCGAAAGGGAAGGAAGATGATAGTAGGCCCAACTCCCCCCATACCAATAGGTAAGGGGAAGATAGTCGAGACATCGAATGTTTTGAGGCTCTAGGTACCTTGATCGAGGAGGTTGACAATGTTCCCGTCATAGGGAACAATATCAGCCCACGAGTTCGACGACACTCCCCCAAACAAGGGGGCCCTACTACTACTTCACCTTTAACCCGCTCCTCTCCATCCATCAAGCTTTTAGCTCTTACTACCTCTCTATCACCAATTAGCTCTCCTTCATCCGTTAGACCTTCTACACTCTCACAACTTCCATCACCTATTAGCTCCTCATCACCTAGGTCTGCCCCCTCCCACACCACACCTCGCCCACCCTCCCACCCTCCCACCCCCCTCCATCACCCGATAGGGTCCCCGATAGGAGCCCATTAGATACATCCATATCCGACCCTCCTTCTCTTTCTCTTTCTCCCTCCCTACCATCCCAACCTCCGGATCCACCATTGAGCATACCCTTAGAGAGCTCGAGGGAGCGTGAGAGCCCTAGTAGGGGAGAATGCTCGATGAATCGTCGAGTAATCTCTCTTTCATCCTCAGTGGAGGACACTAGTGGGCGCTCTACATCGAGTGCTGAGGACTCTAGATCTGAGTCCTCATTAGATCTCCCCATTGAGGGCATTGACCTTTAGAGAGGATATCAGACAGAGATGGTAGATAGGACCTCACGACAACGTTCTCCATATGTCACCAGATCTAGGGCTCGTGGCAATAGCCACTATCACTCATGATACCTAGCCTTATTTGGAACTGTCGAGGGTTGGGCAACCTCGAAACACAGTCCCACATTATTGACCTCATCAATAAGCACCGACTAGGCCTTGTCGGGCTTATTGAACCTATGATACCATCAGATCACATTCACCCATTACTTAGACGCATAGGCATGGATCAGTTTCATTCTAACCCTACGAACCACATCTGGTTGTTCTGGAAGAGATCATATTCTCTACAACTATTAGTTGAGGGGCCACAACATGTTACGATGAGGGTACTAGGCTCTGGCCAAGAGCTTATTTTCTCAGTCGTTTATGCTTCACATAGACACCAAGATCGTGAGGTTCTTTGGGAAGACCTAGTACGATATACGCGGGATTATCCTATACTAGTTGATTCTCCTTGGTTCGTAGTCGGAGACTTCAACTGTGTACGTAGAATCACTGAACGTCAAGGGGGACGGGTCCCTCGGGCCCGTCACATAGAGACGTTCAATGATTTTATTTTTCGCGCGGCCCTCATCGAACATCCTACTTTTGGTGAGGTTTGGACGTGGTGCAACGAGAGACAAGGCGGCGCAAGGATATATGAGCGTATCGATCGTTGCTTCACTAATAACATTGCAATAGTGCAATGTCCCATATTAGTCACACTCCTACCTCGATATAGGTCAGATCACACGCCGATTCTTATTCTCCCTGACTCGAGAGCTAGTATCCCTAGACCTCCTTTTAGGTTTCAGAATATGTGGACTCGGCACGAAGGCTTCCAAAGCTTCGTGCGGAGTCATTGGCATGGAGATATCTCAGACTCTCCTATGGAGAACCTTAGTTACAAATTGAGGAATCTCAAACTTCACCTTAAATGGTGGAACCGACATGTATATGGGAATATCCACACCCAGGTAGAAGAGTTGAAGAAGGAGCTAGCTGGGGTCGAGAGACAACTACAGGCTCGATGGACTGATGACACTTGGGCGAGAAGAGTTCGAGTGAGTGAGCAACTAGAAGAGGCTGCACGACGACAAGAGATATATTATCTCCAAAAATCGCGCATCCAGTGGCTACGCGAGGGTGATAGGAACACACGTTTCTTTCATGCCTCGATCGCACACCGATCTCGATCTGATTATACATCTCTACTAGAGATGTATGATCAGGACACATCTCGTATGCAGGAGGCAGGAATTTCATACTTTCGTACCCTTCTTTCTTCTCAGCCGATTGAGATCTCTGAAGATATACTCTCATCGATTCCATCCTTAGTTACCCACCAAGAGATCTCATCCATTATGACCATACCTACTAGGGAGGAGATCAAAGATGTGATCTTCTCAATGAATAGAAACCGAGCACCTGGGCCTGATGGCTTTCCAGCAGATTTTTATTCAACATGTTGGGACATCGTCGGAACCGATTTAGTTCATGCCATCAAAGAATTCTTCCGCTGCAAAGTCTTCCCACGAAGTTGGAAAGCCACCTTTATTGCACTCATACCAAAGGTGGTCAACCCAACCTCTTTTAGAGATTTTCGGCCCATCAGTCTTTGTAATGTGTGCTATAAAGTTGTATCCAAGATCATTACAGCACGACTGAGTGTTTTTCTTGATAGGCTCATATCTCCAGAGCAATGCGGATTTGTTAAGGGACGGCACATTCATGATAACATCATGTTAGTTCACGAACTAACACAATCTCTTGATCAAGACATCCGTGGTTCTAATGTCATCATCAAATTAGACATGGAAAAGGCTTTTGATAGGATCGAGTGGAATTTCCTTACCGAAGTACTTCGACGCTTCGGATTCACCGACGAGTTCATTGACCTAGTCGATGCATGCATTAGGGAGAACCATTTCTCCCTATTGGTGAACAGCACTTCCACACCTTTCTTCACAGCCACGAGAGGGTTACGACAGGGGGATCCCTTATCACCCACTCTCTTCATATTAGTTGAAGAAGCCCTTAGTCGAACCCTCTCCCGAGCGGTGACACGTGGGCTTATTCAACCATACCATTCGAAGAGGGGTTGCCCGATCATATCGCATTCTTTGTTTGCGGATGATGCGATACTTTTCCTTAATGGGTGTGAAACATCCATCAAGGGACTCATGACTATCATCTCCAGCTACGAGCGGGCCGCAGGTCAACTCGTCAATGCCTCGAAGAGTAGCTTTATAGTTGCATCTTCTGCCACCATTAGCACCATACGACGCATACAGAACCTAACAGGGTTCTCGTGTGGTCATCTACCCTTTGATTACCTTGGATGTCCTATCTTCCTCGGACGCACTCGAGTTCATTACTTTGATTCCCTTTTGTGCAAGTTGAGGAAGAAACTTGACGGATGGAAGCTTCAGCTTCTATCTTCAAGAGGTCGCATCCAACTGATACGTCATGTCCTCATGAGTATGCCCTTGCACCTACTTGCGGTACATGGGGTACCGGACACCGTCTTACGATTTGTGAGGCGGATTTGTACCTCCTTCTTATGGGATGGTCAACTCGACGGGCCTCATCGTCAACGTCGAGTTTCTTGGAAAAAGGCATGTCGACCGATGGACAAGGGTGGCCTAGGGATTAAACGCCCTGAGGATATCCTCGATATGCTTCAAAAGAAACTCGTATGGCGGATGAGGACGACGAGATCACCCCTAGGGACCTTTGTACTAGCCAAATACGGGAATTGGGCTAGCCAACTTACCGACATAAAAGGAGGAAAGCGATGGGCAGATTGGCAAAGACATTGGTTGCAGATGAGGCCTTTAATCCGATGGCGAGTGGGACGAGGCACTATCAGTGCTTGGTATGACACTTGGTATGCGGATACTCCATTGGCCTCTTTTACCTCCTTTAGGCCATCTTGGCCTCGTCTCACGGTGGCTCAGCTTCTTGATGGAGATACTAGTGTATTCCTCGAGAGGCACGGACTCTCATTAGATTTACTACCAGAGATCTCATTAATAGAGTTGGACCCTAGTGATGATCATCCGATCTGGACTCTTACCTTAGATGGATGTTTTTCTTGTAGCTCTTCTTGGAATCACTTTAGACATCGTTCCGCAAAACAGTTTTGGGGAGATCTCATTTGGCACACTGCTATCGTACCTCGAGTCTCTTTCTTTATGTGGAAATTGATGCACCGTGGACTTCCTACAGATGATCGTATGTCTATCACAGGACATAACATCTGCTCTAAATGTCATTGTTGTCCCATCACTCCAAGTAGTGAAACTATGGGCCACTTATTTTTTCATGGTGTTAGAAACTCATTTGGAGGATGAAGACCACACCATCGGTGCTAGGTACTTTTGTGTCAGCCAAATATGGTGAGTGGGCTCGACAGCCGGCTGACATCAAAGGAGTCAAACGATGGGCAGACTGGCAGCGACATTGGTTGGAGATGGTGCCTCTTATTCGTTGGCGAGTGGGGCGAGACGAGATCAGTGCCTGGTACGACACTTGGCTAGAGGACACACCATTGGCCTGTTTTACCACTTTCACATCTTCTTGGCCTCGCTTGACGGTAGCCCAGCTTCTCCAAGGAGACACTCGTCTACTTATTGAGAGGCATGGACTACCGTCGGACTTGTTACCAGCCATCACCATGACTGAGATGAGTTTTACTGAGGACCAACCCATCTGGACACTTACCATAGATGGCAGTTTCTCTTGTAGCTCCTCTTGGGAGCACTTTAGAAACCGCTCCCTAAAGACATTTTAGGAAAATCTCATATGGCATCCGGCCATCACACCTCGTGTTTCGTTCTTCCTGTGGAAGTTCATGCACCGAGGACTACCCACCGACGATCGAGTGATTGTCACCGATCAGGAGGTGGAAAGGAAATGTCATTGTTGCTCCATCACGACAGACGAAAGTATGGAACATTTATTTTTCCATAGTGATATCGCTGTCGAGTGTTGACGTCAACTTCTAGCGAATTGACTTCCAATGCTCTCGTACAGACCTACGAGACCACCACTAGAGGTCTTTAGGAGAGTCTTTGACTCACCGACGAGTGTCAAGGTTTGTCCTTTCATCCGTATCTCCATAGCATATATGTTATGGGAAATATGGAAGGGACGTAACTCATCTCGATATGCAGGCCAAGTGATGCGTGCCACAGAGATTATGAGGCACGTAACACAATGGCTTCGGAGTACTCATTCCTTAGTGCCAAATAAAACGAAACGCTCGCGTTCTGTTTGTGAGGCTTTTGGGCTTTGGGGACTCCATATCATACCTACACAGACCTGGACTACTGAGATCTAGAGATTGCCCACGTTCTCTTTGTCTAAAGAAAGCTTTTAAGGTTGTAGACACTACACGACGATCTTTCCGAACGCTCAAGATTCCGGTGCATTGCCGACACATCCTCATCGCAATGTTAGAACTATGTTTTCCTACTTTTATCTTAGTTTTCATTTCATTTAGTGATAATTTATTAATTTTAAATTTACCAAGATATACTCTATTTCATTACGATTCTTCCGGCTTTTATAGATCTTAATTTGATCAATTAAATCATCTATAATTGCTTACGTAAGAACCGCCAGGTGGAATTCTATTTTCACTCGATTCACATTTGCTAGGCGTTGACGTCATCCTGACATCTACAACCTTATTCCCTTTTTTTGTGAATTTTAAATATATTTTCTTTTCATTTATTAATATAAAATTCATAGAAAATAATATTATTTGAGAACAATTCTGAATAATTACTAGATATTATATTACATCCCTGTGATCAACTTGAAAAATTATTGCTATTTTTGAAAGTTTTATTGAATCATACTTGATATATTTGTTTAGAAATACTTTTAAATATTTGAAAAATTGTATTTTCTAGTTTTATAAATTTTAAATTTACATGATTTACTATACAACGACTAAATCACGTCATTATCCAATTATCACTTCCCAGTTTCTAATGAAATTTTGTACTTTTTGAATAATGAATTTCATCCAAGAAATCATTGTGCCTAAGTCACATTTACTTCATTTGATTTCTAATGTACTTTATTGCAAACAAGATAGTTGAAAAAATTAGCAATATTAGTAGCAAAAAATATATTCATTACTTTCAAGTAAGCTATTTGCACTAATGTTTTAACTATCTTTTTTAAACAAATAGAAGGTTGATATTTAACAACCTCTCTTTATTCTCTTAAAAATTATTTTTAATAATGAAATTTACATGTTGGAATGATCCTAATGAAGTTTTGTAATCTAAGTCTATAAACTGATCAAGTGATAGTTTTGAATATTGCCAATATCATAGCATTTTGTGAAATATAATGGTAATCAATGCAAAATGATGATACCCTTGATTAATCTGAATTGATAATTATATGCTTCACATCAAAATTGAACATCTAATTTTGTTGTTGTACATTTTGCATAGTACTCACATGATGGTAATACTTAAATTGAGAAGACAAGATTTTGGGCCAAATAGACAATTACCTTCAGCCATAAGTTTTCTAAATTAGTTCCTTAAGTTATATATCTACTCTACTCATGTTTGAATGAGCAAAAAATTTGATAGCTTCACAATAGTTATTAGTCATGGCTTTTTGTAATCAACATTGAATTTTCTTACTAAAAAGATCATGGTCATTGACGTGACTTAGTCATTGTATAGTAAATCACGTAAATTTAAAATTTATAAAACTAGAAAATATGATTTTTCAAATATTTAGAAGTATTTCTGAACAATTATATCAATTATAATTCAATAAAAATTCTAAAAATAGCGCTAATTTTCTAAGTTGATCATAAGGATGTAATATAATATCTGGTAATTATTCAGAATTTTTCTCAATGAATATATTTTTTATGAATTTTATACTAAAAAATGAAAAGAAAATATATTAAAATTCACAAAAAGGGAAATAAGGGTGCAGATGTCAGGATGACGTCAGCGCTCAGTAAACGCAAATCAGGCAGAAATAGAGTTCTACTCAGCGATTCTTACATAAGCGATTACATACGATTTAATTAATCAAATTAAGATCTGTAAAAGTGGAAAGAATCATAATTGAACAAAGTATATTTTGGTAAATTAAAATCACAAAAATTATCACTAAATGAAGCGTAAAATAAGTTGAAAGTAGGAAAACAAAGTTCCAACGTCGCAACGGTAATGGGTTGACGATGCACCGGAATCCTAAGTATTCGAAAGGATCGTCGTGTAGTGTCCACGGCCTCAAATGCTCTCCTTGCAAAGTCTAGAGATTAATGAAATAGGTTGTCAAATCGTCTTTGGCAGTTGTCACCCGACGAAGTAGAAAAATGACGACTTTGCGGCTCTTCGATGGTTGTCACCCAATGGAGAGGAGCTGGATGGAGGTGAGGCGCGTGTCAAGGAAATTCATCCTTAAGTCTGTGCAGCAAGAGGAGGCTCTTCATCGCATCTGGTACGCTCTCAGGAGGTGGTGACTCATCTTCTGACGGATCGTCCTTTTCCCAACGACAGCTTGTTCATCAATCAATTGGAGATGATTTATTCAATAGATTCACGATCCTTTTATCGCAAATCCTTCAGCAATTTTAGTAACAATGCTCCGTGAATCGTATTGATAAGATTTTTACCGATGATCCAACGATTTTGATTGCTTAATCCTTCACCGGTGATCTACAAGAAAGTCACGATAATTAGATAAAAATATGAGTTTTGACTCTAGGAGGATTCAAACTTGTGCCGGTTAGCCCCTGCCTCTTCTGAGGAAGGTGGCGGGTTAAGTCCCACATCAGTTGTGCATTGAATTCTCAGATGAATATATAATAATGCTACATTTCTAAGCAAAGTTGCTTTTTCGCACGTGTACGACTACTCTTGTCCCACGGCCGACTAGCCACCGGTGACGTGGAAGGGGAGTGACGCACGCATGCCCCCATCGGTTCAAGCTACTTGAGCCCCTACTCATGGCTACTCCCCGACTGAGCTTCTGACCTGCTTGCGGCCCGACTAGCTGGCGGGTCCCCCCCATTTTGTCTTATTTTTATTTTAATTTCTTTTTCTTCATTTATCTTAGAAGTAAAATTTTAAAAATCATATAAAATCACATAATTACCCAAAATTTTACATTAATCAACTGAAAACTATTTTTCACACTTTAAGACAAATATAAGTATATTTATCATGAGTTAAGGCTAAAACTATATTATTTACTAATTATTAACTCATGATAATGAAGACTTATCAGTCATCCTCTAAAAATATGTTTAAATAAATAAGTCTTAAGAATATTTTAAGTGTGAAAAATCATGTTACACAAGGAGTTATCCTTACCCATGTCCGACCTTCCCTCACCTTCTCTTTTGCCTCTTTTGTGGACCCTTTGTTGTGCTAACAAATTAGTAGACAAATTCTTTATCTACAAACAAGAGTTGTATTACAACAACCACAACTTCCATATTACATGTATAGCTTCTTATGACAAGAGACTATGGAACACTATTACAAATATTATTGACACTAATGAGAACAAGAAAAGAAAATGAACCATATCATTATCTCAATACACGATGGAATTATCCTTTTGAGGATAATACCATTATTCCACCCTTTTTAAACTATGGACAACCAATCACAATAGGCACCGTCACATTACATACATTGAGTAAGAGCTTGATGTCTCTTGGAACAGTGATATTAAAACCAAATAGGTTTATTCGAATCCCAAGGCAAAGGCATGAGACAGCATCAGTATTCGAAGTTGACCTAATTAAATTACAACAAGGGCCATTATTTGGTGCAACCCTAAGAGTTTTTAATGGAAAGAGTATTGGAGTGCACACAACAATGATAAAATGTTAAAGACACAACTCAAAATGGGAATGGGAGGTGGAGGTGGTGGGGGAGTCACCGTAGGTTGGCTAGAAACTAGTGTCCATATGAACAAATTGGCAATAAGGAATGCACTAGTAACTTGAAATTTTGAAGTCATGATGACTTAGGCAATAGAAGGCCCAGGTAAGAAAGAGGAAGTGAAGATGAGATGCAGCTTGGAGTTGCATGTCTAAGTTGTGCAGAATTATAAAAAACTTATAGGAAATGTTAGGGGGGCTCATACCAATGGTAGCTTTCTCGAGAGTGTCTCAAATTAAAGAGATAGCTGGATGTTGGAATTTAAAATAACATGTCAATCACTATTAAGCTGCCCAACTAGAAATGGCAACATTTAAGACAATACATTGAGTTTAATGCATGACATAGATGGTCATTCTATCCATTCTTGCTATTTAAGACCAAAAAAAAGTCACGATTATTGCAAAACCCAACCCTAGGCAATAATTTATTTAGACAAGTAGATTTACTAAGTAGAGGATATTGGATTTTCCATTTATAATAGTAAAGACTGAGTATGAAAAAAAACTATTTACTTTAGTAATATTATTTACATACTATTAGATTTTTGGTCAAATTCTACTCTCCATTTCAAATGAATTTAACCACAATACATGCTAAGAAATGGATACATTCACTAGTCTATAGGGAATCAATGACTTTAATGAAATAATTTGACATATCACTATTTAGATGTCAACTTAGAAGAAAAGGCCAAGTGAACCAAAGAGATACTAGGCAATCTACATTTCTTTCTGCTCTAATAAATAGGTGTGAAAATGATAGAACACTAGTATCTAGTCAATAGTCAATATATGCAACTAACTCACAACATGGAAATGGACAATTACAATTTAGAATGCTTAGAGAATCTTGCCTCTCACACTAAAAAACATAGCTAATTTGTTGAAACAATAGACTTTTAGTAATCAACTATGATTTTCTTCATAAGAAATTTAGTTCCTTGTAAACTACATCGAATGGCTACTAGTGTTTTCTTTTCATCTAGTGAGGATCATTATTGAATTACTATTGACACAATGCCTTTTCTAATGCAAGAAGACAATTGAAACAGATATTTCTCTAACATATATAGCCAATTCAACATCAATTCTCACTTAAACACACCTCTTGTCAATCAAGATTCACTAAATTTTTCAGAAATATTTTATTTGACTTCTCTTAAAACATTTATTGAGAAGAAAATTTGGTAATCCACGTGTGATTTGCAATATGAGCAAAAGATAGTCTTACTTTATCTTAATGGTCGAATCAAATGAATGAAGGCAAATGGTTGTAAGAGCGACGCCAAAAAAAGATTGAGTTAGATATGGGTAAGTAGTGTCTCCTTAATGGATGTTGGACCAGCCATAATTCCTGGAGAATGCCCAATAAATGCACGTCTTTATGGAGCAGATATTGTGTTCCTTGTCAAATATATTGTGTTCCGTTATTTTAGTTTGAGCCTTAAGAATAGAATTAGTTTTATCTCAACCCCTTCTTGACATCCTTTTCTGATATGGATTTTGCGATGATAGGACCTTGAGGTTCTGACGGAGGATGCAGCTCGCCAGCTTCTTTCACGGTTTTCTAACGCGGGGTGGCCTTCTCCATCCACGCGCTCTCCCTCTCCTCTCTCTCGCTCTCTAGCGTGGCTACTGTTCTCTCTCTCTCTCTCTCTCTCTCTCTCTCTCTCTCTCTCTCTCTCTCTCTCTCTCTCTCTCTCTCTCTCTCTCTCTCTCTCTCTCTCTCTCTCTATTGTATTAACCAGCTACTAACAAATTGACCCCTGGCGAGCGAGCTCATCCTTCCATTCATCCAGATTTCCCTCACCTGGGAATGAGCCCTTCGGATGACTCGAAGCGCCTCATTCTCCGCACGATCAACGCATCCATTCCCTAAACACGTCGGATCATCCAACTCAAGAGTAGCTAAACACGAAAAGAGCGCGCCCATAAACATGAGCCTGCACTCCCCTCAGGTATATATAGATGGTTGAGTTCGTAGGATTTGACTGTAAGGCCAGGAGGGTTATGAAAGCTTAGACTTATATGGCCAAGGAGCAAGGTCGCCAGTGGATTATTTAGACCAAAGAGTGTGAGGGAAAAAATACAAACGTTAAAAAAAGAATTAATGGCAACTACTATTCATTTTTGAAGAGTTAAGAGACATGCCAGAGGGAAGAAACTCCATTATCTGGGAGAGTCAAAACTAATGCGGCTCGTTGGGACACCGAGAGAGAGAAAGAGAGAGAGAGAGAGAACAATAGGGAAAGAGAATGAGCGAGAGAGTCCATGGATTGAAGTGGCGAGGCGAGAGAGAGTGAGAGAGAAAGAGGGGGAGAGAGATAGAGAGAGAGAACAATAGGGAAAGAGAATGAGCGACAGAGTCCATGGATTGAAGTGGGGAGGCGGGAGAGAGTGAGAGAGTCCACCGTTTCAGGGGGTCTTGGTTCGGGCGGTGCACCGGTTCTAATTGGGAACGAAGGACCCAAGAAGGCAATATTTGAAATTGGAAATTGTACGGGTCCATGTGATCAGAGATCTGGAAATTGGAAATAGTATTGAATTAAATTGCCCAATCCTATGAGATTAATTTTTTGATCCGCTAAATGTGTGCGTATGTATGAGAGAGAGAGAGTGAGAGAGAGAGAGAGAGAGAGAGGGGGGGGGGGAGAGGGAGGGAGTGGGAATGATAGATAAAACAAACACAAAAAGGGAGGGCAGTAGGGAGATGCACAGTTTGGGACGAAGGGAGAGTGGGAGGAGAGTGAGAGAACGAAAAAGAGGGATGAAGAGAGACGAAGAAAGGAAGGAAAAGAGAGAGAAGGGATTTTAATGCGACGCTTTCTCTCGGTTAGATTTTCGGAACTTATGTTTTTTAGTACGGTTTTATGTGAGTAAATCTTCTGTCCCTGTTTTAAAAAAAATGATTATTTTATTTTTTTATTTTGTTTTGGCTTGACATCTTTTCTTTGAACCTTTTCTTTCAAGATTTTTCTTTTGCAGTATAATAAGCTTAGAACTACCATGTACAACGGCGCTCCCAGCGTTTTCCGTCGCGCTTGTGCAGTCTCCCTCCTTCCCGGGGGAGAGGGAAGGGAGGGAAGGCAGAGGGAGAGAGGGGTGGGTGTTGGTCCGCGGCAGAAAACCTCCCACTCTCCCAGGACGCGCTACCCTGCCTTCCGGAAATCCCGATGCTCGCGTCGAACAACCGCGTCGAGGGTGGTAGGGCAACGACCCTGTGGGCAACCTGACGCTGGTGGAGGCCGCCCTGGAGGTGCTGAACGAGACGGACCCGTTTAAGAAGGCCAGAGCCGGGGAGGTCGCCGCCACCCGCTCGTCGCAGGGGGTGCACCTCTCGGCCCTATTGTGACGCCGACGCCAGCCATCTCCCGGTCCCGGACCGGCCCGCCAGGCTCCCCAGCATACCAAACTCTTTCATCTCTCCTGTTTCCAATCATTCATTTTCTCTCATGCTAAACTGCAGAGTTAGCAGTTACCGTCCCATTTAATGCTAAAATTGGGGAAGGGCGGGAGCCTAGAAAGCCGGCAGGCCATTCTTCAGAGCCTCGTGTACATCGAGAGCTAGGCTATTGACCTATCATGGGTTAAGTATTCGCCCGACCGCACAACATGAGATTATCTTTTCCGTCGATATCTGTGGAAACAAGACATCTTCTTTTCCCCTCCAAGTCTCATTTTCTTCTGTGGTTGCGGGCTCTGGGAAGCAGGATGCGTAGGAACTTTTCACCGACTTCGTGAGGGTGGCCCAGGATGAATGTCGTCACTTTACATTGCTCGCGGCCCGGCTCCACGAATTGGGGTCCGACGTGGATGATAGAAGAATGCGATAGTGAATGGTCATCGAAAAGACTATCTCCCGCAGAGGATCGCTTATGTCGGCCGATAGGATAAGAGAGAGAAGAATACACGAGAGAAGGGAAAGGAAGAGAGCATAATAATACGATAGATAATGGAAAGATGAAGAGAGGATCCAGGATATATCCTTCGCTAATACAGACCTAGTTGGTGATGCTCGGTCTCCCCTTTTACTTATAGGAAACCTCACAAAAGACCTCCCCCTGACCACTTGCACTGAGTCGTCATTTAACACTCTTCCGCTGTCTCATTTCGTTCCCACGTGCCCATTACGCGTGGCGTCTGTGTTCACGTTGCCTTAACTCCTGAATCTTCCAAGGCTGTTGTCGTCCCAGACGTGTGCCATAATTGCCAAACATTGACATGTAAACGTGGCGGTCAAGAAGCCTCCGTCGTTGGTGAGAAGTTCCCGTGAGGTTATCGTCACATTCACAGTGCATAATGCCCTCAGGGTTCGACCGAAAAGACCCCTAAGGATTTATCGTCACATCTTGCAATAGAGCACTGTGTCCGTGAGATACGAAAAGTGTCCGAGTTGTGAGCTCCCTTGGGTTCTATTTCCCTCTTTCCTTCGGGGGAAAGAGCACTGTGTCAATAATCAGCAGATGATGATGACGATCTCTGTGGCGAGCCTATTCTCATTTGTTGAGCATATTTAGGCGCATTAGGCGGTGAAGACGCCAGTAGGAAGAGGCGGACAGCGCCTTCCGCAGGAAAACAGTCGGATTGCAGTTAGGAAGGTCTATGGGTTCATGTGCTGTCATTTTGAACAGTTTCCACTCTGTTGGTAACTACACAGATTCTTTCTATGCTACCACAGGTGTGCTGGGCAGCATGCCGACTGGGATAGAATGGATGCCTGATGCATATTAAAAAATAGGAATTAGAGGGTAATAATTTTTCACATTTTCATTCGCTCAATGTTTCCATGAATTTCCTATCAAGAACCAGGCCCTGTTTCTTGTCATATCCAGCAATCATGTTGATCACAATCATATCCAGCAATGGTGTAGAAAGTTTGGTATCACTCTTGTCATTTCATCAAAATGATCAAATTTTAAATATTTATAAACCAATAATTAAAATTAAAGTTTTGTGAATCCAAGTCATCCACAAAGATGATGATCAACCTCAATATCATTTTTTTATTCCAACCATTTTCTTCAAAAAACAAATAATAAATAAAATATTTCTTCATATTTAATCTCCCTTAGTCTCTAATCATGTTGTCACCATGTTTTGAAATTTGGGACTTACAACTTTGATTTGTGCCCACGTTCAAAATTAATTGATGACTCAAGACATGAATTTTTTTGTAGAAAAAATGAAAGTGGAAATCACAAAAATAAAAGAAAAATAAAGGATGATAAATAAAACTTAAATTGGGACAAATAGAGGATGAGAGCGGACATGCACCCACTTGTGGTAAAATGGAAAGATGATTTGATTCGAATTCTCATAAAAACTAAGTAATATTTCGAAATGAATGGATTCAAACGATTCTAACAAAAGTAAACTTCACCATAAAAATTAAAATCGGGGAAATAACTAATAGAAAGGAAATTAAAACACAAGTTATCCACTGTCGAAGATGCCCACCCTGGCAGTGGAATGAGGGAAAAAGTTGACTCTAATTCTTGTGAAAGTCAAGTAATCAATCAAACTAAAGGAATTTGAATGATCATAATCAATTCAATGTTATCATAAAAATTAAAATCACAGAAAGAATCATAAAAAAATTAAATATACACACAAACTTGTCCTATCTATCACCTAGGAACATAATATCATCATAGAATGTAAATTAAATTGGAAATTAATTGAAATAAGCGATAAAAATGCAGATTCATAGGCTTAAACTAGTCTTTTATCTGTCACCTAGATCACGAAATAAACATAAAAGAAAATAAACTAAAATAAATTAAAACTGGAAATCAAATTCACAAATGCCCTCAATTGCTCCACTCTTTTGTCATTCGAAAATAAAGTATCAAAAATTGAATAAAAAATATATTGAAAATGTCATAAATAAATAGATTTAAAGGCTCAATATTGTCATTTGGTTGTCACCGAGATGATAGAGTAAGAAAAAATAAAAATAAAATTCAGTCCAAAAAGGAAAAACAAATTTACAAACACTTTCATCATTCTATTTGTCTCGAATTGTCACTCAAAGATAACTCTGCCAGAAAAGTTTGAAAATTCATTGACTTACATGCTCTTCTCTGTCTCAAGACCGCTCTCTACCATCCTCAAAAGCTCTTTTGGGATCGTTTCCCCATAAATCTCAATATCACCACAAAATGAGGATTTCTCCTCATTCATTTCACTAGTCAAAATTATGAATGCTGGTGTATACATGGATGACATGACTTAAGATGTTGACTTATTTGTCTATTGTCTTATGTTAAGGCCCATAAATCCCTTCAAATGTCTTCTTGCTGATGTGGCCATAAATCACTACATTTTTTGCCACATTTTGATAATTTATAAATTACTAAAAATTTGTTAGAAAATTACTTCATAAATTCCTTGAAAATTTTAAGAAAAATATATTTTCAAAATTCTAAATTCATGATTATTTTTTTTTCAATTTTCAAATAAGAATCAAGGTTATAAACCTTATGTTAGAGCATGAATTAAAAATTATAAATATATTATTATTGCATAAATTATATAAACCATGAAATTCAATCATCACATAACTTCCAAAGTAGTTTTAACTTTCATAATTAGTATTTTAGATTGATTCATGCCATAATAATGTTAATTTACCTAGATTATTATATAAAAATAAAGCATTATCAAACTTTAAAATATAAATTTTGAGAGTATTATGGCATGGGTTCTTTGGGTTATTGTTTTTAACTCCTGATCACAAGAACCCAATGCATCCAAAGTGTGTTGCAAAATAAAGTAGCAAGAAGCTACGGACAATTTATGCATATAGTTGGTTATATTTTCTCCTTGAAGTGCCTCTTTCTGATATGAATTTTTGACTTAAGCGATCCTTGTTCATAAAATATTTCATTATATTTGAGGCTGAAGTAATCAGAACCTCATTCTCTCTATGATAATTATTACATTAACCTGATTGTTATCACATTCTTATTTTTCTTATTTTCAAACCAAAGCTAAGAAGACATGCAACAGAGAAGGAGAATGGAACAATCCTCACAGAAATGTATGAGCAAAACGAGAATGGAATCCGCATGCAATAGATGCCTGATCTCCATTGAGAGTATGGATTTTGATGCCTATTTTCTTCCGGGTGATCGTAGTCATGGACGTTAGTGTTCCAAGGCTGGAACAGACGGTACTGCCACCGTCCAATCCAGCTATTATGTTGGAGAAGAACCTTGATTGTCAGAGAGACCCCAACACTTGTCACCAGGCAAGAGAGATTCAGTGGACAGTGGACTGGGAAGACGGAGCCAGAAGAAGCTCACGCACAAACTTGGATACGACTGCTTCCCGGAGGCTTCCTTATGCCTCTCTTTCTCATACTCTGCCTCAATCTTAGGGCATCCTCCCACCTCCTTGCGGTCACATGCATGTTCGATAAGACAACCATGTGACCTCCAGCCCGGCCTGGGTTCAGCTCTATTAACCTGTCAACCACGCCACCGGCCAGCGTTTCGTCAATGCGGAGGCAACAGCTTTTCACCAGTGAGCCCCACACCACGTCGTTCGGTGGCATGGGCATCATCCCGATCAGCTCCCGAGCTTCTTCCAGGAGTCCCGCGCGGCTGAGCATGTCCACCAGGCACCCGTAGTGCTCGATCGCTGGGCGGAGGGAGCGGACTCCGGTCATGTGCTCAAAGCAACGGAGGCCCTCATCGATCCTGCCCGTGTGATTGCACGCACATAGCACCGCGAGGAGGGTTACCCCGTCGGGCCGCTCCACTGCGGCGTCTGTCTTAGGCATTCGCCGGAAGACGTCCATCACCTCTCCCGCGCGGCCGTGCGTCGCGAGACCCATCATCATTGTGTTCCACGAAACGGTGTCCCTCCGAGGCATCCCCGAGAAGACGCTGTAGGCTTCGTCAACCGCCCCGCACGTCGCATACATATGGATCAGAGAGTTATCCAGAGAGAGGAGGCCCCTCTCCCGCCAGGCCTGGTCTCTACTACGACCGCCCACGTACGCGTGGATCCTCCGGCCCAGGTCCAGGTTTCCCAATTGAGCGCAGGCAGACAGCACGGCGACCAGAGTCACCTCGTCTGCGCCAACGTTCGCCATCTGCATCTCCTCAAACAGAGCCAGAGCGCGTTCTGGCCGCCCGGTCTGGGCGCATCCCCCGATCATGGTTGTCCAGGTGAACGCGTCCTTCTCCGGCGTTGATCTGAAGAGCTGAAATGCAAGAGCGACATCCCTGCACCTCAGATGAGCCGCTATAATGACGTTCCAGGTCACAATATTTCTGTGGGGCATATCGTCGAAGACCCTGCGTGCCGAGATGATGGCATCCTCCTCCCATCCCGTAGCGGCCACTGCGTACATGTTCACCAGATTCGTCTGGACGAAGATGCTGGCGTCAAAGCCCGAGGACACGACGCTGGCGTGCACCTGCTTCCCTTCCCTCGAGAAGTGCGGCCTCGTGCAGGAGACAAGGAGGAACGAGTAAGTGTAGCTGTTGGGCTGCGGTAAGGCCGCCTCTGAAGCCACCACCCCCCGCGTTCGCATTGTACACCAGCGCTTATACAGCAGAAGGGATTTCTCAGGTTTGGCACTGCGGGAGTAGCCCCTTATGATCTGGTTGAGCACAGTGGTACTCGGCCTCTCCAACCACCGGACGACCCGCGAGGCCCGGGCAAGGTCCCCCGCGGCGATGCAGGATGACAGAAGCTTGACAATGATGAAGTTCTTCTGCGAGAATCCGTTGATGACAACCTGCGCGTGGAGCTGGAGAAGCTGTACCGTGGTTCTGCAGCGCTGTAGCATATGAAACAGCCTCTTCTCCAGCTCCCTGGAAGGAAGAGGGAGAGCACCAGACGAGAGACACGGTCTTCTTGTTGCCCCATCCCATGAAAGGTAAGAGGAGGAAGCGGAGGAAGAGGAAAAAGAAGAAGAAGACATGTCCCGCGGACAGTAGAGATGTGGAGAAAAGGAGGAACGAAACGCCCGCCGGCGAATCAACCAAGATGAGGTCCCCCGAACCACCTTTCTAGCGAATGGACATGGATCCGTCAACAACCGCCCAAGGTCGTCTTCTTCTCTATCCGGTCGGCCCTTCTCTGCTATGGCTCGGGTGGTGCGTTCCCGCGGGTTTACGCGCTGTTCCGGTTGCGCGCGAGCTCATGAAGTTGAAGAGCAAACCAGGCTGAGGCAGCCGTCGGTGAGCAGACAGGTACAAGATCCTCATCACGAGAGACCGGCACTCGGGATGGGTCTGAGGACGACGGGCAGAGGTACCGGCGGCCGGGATTTGCAAATCATTTGCTAGTGTCGACCTTTGGCGATCTCTGCCGTTCTTTTGTACGTCATGCTCACCCCAGCCCCCCCTCCCCACCGGCCCAACGCGAGCGTTAAGAAGGGTAAACCGTTGATTATTGGTTTCTGTTTTCGCAATCTACTTTATTTATGTACAGTTACGAATCACATCACATCGCATCCCAGAGATCAACATCCGTGGAAAGGTTCAAGAAGCCAGATCTACAAGCCTCCAGTTTCTGCACTCAGAGGCGAAAACCTGCTCTCTCGAAAACGCTTTGGCATCCAAGAAAGAGGAGGCATCTTGGTGTTTTAAGCGGGACCAGCGTTCCGCACGAGTGGTAGCAACTAAATTTCAGGACTCCGAAAGAAAGGACAACGATTGCTGAAATTTCCGCACAGTGGTATTAGTGAGCCACAAAAAAAAAAAGAGTAAACCGCGGGTTTCCTGCAAAAAGTAAAATTTCATTGTTCTTTAACTGGAAACGTCGTCCAGCAAGAGAGTTGATGACGGCGTTGTTCGAATCCTCGTGTCGTGTATAACTTGGGGTATAAGAGGAGGGATGCCATGGACGAGGAGACGACTAAACAACGTCAGGGAGTTGTGAACAACAACAACGGCCTTCTGTGAGCATAGAAATCTATCCCAAATGAAAAGGTGGGCCCGAATTGTCTTACATCTCAGGAGACGTTCTGGGTGCCGTACTTGTCGTCCCAGTATATGGTGATGATGGGGTCCAGCTGTTGTACGCTGACGCCCTGCAGACCAGTCGGGCATAATTAGAGCTCGAGGGTTGGCTCAGGCGAAGAGACTCTCGAAACCAAGGGGGGGGGGGGGGGAAGGAGGGGTCGCTCACCGGGCAAAGGTTGTGATTTATTGTATACCGCGTCTTCTGTAACTTTTGATGGATGACCTAGACAAGCAAGCAACAGGTGTTATTGAGGATTCTGAAGTCGAAATGTGGAACTCCATGCTCACAGAATCAATGACATGATCGGACCAATTCAATTTTTCCCGTGTTCGAGAAAAACGCGGTTCCAATTTCCCCACATCTCAACGATGCCTTAGTAAACTTGACAACAGATAAGGAAAAATGGTAAGAAATATCGGACGATAAACATCCGCAGAAACTTTCCTAGCATGCGCCCGATGTTGTCAAGGAGAGTTCAAATTTGAAGCTTGCGTATCCTATCAGAATTCTCATAATTGGAAAATTCCGGTGACAACGACAATCTACTAGAATTCGCTGCCACTCTGATGGCTACTATCTTACCCAGCCGAGGCAGGAGTGTACATGGAGGACAGAATGGAACCGTGTGGTGATTACCAGAAAATCAATAGCCTGCCTGATATGCTTCAATTCATCCCACGCAGAACCTGCGTACTGCAATTGTCCATTTTGCTCAGGAGAAAAAATATGCGCTAAATAGTAAAATCAACAATTCATAGATTCCTAACAAATCAAATAAGATAGGAGATGAATCTGGGTTTTCTATCATTCACACTTTTGTATCTTTTACAATGACAACTCTCATCTATCTTTTCAAACCTGAAAAATATTCTTGTATTCATAACCGAGAAACTATAACATATAAATACAAACAGACCATCCACGGGATAAAATTATAAGCAGTAACTTTATCAATGAAGTACCTCATCAGCTGCTTTGTAGCACCAATGCTCTAATTCTGCTAGCCCTGATTTAACATATTCACAGTTGCTGAAGGAGCAGCACTCTCGGCTCAGCAGCAGGCTGTAATTGTCAAGCAAAGAGCATCAGTTTGACTGCTTGAAGCACAGTTCCCATAATTAAACTGTTGCGAGAAAGATGTACCTATTGAATAGTTTGCACATTCATAAATGAAAATATCTGTGTGAACACTCTATAAGTAAAAAGGGAGGAACCTGAGCATTAAGATAAATCAAAACATTTAGATACAGCTTCCAAGCTCAAGTTTCCAAGTTTGAAAGATCGCGGTTTGATTAAATTCGTCACTTTCACTTTCACGACATAATGGCTATACAAGGACAAGAAAAGAGACTACTGAGAATGAATGAGATCACCAGAGACCACTGACATGGTTTCCAGGATACTTCACAGACTCCTCACAATCCCTTGCCAGTGGGGAATCAAGTTTGCTGACCTGTTAGATTTGCAAGTGAGCTAACGGAACCTTTTACTGAAATTTCCCGTGATCTTCTTGATGCCTGTCCATAAAAGCGAAAAGATGATGCGTTCATCAACTACCCTCTTGGCTAGGCAAGAAAATGATGCCGTGAAGAATACATTAAAAGATACAGGGATACCACCCTCTTGGCTAGCCAAAAGAATAAAACAAATGCATAGCAAAATTTCTTGATTACCCGGATACATAGGCCAAGTAAAGAATAAATATCTTTATTCAAAATTTCCCAAATCATTCCATATATCTTCTCCACAAATGCAGTAAGTTGATGCTTGAACAACAAAGCAAGATACATGGCTTCCACTTGCCATATATCAGTTCCGCCAGCAAAGGTCCCATTTAAGAAAGAAAGGCTCTCACCTGGAGGCACTCCGTCATGAATAAGAGTTACAAATTTGGGCACAAGCTATTATAAAATCGCAATGAGTTCTAACTTGAGTTGTTCTCCCAAACAAAGTCACTAATTTTTCATTGATTATGATCGACGGCGTTGAGGAGCCACTTGCTTTTAGGGTATGTTGCAGCAGCAAGAACAAAGTGGCGGTATTTGACAGTCAGTGGGGTAAGATATCATTGTTCTCCTGCGTATTCAGTGAAATAAATGGAAATTAAAGAATGCCTATGGTTTCAAAAGAAAATAGAAAGTAAATCCTGAGGTACATTCCTCAACATTATAGCCTATTGCCTGGACAATATGATCAAAAACACTAGTTCCCTTGACTTCAAAGGGATCTCCATTGAAGAAGGCATTTGTTGATGATACAAGCAGAGATTGCTCTTCCCTGTGACAAGTCTAAATGTTGTGCAATACATTAGATCAACAGGTATTGATTCTTCTGGATACTAATAGAATTGGAAATATGCTACTTTCAGCAGACGTAATGAACGAAGTGATAAAGAAACAAGAAACTTTACAGCCAAACAGGAGGCTATCTTTACTTGAGTGATATTTTTGGTTTTTCCTCTCCCTAAGGAGGTTCCTTCAGGGTGGATCCAACTTCCATGCGAGTTCTAAAACATGCATTTTCAGATGCTTATCTAACACAATGATAAGCATGCCACTTATGTTTTGCAGTCATAAAGCCCAATGGTGACTAACTGGAGTTAAAAATTCTGACCGAAATCCACTGACATGGTCTAAGAACCTGAAGTATTTATCAAGAACGTCCAGAAAGAAACTTATCAGGTGCCATAGACACAGCTTGTTGTCGGAAGACTTTACTTTCTGATTCTAAGTTTACAAGTTTCTCTTCTAGTCAGTTTGGAAAACAAGAGAATTATGTAAGTAAGTTAAAAGAAACAAGGGTAATAGAGAGAATATTTAGATAAATACCAGTCCTATCTTAAAGCACCCAAATCTTTATCATTCTTAAGGATCAACCAATTCGCTCACAATGTCAGACAGTGACATCGGGTGAGGAAATCTGCCCGCAAATGTTCATAAAGAACCAAACGACATTGCAGATATAGATGCAAAAGAAACACCAACATGATTGAAGTTTACTGTCCCCTAAACAAAAGAAGACAATTGTGGGAAGAACGTTGAATTATGAGTTAGATTCCTTGTTGGGTAGTTTCCTACTTTGTCAGCTTCCTAGATTGTTAGTTTCCTAGTCGGCCAGTTTCATTAACGTAGGTAGTTTCCTTTTCTGTGCTCAGGGTAATTGTATATAACTAGAAATTGTTCTATAATTTGAGAAGAAGAAGAGATTTTTCCCTTGTATGGTTCAGTTTGTCCTTGTACGGTTTGCGTCATGGTATCAGAGCCTAGGCTTGTAAATTTGGGAATTTTTCCTGTGGTCTTCATCGTAGTTTTCCAGGTCAGCTTTAATTTCAAACAAACTCCTGATTATTGTCCTTCATTACCGATTCTCTCCGCCTTAAACATCAGCATTCTTTTTGCTGCCATAGCTACCAGTTTTTTCTACAGATTTCAAACCGTCGTCCGTATGGTCCCACGCCTTACAGATGTGAGAGGTTGTAGAAACGATCACAATAATACAATCGGAAGAATATGTACAGTTGGGGTCACTACTAAAGCTCTTTCCACGTTCTTGTTTATTAAGTGAATTGAATAATTGAAGGAATTCCATTTGCTCAATGTATTATTACCAATGAACCGCCCCCTTCGAATTCAGGTAACATGTCCCGGATCTCTCGGAGGGCATTATTTTTGGAGGTTTCAACAATCCTAAGAGTTGCAAAATTTTCAGGCTGCACTTGCGCCGGATGGAAAACATCACCTCAAGTGGTCCAAACTAGTTTGCACTGTGCTGAAAGGGAAAGGAAATATCAGCCATCTCACAAGTAGAGAGCTAAAACCAGGGGATCCTCAGTTTGAGGCATGGGATGAGGAAGATTTCAACGTTATGGCGTTATTTATGGAATTCTATGGCACCTGAGATTAGTGGCACATGTATGTTCTTGGCTACTGCCAAGGACATCTGGGATGTAATCCAGCAGAGTTATTCCAATGCTAGAGACGTGGCTCAAGTATATGAAGTTAACTTGAAGACGCTTGCTGCTAAACAAGGAAGTAAGACAGTTACAAAATATGCTAATCAATTGAAAGTCCTGTGACAAGAACTTGACCATTATAAGGTGATTAAAACCAAATGTCCAAAGGATGCAGCTATTCTGAAGGATTCCATTGAGCAAGAAACATAAAATGAATTTGATCAAGCGAGAATTAAGACTTCTGGTGAACAAGAGATTCTGTACTTTAATGAGATAGCGGCACTGGTTTGAGGAGAGGAAAGAAGAAAAGAATTGATGCTGGAACCACAAAGTATGTACAGGTTTTGGTAGCTGGAGGTTAATAATTCAGCAACAAACGTGGTGAGAGCACAAGTTGCCGAAAGTGACCATAAGATAGTCTATGGTGCACTGAATGTAAAAACCACACCATTCTCGTGAACGGCATTGAAGCTCAATGGAAAACCTCGGAGTGAGAAAACGGGACAGAAAAGAAAGCAGTCGATGAACAATGGTTAAAGCACATATCATGACAGTACAACAGTATTAAGTAGCACCGAAAGGAGAGGTCAAGATTGTGAAATCTTTCATTGGCAATTCTGTCAAACTCATAGATTCTTGTTCATTGACGTATTCAAGTGAGATTTCACCTTCTACTAGATTATGTCTCATGTACAACCTTCACCAACTCTCACATAATGTATTAAAAAATTATGGACTGTATAACCCACTCAACAGATATATATAGTCCACATACTCTCCTTATCTAAACAGAAAGAAAATAGTCACAGCTGATGATTCTTTGACTACCGTAGCAGGTGTAATAAAGGTTAAAATAAACCCTTCACAAACTTAAAAAAATGCTCTTCATGTCTTTAGACTGTCCATAAATCGTGTATCTTTCTAGAAGCTCTACCCATGATTTGCACAGTACATTAGTTTTTTATCATTGCCATTGTGTATTTTACGACAAGGATTTGAGGAGGACGATTGTACGTACTAGAAAATGGGACGTATTCTGCTATTTTGAAGCAAATACTGAGCCAATCAAACATTGTAGGTTGTGACATCGGAGCAACAAAATAGAATACGACGGTGGCTGCTGATTAAGCATGCTTGTCCGTCGAAGGTGAAGCCGAATATCTTCCGCGTCCCTGGACACATCTTCCGCTACATTTCCATTTACCCTACCTCTCATTGGCTTATTCCGCAAGTGGCTCTGTGAGGACCGTAGCTGTTGGTTGTTCCTTGTTAGAAATCAGGTAGGCTCCTCCTGTGTTTGGGAGTGTCGTGTATTGTTGTCTATCTATCACTCCGACCACGAACAAAGATGCAATTGCAGGTGATGGTTGCGGAGTTTCGACGAGCTGTAGCCGTATGCCGCATGTTTTACGCCTCAGATCCAAGGTATCTGCCAACAAGGAGGCTTTCCGCGGTGCGAAGATGCACTCTACTCGAGGAACCGACCCCCTGGGGGCAGAGCTGAGGAGACGATAAGGAAAGGTTCTCAAATGTTTCTTCCCAACGAAATTAAGCATGCCGAGAAAATGGACCCAGAAAATCTCTCGCCGCCGCCCCCCGAGAATCGGACGGGATTCAGAATAGATGGGATACTAACAAGAGGACGAAATATCTCCGCACAAAGTTTTTCGACGGACCGCACTCCCTTTGGCTCGTCTTCCCCGCGGCAAAAGACGAGAGAGATCGGAGCTGTCCAACGCCGCCCGGGAACGAATGGCATCGGTCGTGATGATCATCCGAAGCACGGGCGCAGATCTGGATTGGCTCGCGCTCAGAGGCCAGAAATCTCCCCCACCAAACCCGCCAAGGTGACCCATTTCTCCAGCGCGTTGGCCGACGTCACGAAAGCTTCCTTCGAGGACTCCGCGTCCATCTTCGCAACTGTAAACGGGACAGTCACACCCCTCCCATGGTTATTGTTGAAGAGAGGCGGGAATTACTCCAGTTTCTTATGAGCAAATCAATAGACTGTGGGGGATGCCACTATCTCGTAACCCACCGGAGGTAATCAACGAGGCCAGCGAGGAATTGAAGGCGTGGACTTCGTTCTTCTCCTCGGAGCTGGAGCTCAGCTGGTGGGTAGCAGGGAAGAAACCACAAAAGAGCACACCACGTCCTGATCATTAGAACACGGAGCACGCGGCGAGCAAATACCCCAAGTCCCCAAAAGAATCCGTCAATCGACTGCTCAGAAACCCACCTTCGCAAATGCAGCGTTGGCATTCTTCATCCAGTCCGCATTAGCGTTGGGGCCGAGAATGGTGCCCGCGGCGGAGAGGTCGTTGCCGTCGATGGCCTGACCAACTTTGCTGAGCTTGTACACTAGCTCTTGCAGATATCCTGCGAAGCCACATCACACAGAGCCATTCGTGTAGCCCTCATGAATTCCTCGAACGCTGGACATCCAAACATTCCCCGGCGTGAAGAATCGGACATTAGAACGTCTTACCAGTCTCCCTGGAAGAAGAGCTGATGACGCCCTGCCGTTCGAGCCGCTTCTTTCTATCCTTCTTCACCTTCTCCAATAGTTCGATGTCGTCGTCCGCCTCCAAGATAGCTGCACTCGCCGGGGGAATTCCCCCAGTTAAGCTCAGAGCCGCCAGGCAACTTGCGGCCGCTGCAAGGTACTGGCGCCTGGGAAGAGGGACAGGGCGGTTGTCGGCCCCTTCCGCGCTGTCGTCTCTGGTGTTGACGGCAGGAAGCTTTGCCGTCACTCTCCTATGCAACAAGCCGCGTTTGCCGGAAGTATTCCGAGGCTTGAGCCTGTGGGGAAGGACGGCGGGTACCGTCCCTGCTGCAGCGGACATCTGCGAGGTGGAAGCAGGAGAAAAGCTTACGGTAGCCGTTGCAGTGTACAGACCAAGAACTACGGCCATGAGCTCCGAAGAGAAAAGCACCTCTTTCCGATCTCGCTGCTGCCGTTCTAGCTCTACTGAGGACCCACGCCGTATAATTGTGGTGTTGCTTTGCTTGGGTCATCGGCGGCCCTCTCCCCAAACTCCCTTTGCATTCTGCATCTCTAGTTTAAAGGATAAGGTTTGTTGCCCCAACACCGTCCGTCCGCTCGCCGACTCGAGGTTTATTGCATCTCCAGTAAAATTTACTTGGCTCGAAATTTACATGGACTAGTCCTGCAATCACGAACTTTTATTTAACAAAAGTGCATAACGTACTGATATTTGATTAATTATAATATCAAGAATATTACAATTTCGCCCATTTCACAATTTTTTCAACACAACATTGTTAAGAATCATGGTTTGTTAAACCCAGTAAATTGATTTTTTTAAAAACGAATCATGCACGGGAGGGGGAGGGAGTGATTGAGTGAGTGAGTGAGTGAGAGAGAGAGAGAGAGAGAATCTAATCCCTTTGTCTATGATATGCCAATGGGCATCAATTTTGGCATTTACATCCATAACTCTGATTACTCAATAATGTTTCATTATTTTCTTTATTTAAAATATTAAACTTTTATCATATATATGAACCTATTTGTGCAAAATGACTTATTGTTCATATTCCTCATTGGGTACAATCATTTCGATTATTCATCTGAATGTAATACATCATTTAAGTTTATCTTTAATTAGAATCATGAAATGTATTACTGGCACAATTCGAAACATTTGATTTATTCTATTGTGGATGCCATGCATTCATCAATCACAAATTTGACAAAGGAGGCTAGTCTAGGTAGATTGGTGAATATGGATTGAGATGGAAAAACATAGGTGTGTTTATTTCAATGCGACGCAAAGTTAAAATTGTTGGCTTGAAGGAGGCTATAAAAGAAACCAAAAAGTGATGGTTGCAGTTGTTCTTTTTTAAATCATTTCTTGAATGATTATTATAAACCCTAAACCTTAAATCGCAAACCCTAAATCGGATCCCAATTTTTGAAATTTGGATCATGAATCTTTGACATCTTGAGCCCTAGACCTTAAGCCTTGAACCTCAAACCCTAAATCTTAATTCATAACCCATAAATCTTGAACCTCATATCCTACATCATAATTCATTAATCCAAAACCTTGAACATTTGAACCTTGAATCCTAAAGCTCAACAATTCTAGAATTGTGATGCTTTGGTCTATAATAGGATGTTCAAAATCGCCACATCAAATGTATGTATGCACATTGAATGATGAATTGAGTGTTCCAATAATCCAAGTGCGTAAGCCATGCATTCATCGCTGTACATCCTTAAAATTCAACAAAAACATGTGAGAGTTTGAGCTTTCTTTGGTACTTTTTTTGTATGTTATCTTGTAGATTAATTCTTTAAGAATCTCATGTCTAATTCCAACTCTCAGAACTCTCTTCAAGTGTGCTTAAGTGAGATAGCAAATCAAAATCTTATGTGCCTGTAAAGAGAAATAAAATATATTGGATACCAATTTGCCACTCAATTTTTTTAAAGAATTTCTATTATGTTGTAATTTTTAGAATGAATGAACAAAACTATGATGGACTCGAAAGTTTAAATTTATGTTAACTGAAAAAAAATTAAGCATTCTAAGAATGCTACTTTAATGGTTAACTTATTATTATACGTTTTTTCATAGTGAAGAGAAGTAAATATAAATGTGATCTTAAGATGTATTGCATAAAATAATTATGAGTAAAAGTGACTTAAAATTTTTAGTGAATCTCTAATGTCTTTTGTAAGTAGGAAAAAACGCATCTACAATGCAAGGAAATAGTGTTTGTCTATGTAAAATCTAATTTAAAAATAATTCAAAAAAATTGAAATTTGAGGTCGAGAGACACCCCATTCGAGGTGACCCGACACTATGATCATTCACAAACTATATACTCAAATTGAGAGATTCTTCATGGGTAAAAATTAACGGGATTTTTGTGTGAATTGTTTTGTCACTCAAAATTCAGATAAATAAGCACAACTCGGACCGAAATGAGTGGAGCTTTCGAAATCAATATGCTGCACTGTACATGAATTTGGCTTTCAAAGTCGAGCTTAGAATAACAAAAGATCTTACTCATGGTCTTTAAATGGCAAGTACGGCCTTGGTAACTTCAAACTCCTCCTTTATCTGGTTGTTTCATGCTCAACCACATGACGGAGCCCCGTTCTTTATTTCCCCCATTCGCTCGGCTGCAACTTCCTCTACCCAGCCACCGAGCAGGCCGTCACAAGTCCCCCGTGGAGACCGTAGCAGCAGCCACGACCCATAATCCAGGATACAGGCCCAACATCAGGCTCGATAGAGTCTACAGAAGAGCCTGCTTTCCAGGCTTTCCCTTGGTGCCCACTTCGTCTGGGCTTTGGGGTCCTAATTAGGAAAACATTGAAAATTATTTGCGGGAAATTAAAAATGCTGTTTTTTCAACTTGGCATTTGGTGAATCCCAAGGGAAAGCTCAGAAGAAAGACTTCTGCGCACTCGAACGGAGGTGATGGGAAGAGAGCCGCAGCAGCTCCCGGACTCAGGGAACCCACTCGAAAAGGAGGCCAAGGCCCCAGAGGCGCCGCCTTTGAGGGTGACCTTCCCCGACGCCTTGCAGAACCAGAGCACTGTCGAGTCGCTGAAGCTGGAGGTCGAAGAGTCCGCTGAGTCCATGAGCCCCCGCAATATGTGGCAGGCACGTTTTATCTATTTGACTTGATGCGCAGTAGGCCTCCTCTTCGCAGGGTCCGTTTAGTTTCTCCATGATTCGCGTTATCACTTCCGTCCTGGCCGTCTATCCGATTGGTTTTTGTTATACCCGCTCATACCCTACGTTCATATTCCCCAATAGGTTCTCAGGGAAATTCCTAGGGATAGAGCATTTGAAATAGGAAAGCAAGGATACCCCATCGGTTAGTGCTGGTAACTTTTTTTACATTCTTCCGTGAGGAAATCTCCCCTTTAACAGCCTTTTCCTTACGACAGAACTGTATCGGAAGGAACATGGAAACTTTGAAACGCGGTAAGTCGTCATTTCTTGAACATTGGAGTCTAATTAGGGACAATTTAGTTGTTTTTAAGATTAATTTTTTTCTGTTTCTTTCCTTGTTCGGTAGTTGACTTGAAGAAAATGGGATAACTAAATTTGATGCTCCAAAGTTTCTTCATGCTTCAGATTTTGTCAGGCCCACTCAAGACAGACTAGATGTGGTTGGGCTCTAGGAGTTGGGATTATACTTTAATCTAATCTCTTGTTTTGGTCATAAATTTGAGCCTTAGGTCAATCTCATTCTAATGCTCCTTACCTTTGGGAGCCCAGTCTATATATATCAAACTGGGAATGTTTGCGTGTTTAGACAAGACTGTTTACTGACTGGCTACTTGGCCGCAAAACTAGGTCTAAGACAGCACCACTTGTCCAGTTTAAGTCTATACATTTTGCAAACGTGTTTCTCTTATGGGTAGGACTTCAATTGTGTAAGTATTTGTTTAATAGACTGAAGATTTCCTGTCTGAGAATTCGTAATGTTCAATATTTGATCTGTGTTTCGAACGGCAATAAACTTTCAGATCCATTACGTCGACCTCATGCCTGGTCAGTAAAGCACAATCTCCTTCATATCAACTGCAGTGCTTGTAGTCTATCATACCGTTGAATATTGACTTTAATAGTTTTCCTCATCATATTTTCATAATGTTAATTGTGCCGATTTGTTTTTTCCCAGAAATGTCTGCTTACATTTTTACATGGTATCTATGATAACCTTAGCTAGACATGGGAAACCTCTATAGAGAATAGAATACTTATTCTCTATTTTATTTTATAAATTGTTTTCATCTAATTGTGCTTATGCTAGGGATATACAATCATGTATTTAGATATCCGTACTTTGATTGCTTGAAGCGTTGGATACTTGCCAATTAGGTCTGACTGAGCAGTGCGGGAATTCCGTTGACTTGTATGCATTCTCTCGTCGTTCTGATTTTGGTGCTGAACGTGGATGGATGAGGGAAGGAAAAATAGTAATTCTCCCCATGAAAAGGGGAGGGAGAGACAGATTGGTTGCTGTTGCTTGGTATGTCCCGTTAGATGGTCGGGAGTCCATTGCATCCTAGATGTTAGTGTTTGGGGTGGTCAGTCTGCATCATGATCATCTTCTAAAAATTTCCTCTCAATTTGGGTTAGCATAGTTGGCGGAGCCTTCTGTCAAAATAATTGGAAGGATCTCTGCCTGCATGAGGTGGCTGTGGGGGGGTACAAATTTGTTGGTTATATTTACAGTCTTCTTGCTGGATTCAGTTTTCCTCTGAGGGTTTCACATTCTCTGTCCGCTCGTTTTGGTTTCTAGTGTTTCTCAAAATGGGATCGGGTCAGAAACGGGGTGCCTCCAAAGGCAAAACGATGGGTTCATGATTGAAAAATTCAGGCGAAATTTAACTTGCGATGAGGCCAGGTTTTTTTGGGTGCATATTGACATCTAGGGTACATTATTTCATCATCTATTTTTATTTTATGGAGAGGAGGGTCTTCCTTCCTACACGTGGACACCTAGAATACCTCAAAATAAAATCATGCACTCGTGAATAATTTCTGAAACAAAAAAAATTGCAAATTCGTTGAAGGAAGATCCTGCGATGTGTTATATATTTTTTTCCAGTTGGCATTCCCTCGAAACAAGACAGTTCTGCCTTCCTGACAAACAACAATCAATATGGGTTTGGCTTTAAGTTAGCTCCTGATCAGAGGGACTGTCCACATTTGTTGAGATCTTGCCTTTCAACTTGCTAGATGACTCCAGATTGCTGGCGGTATCTTTAGGATGATGATGATTAATCAAGATCATGCTTCTTGCTAAAACAAAACTGGGGGGTTATACCTTTTGGGGCTGTGTTTCCTGATTGCAGAGCTTTATACCTTTTGCCATCCGACTTTGAAACCATAATCAGGTCAATTATAACTTTCAACTGGATTGAAGAGGCTGTGGCAATGAAAGCACATGATGCGATAATCTCGTCAAGGGTCTTAGTACATTCGCATCGTGCGGCTCTTGGAATGAATATAAGGCTGAACAGTTTAATTTGGTTTATGTGCGTAGCATTTACTAGTAAACATGAGAACGTGGGGCGTTTTCAAGGCGTAGGATTTCGTTGGGTGAATTCTGGGCTACTCAGCCAACGTGCATGTCTCTCAGGATAGGCATTCTGCAGGGTTGCACTTAGTTGAGAGTATCACTAGAGGCTGAAGGGCTATCTTCTTTTTGATAATGTAGTTGGCATCATCCGCTCATTTTTATTCTAAGTCTTCTCCGTTTCAATAGGTGGTATACGGCTGGCATAGATATTATTCGATTTTAAGAACAACAGGAGACGACTCCAATTTAAGCACAAGTCATGCATGTAGTACGTAGGGGGTGAAGTTGACGCGCATGCCGTGAACATCCTAGAGATCAACCTTGAGCTTGTTCCTCGCGCCTTGGGCTGGTTCGGTTCTGAAATATCTGCTTGGATCTACCTGTGCAGGTGTACGCTCTCGGAGGCTTCATGGTCCTTAGCTGGGTATGGGGTAGATGGAAGGAGAGGAGAGACAGAAGAGCGCCACCATGAGGTCTGAGGTCGTCGATGTTCCAGGGCAGACGCTGCTCCTCAATGCGATTGCTGGATCATCATTCCAAGCTGGCAGGTGGCGTTTCTTCCCCATCCTCCCTTCTGCTCGACATTTCCTCGAAAGTTGTTGAACGCCGCATTTCTGCCCGAGCATTCGATCCCCTGAAGATCCTTCGTCTCTTAGATGCGTGAAAAGACGATAAGGATTTAGACTGTTTCCTCCGAAACAACAATGAGCGCGGGGACTCGTAGAATAAATGAGAAGGGGTCGGACGATAAGAATGGGATGTCAAATTTAGCCGAAGATTGGCAAGATATTCGCGAAATTATGGTAAACAAACTCGTGGAGTAGCCCTCCGCAGGAAAAATTATGGTCGGTCGACTGTCATCATAATGTCGAGGCGGGAGGGGCGTAGTTATATTTGGCTATCTTTTGATTGTCGCTCAGCGGATCCTTCGATCTGCATCTTCCTTCCACCTCCGCGATGACGAGCGGGGGGCCCCGACGGGGGGCAAGGCTTCGCCACCGGTCATCTAAGGAATTGACGAGTCAACTGCGTCGCTGGCATCAAGGATGTGGAGACGAAAGCGAAGAGCCGATGGGGTGGGGCGGACTCTTGACCTGACCGGGTATTCTACGTACGGCCTTCACATCCTCGTGAAGTCGAAAGTCGCAAAACCCTGCTCCAGCCGTGGCTCCGGCGTTCTCATTATCCACGCCTGTGGGGTCGACCCGCCACTGTGCTCATCTCGACTGGGTTGGGCCACCTCGTCCTAGTTCCCTAAGCGCCGAGTGGGTTGCACTTTGGCCAGCTCTCATGGCGGCCCCCCTGCCTCGGCTTGGGCGACGGGGATCATCACTCTCCGCAGTCTTTTACCGCTGTGGTGGACCAGCCGACAGGCGTCGGACGCACGTCACGCACGTCTCGCTCGGCCTCTCGTCGCACTCCCTTCCCTTGTTGCGAACTCTAATAAAGAGAAGAAAGATAAACTCGCGGAAGAGTCGGGGCCAAGGAGCTTCTTATGTCTTCACTGGACACGCCGTACTGCAGCGGCCAAGTCGGGACGTCGACGCACTCCCCAGCAGCGGCATCACTAGTCTCCGCCTAGCGCGGCTGAAACCTGGCGGCCAACGCGGCAACTATGGATACTCCCCCGAAGGCTTGCCGCTTCTACCGCCGAGGGAACGAGTGGTAAGTAACCGCCAATCCACGTCTTTGACGAATCCCCCTTTGTGAATTGCGCCCCATCATCTCCCCTTCCCCTCTGCTTTTCCTTGAACCAGTGGAATTCTCTAATCTCCTTTCTCCAATTCATCCGGAGAGAGTCCATCAGGTGCTCGCGCCTCACCGGTCTCGCCGAACTAACATTCAATTTTCCCCGACGGCCCTTTCTCACCTGCACTTCTAGCGAACTTCCGCAGTCTCCAAATTGACCGGTGCTATCCGCAACGCGTGTGCTAAATCTCTCGGCATCACAGCCACCTTCTATGGCATAATTAGCCCACCCACCTCAAATCCGTGTGAATTCAGTTAGGGCCACTGTGCTCCTCCTCGGCTTTGACTTGTGTAAATCGGCCCAAAAGCGCTGGACTGTCTCCTCATTATATTGTGGTTCATTTGTCGATTCTTCCCTGTCGACGCTTTGAGAAAAATGACGGACATGACATTTTCCTGTTCTGTTTATCTAATTGGGTGATACATGAACGTATCCTCACCTGTCATAACCAGGCCTAGTCTTAAGGTGAGGTTAGTTTGCCTGTTTTTCTTGGCAAAGAAGAAGATTTGTCTAGTCTTTAAACCTCCTCTGAATTCGCTTATAGCTGTACCTCTTATATTTGGCTTTGTTTCCCTGAGAACATTTCACTCGCAGGTTGTTAATTTCATAGCCTATAAATGAACGGATGAATGTAATCAAAGGACAGGCTTTTCCTCGTCCAACTTGTGAGTTCAGAAGACTCGCGATAGGGACTTGGTCCTTTCCCTTGTGTCTCTCATGTAATTTGGTTCATATCCAATAAACCTTGTTAGCCATCTGAGGACCTACAGAGTCGTCCGTTATTGTTTACGACAAAACCTGGCTACCAAGTTATGTGAATTGTCCCCGCTCATGTTAATTTTGGACTGCGGTAGACATGTGTGAAATAGCTTCAATTAACATAAGAGAACGACTTTCTAAAGGACTGAGTAGGGTATATTTTCTGGAAACATCAATTTATCCTGAGAGGCAGACGTCTCCAATAGTGTTTAATCCAATAATGTTTAATCTCATTCCCTGGCCATGGTAACCATCTGAAAGCTGGTTTGTATGACATATAATGTAGTTGCTGAGCATCCTCTGGGCGAGGAAGGATGTAGACTTCTGTGATACTAATTCAGCTGTTCAACATGAAGTGCTTCAGAATTGATTTGAAATAATTTGGTTGAATGGTCTCCTTGGTGTGTGTACACTGGGAAAATTGATACTTCTAGTGGCTTTTATATTTTCAGGCTTCAAGAGATATGATATAGTATGAGTCCAATAGCCCCAGGTTCTAGTGCATCTGTGATTTTCCTCAACCTCATCAATGCTGGCTGGAATTTCTCGTTACCAAAAAAAATAGTTTAAAAAGATTAAAAAATATTTGGGATATGTTTACTTGGATAAAGCTTCAGCTGATGCTTGTGTGTATCAGTTTTCGATGAGATCAATTCGTGGACAACTGAATTAGGAGTTCTGATGGAGGATGAATTTATCGTGGACATTGAGGCAAGAGGAAGGAAAATTTGTGAAATGGAGTTCTGCATGGAGGATGGATCTAGAACTAAGTTCAACGTTTCCTGACAACACATTTATTTCTTATGTGGGAAAAGTTCACTGCCATTTCTTGTTTTAAAATACAGGGAATGAGAGTTTTAGGGAAAAACTTGTTTCCCTCTTCCCTTTCCTTTTGTTTCATGCCCGAAGTTAAATATTTTTGTTCTGGTACTCGTGGTTCCATTTCTAACAAGACTTTATTCTTTCCGTTGTCGTACTTAATTTAGAGGGGCAAAATGTCATTCATCAATCCCCCAATATAAATGTAACTTATTTCGCCTTTGCTCACGACAATTTTTGCAGTCGTGCTGATTTTATTTCTCATTCTTGTTATCATGATCAGCATTTCAGAAAGCCCGACTCTCTTTAATTGAACTTAGACTGGACGTTCGTGCAGAAAGTGTTCAACATCGTGTCATAATCCACCATGCCACCGCTTGTTCCCGGAATCATGCCATTGGTTATCTTCATATTTCACTCATTCAAAATTTGGTTTCAACTATTTTTAGAACCCAAGCTCTGATTGGACGGCTAGTATTGGTTGCAGTGTGCAGGCCTGTCACCTTTAGTGGTTTTTGTTGAAATCAAGAACTGACAACTTCATCGCTTTAGGTATCACCTGAGAAAAAAAGCAACTAATATTGTAGATTGTGTAATGAAAATCCTATAGGGCTTTTCATAGATTCCCCGTATGATCTGATATCTAGATTAGTTTGGGATGGGGATAGGGTTTGGCCGTCAGATACAAAGTGCCCAAGATCAACTGTGTGTGTAAAGTTATTATTTGAATTTTTTGTGGAATTTATATTCCAAAAAGTATAGTATTCATTAGGTTTGCGGTTCACTTTCTAGGACAAGAGTGTTTAGAACTTATGGTGAACATGTCAAATAGTTCCGGGAAAGGTTGAGATTATCTAACTTAAACCAGCTCAGGACTTGGGCTACCTAACATTGATTTTGAAACCTGGTTTATGACACCGTTTCATTTTAAAAAGGTACGACATACAAAGTACCAAATAAGAAACAGAGTGAAGAAGAAAAATATAAAAGAAGTTCTCCCTGTTCTGGATAAAGTTAATCAAACTGACTTGAAGGTCATCTCTCATTTCCACACCTATGTTGATTATCTCTGGTATATTTCTGATTTTTTTTTCAAGTTATATTATATATTATTTCCTATGGCCTACAAGGCCACTGGCTAGGAGAATCTTCCACCATTCATGATTCAGGACATGTGGAATCCTCATTTTGTAGCACTGCTGTCAAGGTTTGAATATTTCTGACTTCACTGGTTTGTTTATAATAATCTTGTGTGATACATTGAAAATCCCACGTTCTCCAAAGAGATGATGGATAATCTCCTTTTTTATCCCAAAAAAGCTCTTATTCTGAATCCTGTGTTGGGAAATTTGGATTCTGTCAGAAGCGATGAACCGTTTCGTAACCGGTTTTCAATAGAAATTAGCGAGCCTATGTTTCCAAACCTTTCTCCGCCATAAAATGCTAAACCATTATCACTATTACTTTTTATCAATGAATCCCCGTTGACTAACTGTTTGCCTTCCATCTACATTTTGTAATGTCCTCATGATCTCGTCGCAATAAATTGTTTTTGAGAACTTAAATGATCTCTATACATACATCGTATTCAAATTCAGAAGGTTCCTTCTAAGTTGTAGATCCCGCCTATCATTGGGTTTGTCGTCCAAATTTTAAGGCCTATTTTCTCTTATTTTATGGTATAAATTTTAGAGTTGCTGGAATTTTGTCGCAAGAATAATACCATGCAACCTAGTGTACTCCCAAACTTTTCGTTTTCTTCATTAGGCTACTGAGAATCTGTAGACTTTTCTGGGAATTCATCACCACTTTAAAAGTAATTTTCTCTAACAATATCATCCCGGGCGAAATTGCTGCATCTTACTCTCCTTAACTATTTACCAAGAGGTGCACTGTTGAAAATATCTATCTTGACTGATTTTTTTTCCTTCGTTTATGTTCCAATCTATGACCCACCTGAAAAAGTCAAAATATTCTGTCTCTATTTTCCTTACTTCAAAAAGTTTGCTTCCCCTATTTACAATTTTCTTTCCTATAAATTCTGGTATCTTGAATTTCAGACATTACATCAAAGTCAAATTGGGCAAAATAGTTTTTGAAAGAATCTATAGATACTTTTGGCTGAAAGCAGTTTTGCTCTCCACTATCCAAATCTGGAATCTATAGATACCTTACGAATCAGCGTAATTGCATGGATAATCATCTCACTCTGCTTAATCATCTCATCTGTATAGTTTCTATTCTCCTAATATTTATAAGCATTTCTAGCAATATCAGTTACCATTTTATCCCTAAGTCTTCTACACGTTACATTTTAAACAGAGCTTTTATCATGAGAAAGTTATCGATGGATAAGAAATATACTATTTAGACCAACTTTAACTCCTTTCATTGATACAGTTGATTCTGAATATCCAATCTGAACTCTTTTGTGTATATCCAAAAATAAGCATGAGAACTCTGCATGTCAATGCCCTCAATACTTGAGTCAGGATGGGACCTCCAAAATGTTTCATGAAAATCAAATTTAACGCTCGTTGATATTGATCTTACTCTTAGACTTTGTGCTTTGGTCTTTTTACATTGTGCTCATGGGTAACTGATAGAGATAAGAAGTTGTGCTCGCATATCTAAAGAAAATCAATCCATTTTGAGCCGCTTTGTCAATGTACATGCATGAGACTATTTCTAATTTATATGACTGCCTGAGCTGTATGGCCCACTTTTAGAACAGCAAGTGAAATCCTAGATGAAGGGCTTCAATAGCATGACACAAAATTTGGAGAAGCGTAACACCTAGGTAGATTCCTTATGTTTCTCATCAACATAGGCCCAGTGATAAGATTGAAATTATACAAACACGTTCAGACATAAAATAATGTGACACGATAAGTACTTTAAGGACATAAAATTATACAAAATCTTGGTGCAGTTCCAAGCATCCAACTTTTGTAGCAAGGTTTTATAATCCACCTGATATTAACATGGTATATTCATATAAGCTATGCATCAGATTAGATGATTATACATTTTGCTAAAAGAAGTTGGTGATCATCCTCATCAATTTCATAACCATCCTAGGAGAGGAAGAAAAATTAAATCCTCAACTGTATGTCTGAGACCCATGTTTGCGCCAAACATCTGTGTGGCAACCCTGCTTGATATTGACTAGTCCCTGTGCATTAATGGAGAAAATAGCATCTGGCTTCTCCCACTTGAAAGAAATATGAAGGGGACACAAAATTCGTAATTTACCATATTTTCGCTGAAAAAACTGACTTCCATGCTTGTAGTATGGTGCTGAAGTTTCTTCAAAAATATGTTTCGACTATTTTCGTGATATTGTGGAAAAATTAATCTAAGGTGGTTAAAAATCTGTAGAATAGCTCCACGGTGGACATGCCAAAGGAAAACACAAATCAAACCTTTTGGAAAAACTTTGTAGCAGGCTATTTATCTCTCCGACACAAACAGGATAGGATCTTTTTGAGTCATAGGCATATTTATGCTTGTTCTGTTACCATGTTTGAGTTCCCATTGAATGTGAGGTCTGAGTGCATCTAATATAAGAACTTTCTCGGTAGCAGTTATTGATTGTAATATCCTTGTTTGCTTCAGGTTTTTTAAGATGGATCTTCCTAGTGATATTACCATCCAAGTGGACACAAGTATTTTCCATCTTCACAAGGTAAGTTATTTTAAGTGTAAAGTATATTTGATTTAGTTTTTATCGATAGCTTTTCTCTCTCCTTCGAGCTTCATCTTGATGTAAAGTCTATGGAGTTGATAACAAAGTGATTCTTTTTATGGAATATTTTCTGGAAAGTTTTCCAACTTTTGTGCAAGAAGAGCTTTTATGCATGACGGCTACTACTATTCTATCTTCATTCTAATTTCCGTTGATGATGATAAATTTCAGTGAAATATCTTTGGGTCAAAACATTGTCAGGATGTTCAGGTTCTTTACACTCCTACACAAGAGTACTGTTTTCTCCCCTTAAATAGCTTGTCTGTATTGCACGGTTTATGCCCATTTGTCTGAATCCCGTCATATTTTACTCTTACTCTTCCTAGGAGAGCCCGAGAACAATTGACAGGAGACTTACCTCAATTAGGGTTACTTTTGAATGGAAAAATCCTCTCTCTCTCTCTCTCTCTCTCTCTCTCTCTCTCTCTCTCTCTATCTCTCTCTTTCACACACACACACACACACATGGCCTAACCATCCTAAAAAGCTGCCCAACCTACACGTAAAGAAAGGCAATTACAGGATGTAAGGAAGGCGTTTTAAATATTGACAATACGACAACAAGCAAAATAAGGCCTCCACGATTCATAAAAATAAATGGTATGAACATTGACAATTACAAGCAACTGTTAGAAAAACAGCTTCCCCCCCCGGCTGCCAAAAAAAAAAGACTGTCGGTGTTAGTCATGGTTTGTTGAGTGCATGGTGGATGAAATAATTCTATCCTACCGTAATTACTTGTTTCTCTCTATATATTTTCTTAAATGAGTGTGTAGACAAAAAAAAATTAATTTAATCAAGCTGAAATCTCTATTTGTGCTTTCAGTTTCCTCTGTTATCAAGATGCAGGAAGATAGCAAGGATTCTAGAGACATCAGAAACTCAGGAAAAGGCAATGTATGTCGTATTGATGGAATGTCCTGGAGGCTCTGACGCATTTTTGTTCGCTGCAAAGTTCTGTTATGGTCTCCGTGTGGAATTGACAGCAAAGAATATTTTAACAGTGTATTGTGTCGCAGACTACCTTGAGATGACTGAGGAATATGGTGAAGAGAATTTGCTTCCAAATGCAGGAACATTTTTTCACAAGGTTGTTCTTCGAAACTGGAAAGACTGTCTTTTGGCACTTCAGTCATCTAACCTTACAATTGAGAATGAGGTTACCCTCCAAATCGTGAATAAAACCCTGAGTGCTTTATCCATGATGGCATGTACTGATCCCAGTTTGTTTGGCTGGCCTATGATGATGTATGGGAACACGCAGAGCCCTGGTGGGAGTATTCTCTGGAATGGCATAAATACAGGTGCTAGAATTAGGAGTGACGTATCAGACTGGTGGTTTGCAGATGTCTCCTGCCTTTCTGTGCCATTGTTTTGCCGACTCATGGAAACTATGAAGGAGAGAGGGATGAGACCAGAAAATATTTCCGGTGCAATCATTTACTATGCCAGGAAGTACTTACCTGGTCTTGATCGGTGGCTGACGGGGTATGGGAGGAGAGGCGCAGAAAGCTTCAGCGTCGTTTCTGTTGACCAGAAGGTGTTACTAGAAAGCGTAGAAAAGCTGCTTCCTGAGAAGAAGGGAAAATCCTTTTGTCAGTTCCTGTTGGGACTTTTACGAATTGCTATGATATTGAATGTTCGTCCATCGTGCAAGTATTCTCTTGAGAAAAGAATAGGCATGCAACTTGAGTTGGTTACTCTAGAGGGTCTTATAATTCCTTCGTTTTCAGATTCGGACAGTTTATATGACACTGATTGTGTTGAGCGGATCATTAAACATTACTTGTCAGCTGAGGCATCTAATGTTACAGGATTCTCTCCATCATCATTTGATCCGTGTCTGACACCGTCCTCCTTTCCTTTGACAAGAGTTTCAAAGTTGGTGGATAGCTATCTTGCTGAGGTCGCCTCTGATCCAAACTTGAAGCCTGAGAAGATGCGTAGTCTAGCTGAGGCCTTCCCTGGATCTTTAAGGTCTCTCAATGATGGACTGTACAGGGCACTGGATATCTATCTCAAGGTACGAGACATTAATAGTTCTTATCTCGTATTCTTTGTGACTGAGTTATCCATCCAGATCTTTTCAGATAATTGTTGCTTTAAAGTCATCGCACACATTTCATTTCTCCTACATTATTCGAGCATATAAACTGTAAAATGAAATGTCGTTTAAGTAAGGATCTAAATCGTAACTATCAGGATCTCATACAGTTCTTGGCATTTCAGGTTGAGATCATTCTTATCTATTTATGGCTGGCTGATATTATAGAGCGTCGAGTGTCTATAAATGCTTGCCACCTTTTCTCATTGTCTCATAGTTTTGCAGGCACACCCTTGGTTGTTGATGAGCGAGAGAGAACAACTTCTCAGTGTCATAGATTATAGCAGGCTCTCCATTGATGCATGTAGCCATGCGTCCCAGAATGAACGGCTGCCGCTGAGAGTTACTCTGCAAGTTCTATTCTTTGAGCAGTTGCAGCTGAGAACAGCTCTTTCAAGTCGTTTTCATGTTGCAGATACTGACAGCAATGTGACGGGCAATGAAGAAGATGTGGCCGGACAGGTAGTGCAGGCCGGAGGCTGGGTTTCTCTGGTCAGAGAAAGCCGCACCATGAGAGTAGACATGGACAAGATGAGGTCAAGGGTCAGAGAGCTGGAACGGGAGTTTGTAAATATGAAGCAGGAGGTCAAGAGGGCTGGAAGACCTCACGGTTTGATTAGTTCTAAGAAGGCTCCCACCATACTGGGTTGCATGCATCTTCCTCATTTGGGTGATCCAAAATCCAACTCCCTGGGGAGCGCAGTATCAAGCCCACGGAAGTCTTTTGAGCGACTCCAGCAGCGTCAACATCTCAGAGAAAAGAAAAGTTCTTCACTGGTTTGAAGTGAAACCCACCCACCTTTTGGCTGTGAATATCGTTTGTTGATCGGGATTCCGTCTCAACTCTGATAGTCAAAGATGTCCGGGGAAAGTGCACTCTTCTTACCTTCACTCATTCAGGATTTTCGCTGTGTGGGGGATCCTGGATGTGACGTGCGGCCGGTCACGCTACAACACGACACCACAGCCCGATCCGATATTATGGGGCAGTTTAGGGTGTACTTAAGACTTGGGAAGGCTCTAGCGATGGAGAATCTGGGTGTTCCAGCGGTCTCCCGATTGTTGTGTGGAAGGCTCTTTCGGTCGTTCAAGGTGGAGGGTCGACATAGTGACGCCGTGGTGAGCTGAAAATAATGGTCATGGCGCTCACTCTCTGGATCTCATTCATGGCCGCAGAGTGCGGTGTACAGTTCTCGGTGTAAGTGTACATACAGCCAGCAGGGAAATTAAATTAAATCAAATTTTATATTGTCTCACCAAAGCTTTCTCTCGCGCATCATCAAAGTGAGTGAGTAAGTGAGCCATAAAAGCAGTCCAATAATCCCCCGCGGCGTTTGGAAATGACGACCGGAACGCGGGGGGTTTCCTTGAGCGTAATGGATTAGCACGGCAATTTATCCCTGCTCCATCCCGGGTTCTCTAGAGACATCTGCCAGGAGCCGCTCCTCACCGTCCATGAACGAAGAAGGCCAATAGCTCCTGAAAAAGAGGAAATGCACGTCTGTTTGTCAAGATCTGACAGATGTTTTCTTAACAAGTCAGAGAACGGATTTGACGAGCAACAGGGCGCGGTCTCTGAGGGTCCTCCCCACCCCCCTTACCGTCACCACTCCGTGAATTACTCATATCGACGGAATAATTGACGCGACGTCACGTGCCGTCACGTCTCTGCGACTCCGAACTCCCGCATGAGCTCCCACCGTCACGCCCTAAAGGATGCCACGACCCCCCCAAGCCTCCCCACGCCGCTAACGTCGTCTGCATCCCGTCTTCTCGCCGCGACCTCTAACCCTAACCCTAACGCTGCCGCGCCGGCGACTTTGTATGGCCGCCTCCTCCTGCGACGACGACTTCTCCCTGCTCGGCGACGACGCCGCCGCGGCACAGCCTCACCACGACCCTAGCCAATCCCATCGTCATCACCATCTTCCTCAGCAGACGCAACTGCAAGCGGCGGCGACTGCAGCCGCCTTCGTGACTCACCGATTTGTGACGACGAAAGGGCCCGTCCCCGTCCACGCCTCCCACGCCCTGCGCGGCAGTATCAGGAGCCCAAAGAAGTCCACTGGCGTCGACGACGACGAACCTGTCGACTACGGGGAGGCCTTCGCCGAGGCCGATGCTGCCGCATCTAAGCTCCCTTCCGCCCCCTCCCCCGCCGCCCCCGCCTTCCACGACGTCAATTCCCACCATTGTTTCGCCAGTACAGACGACGACCCTGTCGCTGCTGCCCCGAACGACTTTCCATCCCAGCTGCCGGAAGATGAAGACGACGAAGGAGACGACGGAGACAGCAATCGCCACCATCTTGAGAGGAAGGGGAGAGGCACGCCCGGGAGTGGCACTGTTGTCGGATCTCACCCCTCCCGTCCGGATATCAAGCGCAAGGACCGCGAGGAGCTCAGCGACGGCGGCTCCCCCTACTGCTTCAATAGCGGTGGCAGCGGTAAGAAGCCGAGGCTGTCCTCGTCGATGGACTATCGCAAGGACAGGGAAGAGTGGAGTGACTCGGCCATCGCGTGCCTGCTAGATGCGTACACAGAAAAGTACGTACAGTTGAATAGGGGTAATCTGCGAGGGAGGGACTGGGAGGATGTGGCTACTGTTGTGAGTGAGCGATGCGACAAGCAGAAGTCAGGCAAGAGCGTGGAGCAGTGTAAGAACAAGGTTGACAATCTCAAGAAGCGGTACAAGGCCGAGCGCCAGAGGCTTAGCAGCGGCAATCTCTCGGTTAGTCACTGGCCCTGGTTCAAAAAGATGGAGCAGATTGTAGGCTCGTCGTCAACCTATGCCAAGCCGTTATCAGAGGACGACAAATCCATTGTGGCTGTTGGGGACGGTTCATCCTCTGCTGCCACTGTCAGGCAGAGCAAGAGGTCCATCTCTTTCATTCCTCTAGAAATCCTCTTTAGTCTACATGATATTCTTTTTGTGTGAAAGAAGGATGCGGATAAGAACCAGCATTCAAATATCATCGGGAACAGTGTATGGATTACTTTCAAGACATTGCCTTTTTCTTCAAATTAAGGCTTGAAGTACATCAGAGCATATTTTAAGAAACATCTCAATGTTAAAAGCGTCTGACTCTAGTATATTTAGAAGAGTATGGATCATTCTGCTTCAGGATCTGCAGGGCTATTGCTTTCGCAATCAACTTTAGAGGGCAGCTGTGTCGATGCCAAAGCTTTTCTTTTCTAGCGTATTTGATTGTTAAATTTATCATATAGGTAATGTGAAAAACTCTGCTTATCATATAGGCCGTTTATATATGCCCAAACAGCGGTTTTTGCACTTAATTCTTGTCATCACTTTCGTCATGAAGCTTTACCGGGTATAAATAGTTTTCTGCTTTCTTTTGATCAGTGCTGCCGATAGGTCATCCTAGGATGCATTTTATGGTAATTTCTTATTAAAGGTGGTTCGCCTTCTGATGTAAGTTCTCTAAAATTCCTAGGTAGCATAAGTTGGCCAATTGTGGCATCGTTGGTGTAGAAGTAGATAATAATTCGTAATAAAAACGTAGAATGCGATCCTTGAGAACTTGTTACAAACCTGGAAAATCGCTCCATGTAATGTTTTGGAGTACAATCATGATCAGGACTTACTAATGAAGACTGAAAAAAGGGGTAGTATATAATTTTCTTGACATTTGTGGTCAAAGAGGTGTCAGTCACGTAAGCCACGGTATAATTATGTATACCTGAGGGATGCTCTCAAACAGGGCTTCCAGGCTAGAGTCCAAGTACTCGAAAGTCTTTACCAAAAAGTGCCACGTGCCCATTTTCATGATCGGAAACGTATTTAAGTTTCATTAATGTCTGACTGATTCATGGCATGCATGCTTTAGATCTATTAGACATAAGTAAAAGGAGGATGCAATGAAATCATATAAAGTTTCTACTGTCGGCCCACCACTCATGAACATAGTGAGAAATAAGAGGGAAGGTACGATGTCAAACAGAAGAGGAAAAAAATCGGACAAAATGATATGAATTATTTGTTTTCCACCCCATCACCTGTGAGCACTCCACCTAAAGAAGCAAAATAGTTGGTGAATTTGGTTTCACCAAGTACTTCAGTGATAGCAACCGATGATGTTCTTGCTAGTGATTTTGTGTAGATTTACACTTTTCCGGCCTCTGGGATCAGGGTAGTGATCCAGAGGGACCGTATGGGATGCCTAATTGTCCTTCTTGAGTGACATTGGGTGATAGATTCCAATAGACTATTGACTTTATTACTTTCCTGAAGGACTCTGATTCCAAAGGAGCGGTCAGCGACTATGTCCTTGGGCAGAAAAATTATGTAAATGAAAAATTGTGGAGTTTTTTCCAAAGGAACAAGCACAGGAACCTCAACCTGACCAGTAAACTCAACTAAGGATTAACATAAAATATCCCTCCAAATGTCCAGTTCCTCCATTCATTTCTTTTTGAAACGTTCCAATGGTGGTCCATATAGATTGGAGATGTCAAGAAGAAACGAGTACGTTTCCATTGATATGATGGGGACTCTTTTTAAATTTAGACTATGGTGTAGGATATATTAAGAATTAGTCAATTTATGGAAATGTGATGGGGACTGTTGTCGCTTAAATTTGGACTTGGTGCTCGCCTCTTCATTTTCCATTTGAGGAATGTTTTTTCATGTGCTTTGAAGGAAGATGTTCATTCTATTACTTATTTCAAATCAATTCTTTTGGAGATCATGAATGGAAGCCGCTTGGATTTTGTCCAGAGAATTAATTTTGGACAGTATGCAGATTGTTCCCTTACATATTTGGCGCTTTCAGAAGACCTTTGATGAATACATTTGTCACTGTCTTTATGTTGTCTGGGATAATTCAGGGGGAAGTTTATTGTTTATTTCGATTATTACTTGTCTAAAATGTAAATGTCAGAAATTCAACCTGTCAGTCCCAGGTTAGCTCCTTGGCCCTGTTGGACGACGGATGGTCTCATTGGTTCGCATACTGTCATCACCACATTATTCTGGTGTCTAGGTTTCGGCAATCTGACAAGTTCGTCACCTTTATTGAGAGATCTGCCATGGAATAGCTCTAGCTTAACCCTCCTTCCAAACTTGCACATCACTGTTGTTGCAGTCCGCCACCTATACATTTCCCCCGAGATAATGTCCCTTGGATTTTCAAGTTGTTCCAAAAGTCATTGATATTTTATGTTCTTAGCAAATTATTGCCTCCAAAGGGATAAATTATACTGTCACCTCTGGATTGGTGGTGAGCAGTAACAATGTCTATCTGGAATGTGCGGCAGCCGCCAATGATTAAACTAGTTGATGAAGTTCCTCTAGTCTAGTCCTCTTAGTAGTATTATGCTCTGCCATCCCAGGTGATGGCACTATCTCCCAGAGATAAGATTTTACTGGCCAGCTCCACCTGAATCTGGGCCAAGATTTTAGAAGCTGCTTCTGGAGAACATCCAAAGTGGTGTAATTTGGGCCAGCATTGGTCATCAGACGCTAGTGAGGAAGAGTATAAAGTTCCTCTCTCTCTCTCTCTCTCTCACTTGAGCCATTCTTACCCTTCTTCTTTTCTCTTTTGATGGAATTTATCAGTGAGCTTATGTGGTGGTACTGTCCTCCAAGTTTTACATTCAGCAAAATCTCTTACATAACCATTACATTGCTCCATGATTGGCTGATTCCCGATCATACAATATACTGTATTTGATGGTACCCATAGATCATGGGGTAGAGGTTTTGTGTTGGGTGAATGGTATTCATCTCTTCGCGTGTATAATTTCCGTGTCCACGTACTCCCAGGAAAACAGCCTTCAGTAAACTTCTAATTTTGTTTCGATCAAAATTGTGAAAGTAGACTATAGCGGAAAAGTAAGATACATATGTGAATGAAACTGATCATATTTTATGAAAACACCCATCTTTCTCTAAACATGAATGGGGAAAAGTTTTCAACCTTGCTTTTCTGGTTTATCTTTTCGGGAATCTTTTTGTTCAGCACTTTAGTCATATAATGCTAGTAGACACTAAAGTTTCAACGTTCTATGTATGTGATGCTCAGTACTTGTACTTGTGTTTTTTTTTCCCCCCTGTTTCATTTCATAAACCTGTAAGTAATTATGCAGATATGCGCCTGCCAACCCTGGACCGGTGAACTTAACAAATAACTTGAAGACAAAGCCCTTGTCAATTCCAAGGTGGCGAAGAGTGGTCTTAAAAATTAGTGGAGATGCCTTCACTGGGAATGGACCTCAAAATGTTGACCCTAAGGTTCATCTCCATCTCTTGTTTTTATTTCTTGCATTGTGACTATTATAGTCTATTAGGTTAACAGGTAAATAGTCGCTTATTTATCCTTAAAGAGGGTTATCTAACTCATATTGTCTATTCTATGCTTAGGTGATGATGCTAATAGCCAGAGAAATTGCAACTGCTTGCCGTGTAGGAGTAGAGGTATGCATAATCCAAGCCAATTTATGAATGTCGTATTTCTTCAATGGTAAAGGTTTTTGCGTTCTTAGTAAATGTCCTATTTCCCATCCTTTTTATTTCCAGGTGGCAATTGTTGTTGGGGGACGCAATTTCTTTTGTGGTGATTCATGGGTGGCTGCAACCAGTATTGACCGAGCAACAGCATACCAAATAGGGTATTGTTTTTAATAATTCGGGCCTTCTCACAGATCTTTTATCCTAATCAAGTTACTGGTGCTTTAAGCTTTTATCCTAATCAAGTTACTGGTGCATTAAGGATTTGTGAAATTTAAATTTTTGTCATTTATTTTTTCTTCCACGATTTCTTTGTATCAGTTCCTGGATTTGTCTTTCTACTACTACCTTTTTTCTAGGTTTGCTTTTCTGATCCAGTTTTAGAAGGAAGATTCTGTTTTTCTTTTCAACTATTCCTTAACTTGTAGTCTCTGTGTGGGAGGTAAAACGTGTGAAATTCATACTCAACTTCATTCAGAATAGATATGGACATTGAGGAGGGGTTCTCTTAGGACTTCATGCCATTTATTTCTCTACCTCATATCCATTCCCCCATTTCTGATTTCCGATATGTAGGCATGTGTTTATGGACAGGAGTGGGCATACCTTTAAGACAATCCAAATTCAGATGATAGATGGCAGATAGAAGAAAACAAAGGTGATTCATCACAATTGTAAAGCAATACCCATCAATACTTGGTGTTCTTGTGACATGGTTCACGGATGTACGTTTTTTTTTAATCATTATTTCTCAATTGACTTATAAATAAGTTTCAAGAATTCGTCTCTAGTGCCAGCACTAAGTTGAGGTTAGTTGGAGACCAAGAGATCTCGCCTTTTGGGAAGAGTCGTTGCAGTCTGAGCTTACCTTGGCCTCTAATCTTCACATGGAAATAACTTTCTGAAGAAACTGGAACTGGCAGTTGTGGATAGGGATTTATGCATAAAGCACAAGGAAAAGCATTTGTTGAAGTGTTGACCAAATATATTAACGAAATGACAAAAAGTACTAGAACCATGGGGTACAGGCTAAAATAAAGGCCCAAAATGTAACCAAGGAATTCTCGATTAATGCTACCAGTAAGCGACATAAAGACTACATCAGAATGATAGTGTTGCCAAGATTTGCTACCAGCATGTTCAACAGATGTTCAATCTTCCTATCTGTTGGTTGTTTTCCTTGTTACGTTGAAGTCCCTTGTTCTCCAATATGATGGCGTTTTCACTGAAGAACTCGTCATTTGGGAATTGCATTTTTTTCTCCGGTGTAATTTTGTTAGTCTCCGTGACTGGATTCAGTGGCCAGACCCGTTTAAACTTTTGCTCTGTATTTGTTATATAATTCATATTTGAATAGACGTTTAGAGAGTATTTTCAATAGTGAATCAGCTGGGTAGCCTTTGGAATTCTGTTCATCCCCCGAAATTCAGTTGCTTCAGTGAGGCCATTCCCGGGCTTGATCTTGCTACAGAGAAATGTGATAAGGTGCATCAGGAACAGCACCTTATGTTTATATACGATTTGCCCATTCTGCTACTGATATCTGTATACGATTCCCTCTCTAACTCAGGGTCTGTTAACGGAAAATGTGTCCGAGTCATGTCCTTGAAAGCGAAGCATCTTGGACAGGATTTTTGCTTCCTGCGTCAATTAAAGGCAGAATAATATGCGCTTACGTTCAAGTTTCGTAGGGTTTAGCTGGTCATACTTTTATAAATCCCCATCCTCCCTTTTGTTCGGGGGAGGGTGGGGGGGGTTGTGGTGGGAAGTTCTCTGGTAGTTGGAAGTGGGTGAGAAGAAAACAGGTGTAAAGTGAACACTAGCAACCACAATTTAAGAAGATGCTCTCTTCTAACAATTCCAAGTTATCGACAACTACATGTGTACATTTATGTTACCCCCAAGTAACAATAGTTGGCTTTATGCCTATCATTTGATCATCGCATATTTTGTATTTCATTCAATTTTTGTACCTTTTGCACCTTTCGATTTCATTGTATATTGTAGGCAAATAACCTTCACGCATCATCTTTGTTGGATAAGACAGGCAATGGATTTATCTACTCATTGTCTTATTTTTGCCGTAGTTATTTTACTCTTGTATTAAGTTGACAGTTTCCTTAGCGGAAGAAATAGTTTTGGCATCTGTGTTTATGATTTCTAGTTTCATATTTTTGTCATATTTCTAACTTCTAGCCTCTGTAGCTGTTCGAGATATGTAGTAAAGTCCAGGTTTTCCGTTTCTTCTGTTTCTTCTGGTTATGCATCTTCTCTTCGCCACGTTTTTCCCTCAATGCCTTACACTTACCCGCTTGGGTGCTACAGCATGATGGCGACTGTAATGAACTCTGTGCTGCTTCAAGCATCTCTTGAGAAGATTGGTGTGCAGACACGCGTACAAACATCATTTATGATGCAAGAGATTGCAGAGCCCTACATCAGAAGAAGGGCAATCCGTCACCTTGAGAAGGGAAGAGTTGTCATCTTTGGTGGTGTTGGTGTCGGAACAGGGAACCCGCTTTTCAGCACTGATACGGCTGCTGCTCTGAGAGCCTCCGAACGTAATGCTCCTCGAGCTGACTGCTTTTTATTGAATGCTTTTCATCCGGGTGGGCTCACGAGCATTTAGAATCTGAATAGAAATTCAATGTCCCCTTTGTCAGTTGGTGCAGACGCCGTTCTTAAAGGAACGACCGTTGACAGCGTTTTCGAGTGTCATCAGCGGACCAACAGCCGCGTTCCCTTTGAACATGTGTCATTCAGGGAATTGCTCGCAAGAGGTTTCACAGCCATGGATACGACAGCTATCACTTTCTGCGAGGAGAACAATATCCCTGGTCAGTCGTGTAGCCATGCAATGCGAGCACCTGCTTTTGCATCTCTTATTTTGCCCGCCTTGTTAACATGGACCATCTTGCTTGTGCAGTTGTGGTCTTTAATCTTCTAGAATCTGGGAACATCTCGAGGGCGCTTTGTGGAGACCAAGTGGGCACCCTTGTTGACCAGTCCGGAAGGATCGGTTGACGTCATATATTCTACCTTGTGGGTAGTCGTTGCTGCTGTTGTAAGAATGATGAGTAGGGCTCGCATTTGAGCTTTCTACTGTGTATAATGAATGCGATGGAATTCCTGGAGGTGTGAACGAACGAACATTCTGACTGTGGTCGCGCGAGTAGTGTCTCGTGGAGCCTTTCGGGTGCTGATGTACGTACGACTATCTGTATAATAAGAAGCAAGGAAGCGTAATGACATTTTTTTTTCTCTTCTCTGTTTGGTGTTCAGAAGCATCGACGACTTATGCTCACGATAGCTCCGGTACATCGCGGCGCGGCTTACAACCGGCATCGGCACGCACATGTAGAGGTGTGTGCTGTCGTGCAACCTAGCCTAGCTTGCCGATGTACTACATCCCGTATGTACTACATCCCGTAGCCTAGCTTTTAGGGTTGTTGTAGCGGCCATTACACTAACAACCACCATGGCTTTTACCATCTCAGCACTGTCTATAGTAATTTTGGGGAAGGGTTGGACGCCTTCGACTATGTAAGAGCACCGCAATGTACAAAGAGATATGTATGACTTCAGGTTACGGAGAGGATGTTCTTCCCCCGGTGTATCGTCCAATAGTGGCCCCTCAAACCCACCATCCAATAACGACTAGCTGAATCTCAACTATTCACAAGGCTTCCAATCACTCCATTTTATTGAAGTGAGCTTCATGGCTTCTATGAAGGTGGTTGTTTGTGTGAGACTCTCCTCCAATCAAGCGATCCCCTACCCATGTGTGCTACTCTCACCTACCATCTTAACCCTTGGTCTGACACTAAATTATCATAAAGATCCAGTGACTGTCTCTATCGCCAATCAATCAATGTCGAATAGTTTTGCGTCTGCTCATAAAAGGGGCACGAACAATCATCTAAAATTATTTTATTCATTTTTTAGCATAAGTATTGACTATTTTACGTTTAAAAATTTTAAATGTTAGCTAACATTTTAAAAATCATAGTAAATAAGAATCATTGAATTTCAATTCATTGTATTCCTCTTTCAAGTATCTTTTCATTTTCTCTCTAAATTCGCCATCAAAAGTAGTGGTTTATATAGATTACACACAACACACCTTAGTGGAGACATAGACATATAGTAGGAAACAACTACTACTGATAGAGGTGTAACCCTTGTCAAGAGTCTCTCTATACATTGTGAAGATGGTCCTTACCAAGAGAGAGGCCAACCCTAGCTAAGAGAAGTAGACTCTCCACATAGTATTGCGCTAGAAGCGTGAATAAACAACCTCACTTTATTTTGTAGTGAAGACTACACGTATCTTTGAGCTCTTGTATGATTCCGCACAAAGATAAAGAGTGTTCCACGTCAACTGAGCAATGGTTGAGGCTGCTACGGGAGATTAAAAACAGATCAGCTTCTACGGATACCCGTTGAGATCGTCGGTGTTTGCGGATATCAGTCCGCGAACTCCGTAGAGAGGGAGCCCGTAGAACAGAGATTGCAGAGAGATCCCGCGGAGAAAGACGCGGCGGTTTTGAACGCGGTCGAATAATCGGAGAAAGAGAGAACGGGGGCGAAGGCTGAGAGAGTCGGGGCGAGCTCACCGATGAGCACCCGTTGTCTCATGGTGTCTTTCGCGTCCTTGAAATGAGAGGTCGCGGCCTAGATAAGATTAGATGGTCTACTCAGGGTGCGGGATCATCTTCAATAGCTCGGCCGGTTGACATCACAATCTGTGGTGACGATGGAGGGGGAGGAGGAGGCGAGAGAATCGTCGAGTTCCTCCTCGTCCACGAGGGATGAAAGGTCCCCTCTGATGTCCTCGATCATCTTGACCACCTCGCACATCCTAGGCCTCTCCTCGGGCCGCGGGCCCACGCAGGCCATGGCCACCTGCAGCATCGCCACCATGTCCTCTTCGATGTTCTTGTACCTCATCAGTTCCGCGTCAAACACTTCCGCCGTCCACTCCTCCCTCACCACTGACCGGACCCACTCCGGAAGGTCGATCCCGACGGTGCCGCCGCCGTCGTCGCCGCCGCACTGGGACGGAACTCTCCCAGTGAGGACCTCCAGTAGCACCACGCCGAACCCGTAGACATCTGCCTCCTGGGACAGCGTTCTGGTCTCTGTCTGCTCCGGAGCCCTGTATCCGCCCAGCCTCGCCGTTGCATCCGCAGGATTCAGGAGCAGTGCCAGCCCGAAGTCGGAGAGGCAGGGGCTCCCGTTCTTGTCCAGGAGAATGTTCGACGACTTGAGGTTCCCGTGGGGAATCCTCGCCGAGCTGTACTGCTCGTGGATGAATGCGAGGCCGCGAGAGGCGCCCATCACCAGGGCGATCCGAGCGGTCCAGTCCAGAGGGACCCTCTGTGGCCTTCCCCGGTTGCCTGCGGCACAATACCGTCATACATACGACAATGACGAGCCTGAGACGACAGCGCAAGAAGGGGCAACATTTATTTGCAGCAGAGTGAGAACACACCATGAAGAAGGGAGAAGAGGGAGCCGTTGGGTTGGTAATCGTAGACAAGGAGCTTCTCCTGCGCGGCATAGTAGTAAGCTCGGAGACGGACGAGGTTGGGGTGGCGAAGGCCGCCCACCACCTTCATATACCGCTCGAACTCGATTCGGCTGCAAGGGTTGGCGTCCTTGAGGCGCTTCACCGCCACCGCGTAGCCGCTCTCCAGCACCGCTCGGTAGACCGTCCCCAGGCTGCCCTTCCCCAGCATTTCTGCCGAAGCCCTCAACAGATCCTCCAGCTCGAACCCCCGCCGCTTGTCGAAGAATACCAAGCTGCTGCTGCCATGGACCTCTGCCGCTGCATCAGGATTGTAGGTGTTATTACTATCGCGGTGAATCATGCCACCATCCCCTTTCTCGCCATTGTTCTTCGAGACCCCGCCGCATAATAATCAGTAACCGTCAACACCAGGAGAAGCAGACCGCAATACCCACAATGGCCAGGGGGCACATTTTCTGCGCCCAGCCGTCTCCGCCCCTTTTCCCGGGCTCTGTACCACTGGTGTTGCCACCACTGCCGGCCGAAAGGGAACCGAACTCGGAGGTGAGCGTCGAAGGCACGATGGGAGGGACAGACGGCGGAGGAGGCGACATCGTCCCCCCTACGCGCCCTGTGGAGGAGCAGAGGAGGAGGGGGGCCCTCGATCCGCAGAGCCCGGCATTACCGGCGAACGACACATTCCCGAACTTGGCCTGGACTGCGTCGGGCACCTTGCCGGAGAGCTGATTGTTGGATACATTAAAATCCTTGAGGCTTGGAATGGCCGCCGCCACATCGGGGATGCCGCCGATGAGGAGGTTGTCTTGAAGGCGGAGGGTGCGGAGGCCAGGGATGTGGGCGAGGGCGACGGCACTGGGTATAGGGCCAGTGAGGCTGTTGTCGGACAGGTCCAGGCGGATGAGGCGGGGGAGGCGGGCGAGGCCGGCGGCGGGAATATTGCCGGAGAAATCATTGCGGGAGAGGTAGAGAAGCCTGAGATTGGGGAGAAGGAAAGCGGGAGCAAGGGAGCCGTTGAGGCGGTTGCCGCGGAGGTCGAGGATACGGAGCTGATCGAGCAGGGCGAGTGGGTCGAGGGGGCCGCGGAGGTCGAAGGCGGGGAGGGAGAGGGAGATGACCCGCCCTAAACCCGGGGAACAGGTGACGCCGCGCCATCGACCGGAGCAGGCGTCGGGACTGCTCCAGTTGGAGGCGAGGATCCCGTGCGCGTCTGTGCTGAGGCGGAAGGCGGTTAGAGCGTCGGTGTCGTTGGATGTCGCTGCGGCGGGCACTGTCGCTAGGGGAGAGAAAAGGAGGACGAGGAGGAGTCGCGAAGCGAGGAAGGGTGCGTAAAAGAAAGGGGGGGAGATTAGGGGTGTCCCCGAACGATGGGGGGACGCCATGCGGGACGACAGAAGAGGAAGGTGTGAGGGGGTTGGACTGCAGAAGAAGACCCGAAGAGGAAGGCCAAGGCGAGGTTCTGAAGGGCCCGAGTCAGAAAAGAGGGATGAGTGCGAAGACCACTACAGTGCGCGTGCCGTGTTTCCCGGGGGTGGGGAGGGGTGCTGAAGTCCCCGGTGAGCGGGAAGGAGACGAGTTTTGGGCTTTCAAACTGAGTGGAGGGGGACCGCAACGGTCGCGCCCCGCCGCAGGGCCTCTCCTTTTCCGGGGACGGAGAGGGAGGCGGGGCTCTTAGCGCCTTCGGGGCTGCCGATAATGATGAGGGTTGCAGGACGGGCGCTCTCGCAATGGGGCGAGAGTCGGGGGCGCAGTACTCACTACTCCCTGGACGATGATGAGGATACCGACGCATAAATTTTTGGTTGAGTAAAGAGAAACTAGGAGGCGGACGGGGCATTTTCCAATTAGCTAGAGTTGAATCAGCGCACGGTGAAGTCGTTTGCGAAAAACGTGAGCAGGGGCCTCGGATACGCGAGGCAGACTTCCGACGCGGCGATCGAAAACTACGAAAGTCGTCCGTTCTCTTCATGCCGCGCGCGCGCGAGTTCTGTGATGATCGGTCATCGGTCGGTCCTCCTCTTCACTAGCATCGTCGGCAAACCCCCCCGGTCGGAAACGTCGGATCGAAGAACCCCCCCTCCTCCATCCCTTCGGTCCACTGTGTTATTACGCTCGTTCGCGCTCCCGCGCCTACGTCCGTCCCCTCCCCGCTCGTGCGGGAAAATCGTTGACTTCTGACTCCTCCTGCGTGTCCTCGTCCCAGCCAGTTCCCCGCGCCGACCCTATTCGGCCGTTGCTCGCGGTTCCCCTCTAGGGTTCTTGGAACCCCCCTGCAATGGGGAATCGGAAGGTGACGCCCGAGCAGATCTCTGTCGTGCGGTCCGTCGTGGGCGGTGACTTCCCCGAGATGGATATCATACGCGCCCTCCACCTGGCCAACAACGATCCCACAGCCGCTATCAACATTATATTCGACGCCCCGGCGCACTTCCAGTCATCAGTCCCCGCCTCACAGGGTGACGGCGCAGGAGCTACTCCTCCCTCTCCCACTACCCCAGCCACCCATGCCCCTTGTGGAATGTCTGGGATGCGCAAGGTTCCCGGTGCCACCCCCTCGCCCAGTGCAGACCATCTTACCCATCCCGCTCGAGACGCAGACAGCGTAGATTGCCATTCCGAAGAAGGGGCGACCTCCACCCATGTTAACTGCGTCCATTACCCACCAGAGGCACCATCGGGGGATATCGACCGTAAGGCGACTGAACCAGGAACCAGAGATGACAAGAACAACGACTGGTGGCTGGTCGGCAGATGCGACCTCACCGGACTGTCCACATGCAAAGGTCGGAGGCTGAAGGCCGGTGAATTGGTGAGCTTCTCTTTTCCGTCTACAAAAGTTGAGAGCTCCTCATCCACCGCAAGATTTCCGAGTCGAGGACGACAAGTGGCTTCTTGTTCAGAGATTGTCAGATTCGCGACTCCGGATTCTGGAGAGGTCGGGCACTTTTTTCAAATCCTTAACGTTTTTATGCTATTCTCGGAATCAGCTGACGAACACCATGGTCTTATGTGCTTTTGTCCGGGTACAATTTAGATTGGCCGCATTCCAAATGAATGGGCACGTTGCCTAGTGCCACTCGTAAAAATGAATAAGGTTCGGATTGAAGGGTGCTGCAAGTCTGCTCCTGACGTGCTCAGCATCATGGACACCCTTCTCCTGTCTGTCAGGTATGGACAAGGTAATATTTGATTATAGCAACGTCAGTAAATGGAACCTGCACTAGGATGTTCGCATTCGCTGTTCCCAGCTCCTACGAGCACCAAATCGTTCCTCTTCTTTATCAGATTATTTACATTTTAGTCGCAGCATATTATTTGAGCATTTCGCCGTAAACACCTTATTCACCGTTGATTTCCTTGCAGCGTGTACATCAACATTCGTTTATTTGGAAAGCACCACCAGACGCCACTTAAGTCTTCCCTTTCGGCCACTGAGGGGATGACAATCCATCCCCTCTCAACTCTCTTCAAATTAATAGGTCTGGAACCTTTCAAGAAGGTTAGCTACTTTATGTTAATCGTTCTCCGTGCTGATATTATTCTTCTGCGTTTTTTATTTGTAAGATATGATATTGTTGTGAATGTAAACTTTGTGATGCAGAGGCCTAAGGATGAGCTTGTGTGGCCAATGTCTAGTGATGAGATAGTATTAGTTTGTGATCATTCATGGATCATGTGTATTCTTACTAAGTGGGATTGAATTTTTAAATAGCGTGCATAAGCAAGGTGTTAAGGTAGCGTCTGGTTTCAAGAACAGGGAAGCTCAAAATTGCAGGGGTGGATTGCAGAGTGCGATTTTTTCTTTTTTTCTCATGGAAATGAAGGATAAACTAAATTTATAGAGTCTCTGGGGATATTCCTGGAAGTTTTTTCAGAATTATAACGTACAATGGTGTTGCAAGATATATGTTGCAACACATTGAAGATGTTTAGGTCTGTTCTGGGAGAGATGCAATAATTGAAATCAATTGTGATTAGTGTATTTATGGAGAAGTTATGGACGGAAAGCATTCGTAAACCAGAGGAGGTGCCAAGATCTATGCAGAAACGTATTGCAAATAGTATTAATGAGTGCGAGTAGCGGTAAGGAAGAATGCTTTCTGTGGTGTGCCCAAAAAATTACAACAATCGGAGGCTAAACTAAATGGAATCAAAAGGTAAGGCTGGATGAAGGATCTAACTCTTTAGCAGTTTTTTGGTAAAGTGAAGTACACTGAAATTCTCCTGCTTTAGCTAAGAATAACCAATGTTTTATTTTCATCATTGCTTTGTGGATTGAATTTTTTATGCTCATGTAAGACTTCTGAAATTTCCTTAATTCCTGTTGGCATCGTTTACCAAATGCCACGTGATTAAAAATAGGATCCTATCACTTTGCTACTTATCGTTTCCCAATGGACGAAAAATGCCAATTGTAACATGATACCTTTGACGAAAAATGTCATGCTATCTGATCAGGCGGAATTTACCCCAGAGGACCTTCTTTCAAGGAAACGACCTCTAGAATGCAAGGTACGTGCTAATTTGACAACTTTTTTATTTTGAGGGATACTGAATGACGTTATTTAAGCAGGAAATGCATCAGGTACTTGCTTCAGTATTACCATCAGAGAATGGCAGGAAATTAACTAATGGCACAAGCAACAGTGAAAAAGAGCATGCAGCTGTTTCAGACTCTGATGTAGACAATATTGTTGGCATTTCTGACAAGTCGGATCTGAAGGTATTTTTCTTAGTTTAGATCATTTAATAAGTTTTAAATTTATGCCATAGTTTGCCAGTAGAGAAACTAAATTATCTCATTATAGGAAATGGATCCACCTAATACCATGCAAAGTGAGCTACGGTCTTATCAAAAGCAGGCTCTTCACTGGATGATTCATCTTGAGAAAGGAAGATGTTTTGATGAGGCAGCAACAACTCTTCATCCTTGCTGGAATGCATATCATCTTGCAGACGAGTATGTTGGTGCTTTTTCTACTTGATTATCGTGTGTAGTTTCCGGAAAAATCTTTGATATCATTGCTTCTATACCAGGAGGAAGCTGATTTTATATTTAAATGCATTTTCTGGTGAGGCAACCACCAAATTTCCTAGTGCACTTCAAATGGCAAGGGGAGGGGTACGTGGCTAAATAGCAGAACTGTTGTGATTTCTTCAGAATTTTGTTCTTTCTAGCGATGACTATTTATTATGTTATGCGTTTGAAGATTCTGGCAGATGCAATGGGCCTTGGAAAGACCATTATGGCCATATCTCTTATGCTGACGTGCTCAGACAAAGGGTGCTCATATGCTTCCTCCGCTAGTCAGGCTTCCATTGCTACAAATGATATGAGCACATCTGGCCTATCTCCGGGTACACCAAAGAAAATAGCAAGCATTTCCAGTTTCAGCAAGTTGATGCAATGCAGGCAACCATTTATTGGTGGGGGCAATTTAATTATTTGTCCTATGACATTGCTAGGCCAGTGGAAGGTATTGTTGAGTTATTTCATTTTGTAATTTTGTTTTATTTCTGCATGCTATATAACACATTAGTTCTGTCTTCGTAAGAGGAAGTCAGTCAGCTTGTTTAGTTCGCTAATTTGATGTCTAAACTTGGGTTGGAAAAAACTTTGTGCCACACGGAGTTATGAAAAGTGAAATAAACCTTATCAATGTCACTGGCGTGGTTGCTACTTTATGTTCAAAACTCGCGTTACAATTATATTAGTCCATTGGAACATCATAAACATACGTCTATACAGATACTGGCACGTATCAAGGATTGAGTCTGAGATTTATAGGATTCAAAGAACGAGTGATTCACATATGTGAGTTGAACCAAGGCACATAAAAAGCACATAAAATGTAAAGATGGTGTAAGTCCGTTATCTAGAATGTTTTTTAAAGTACATAAAACGAAGTTGGCATCCATTATATAGAATGTCTTTTAAAATTACAGAAGAAACATGTACGTGACATCTGCATATTCAGTGAGATATGTTGTTCTTGATCTCCTTGCAGGCAGAGATTGAAACCCATGCCCGGCCAGGCTCTCTTAGCATTTATGTCCATTATGGACAAAGTAGACCGAAGGATGCAAAGCTTCTTGCACAGTATGATGTCGTTCTAACAACATACGGTGTCTTGTCGTCAGAATTTTCAGCTGAGGTAGCCTGGTGTTGATTTTACAGTGATACCCATTGCTTTCCTCATTCATCTCATTTCTGCAGCTGTCCTGTTGATTGTGGTGATGTTCTTGCAGAATATCGAGGAAAAAGGTGGACTATACTCTATATGTTGGTTCAGGGTCGTGCTTGATGAAGCACATACCATCAAGTCTTCCAAAAGCCAGATTTCTTTGGCTGCGTCTGCTCTAACTGCTGATCGGCGTTGGTGTCTTACTGGAACCCCGATCCAGGTACTGCCTGTTTAGTCGGTTGCACATTATGATTTTATCTATGCTTAAGTTCCTGTTTCCTTTATCCAGTTTTTTTATTATTGTTCTTATTTTATTTTTACTTTGATCAGTTTTGTAATGTCTTGGTTTTGATTTTATTTGCCCGTTCCTTTGGCAGAACAATCTGGAGGATATTTTTAGTCTTCTTCGGTTCTTAAAAGTGGAGCCTTGGGGTATCTGGGGCCTGTAAGTTTACCAGTGGTGGTTCTACGATCGTTTGGCTATTGTCCATTCCTGTTCTGCTTGATATTTCTATACACAGATACATAGTATACATTATTTCAATGTGATTTCATTTTTTTTCATTATGACACTTCTAGACGATTATATCTATATCATATATATATATATATATCGTGGATATGGATATCATGGTGTTTTATTTTGACGGGAATATTGGTGTTTAATCTGTAAAAGTAAAATTATTCCTTAGTATTCATCCTTGACCACCTGACATTTTCATGAAAATCATTACGCAAGAAATTTTTAATGCTCTTTTAATGAAAAATAGTGTTGATTTGATTTTACTTGGTGTCTTTATTGTTCATTATTTTTTTCTCACCTCTTTTGTAAAGGTGGTATAAGCTCATTCAGAAGCCTTATGAAGAGGGAGATCAACGTGGGTTAAAATTGGTCCAATCTATATTAAGGCCAATAATGCTGAGAAGGACGAAGTTTAGCACGGACACACAAGGAAGGTAAGAAAATTATTCAAGTCTATGACGGCCAACTATGTCCTCGGATCATGATCAAAACACTGGAGATTTTGTTGAGATGCACTCTATGATGTGTTCCTCAACTCCAAGCTGTTGCATTGGACTTAGCTAGGATGTGAATGGATAGATGTAGGGGTTGTGTTCACCCTGATTTTTCTCTTCATGGATTCATGTCTTTGCTGATCCCAAGTTATTTTTCTAATTTACATTTGTCTGTTTTTTAACGCAGGCCAATTCTTGTTCTTCCCCCTGCAAATGTGGAGGTAGTATACTGTGAATTCACGGAAGCTGAAAAGGACTTCTATGATGCACTTTTCAAGAGGTCTAAGGTATTTTGTTTTAATGTTTCTTTCTGTTGCAGTTTCTTTTTCCTAATTCTTGGATGCTTCTTAAGGGAATATCTTATTTCAGGTAAAGTTTGACCAATATGTCGAACAAGGACGGGTTCTTCATAACTATGCTTCCATTCTGGAATTGCTTTTACGCCTTCGTCAGTGCTGTGATCATCCATTTCTTGTAATGAGGTCTGTCTCAGATCATTTGACTAGATTCCTCTTATATTACCATTCTGCTATTTCAACCTCCATTGTTTTTCATAGATTTAATTATTTCGTTGATGAATTAAAATTTCCACGTCTCTGAGGAGTCAAGAACTGTTCAATTACAATTTCCTAGGGGATCTAGAGTGATTGGAGGTCGTCTCTTTCTACAATAGCTACTAGATTATCCATCATTGTATAACATGGCAATTAACTTGCTTTTCATGAACGTTATTTGGAAGATCCTTTCCTTCTTCTTTTTTTCTTTTTCTTTTGTGTGGCTTGCATCTGTGTTTCCGTTCTTTTCTTGGTGGTCGTTGGTGTTTCCTTCCGCTGTGCAAATATCGCTTTAAATCATTGTGGATGCAATTGAAAACATCCTATGTCTCATTTCAGTGTCTTCTGTTATTAATTTTGTATACTAGCTCTTCTCCTCCTAACCAATACTCCTGCTTGCTCAGCCGTAGTGACACACAGGACTTCTCAGATCTGAATAAACTTGCAAAGCGTTTCCTTAAAGGTGGTCGTGTTTCTTCAAATGTTGACTCAAAGGATATGCCTTCTAGTGCATATGTTGAGGAGCTTGTAAATGAGCTCCGTAAAGGAGAAAAAGGGGAGTGCCCAATTTGCCTTGAAGCTTTTGAAGATGCTGTTTTGACACCTTGTGCACATTGTTTGTGTCGGGAATGCCTCCTAGCTAGCTGGCGTTGTGCAGCCAGTGGTCCTTGCCCGATTTGTAGGTACCTTCTGACTTCTCTGCTCGTGCCAATTGTCCACTATATGGTAGTTTTATCCCAATTTTTGTGTGACATTATCTACTTAGATTTGTTAAGATTATATTTTCTTATTTGCAGGAGAATAATACACAAGACTGACCTTATTACTGCTCCAACTGATAGTCGGTTTCAAGTTGATATAGAGAATAACTGGGTGGAGTCCTCAAAGGTATCCATGCTTCTGAAGGAACTGGAAATTCTTTGCAGTTCAGGCTTAAAAGGCATCATCTTCAGTCAGTGGACTGCTTTTCTGGATATCCTCCAAGTTCCCCTTTCCCGGTAAAATTCCTTGTGCGCACGAACATGACTGCTTTTCTGTTGGGCTCGAATCGTTTTCCTGTGCTACTTTTTGATTCTTCTGAGATTATGATCCATGTTTAGAACCTTCGCCATTTCAATCTCAGAGTGTCGTAGTATGGACCTGAGAAAGGTGTTATCAATTTAGTGACATCAGCTAATTCAGCAAGAAATTTTGATGTACATTTTTGGCGGAAGGTCAATTTTAGTAAAATTGGGTTACTGCTCACTTTGAAAACTGTAATGTAAGGTTTTAACTGAATTTAAATATCTGCTGTTCGACTTGGGGACGAAACTAGTCTGTTGTGTAGTTCTGGAGGATTGAATGGGTCAGAAAATATATGCAATCGCTTATTAAATTTTTGACTAGTATTTTATGGGCATAAACTAAAAAAACCCTCTGGTAAAGCACATCACTGGCAAAACAGTGAGATGTTGAGGTTCATTTCTCCTTTGTTCATCTGTATGAATTGGTGGTGTGGATAAGATAGTTAATGCCCTGAAAATCACGTAGACCTTTAGAAAGGCCTGCTGTCACAGTTCTTTGCTCTTGTAGTTCTTTCCCTAGATAGAAAATGTGTTTTAGCTCTTGAATAAAAATTATTTACGGATGTTTTACACCTAGAAATTCACGAATTGGTTGTTTTAGAGGATTTAGAGGTAACCAATTTGGAGGCTTGACCTGGTTGTGAGGTACTTGTCGCTTGGGGTTGCTGCACAAGAGATGCTCTTTGGTTTCATGTGTAAGATAAGTTGAAGTGCAATTTACTGATCCTTGCCAATACCTGACGTAAGTTGAAGTACAGTCTATTAATTTGTGAATTTTATGTTCAGGTCAAAACTTGCCATTAACTATTTTTTTCACTTCGCTTTCACTGTCAGTTAATTTGAATCCATTAATGAATACTCCACTTTGCATGTACTCTGTGGTCATTCCTGAAGTATCATGGATAGATTGGACCTGATCATTGATAGATGCCATGATTTTTGGATCTTAAAATCTCCATTGTAGTGGTAGTTGTAGGCCATGCTCTCACACCCGGGTTTGGTAGCGCATGTCAAGCTCAGTTATCTGTGCGTCTTAATTGCGGTTTAACTATTGTCACTCTGTTTTGTTTACATGCATCATTTTAACTGTGTGATGATTGAAATATTGTTCAGAAAAAGTATTTCCTTTGTTCGATTGGACGGGACTCTAAACCAACAACAACGTGAGAAGGTTATAAATCAATTTTCGGAGGAAAAATCTTTAACGGTATACTATTGGGTGTCGAACTTTCTATGTTTTTTTTTTTTTTTTTTTGATGCTGCGAATCACAATGTCTGAGGTACATTGGTCTCCTAATGCAGGTGTTACTCATGTCATTGAAGGCTGGGGGTGTTGGGATAAATCTTACAGCAGCATCTCATGCTTTTCTCTTGGTGTGTGAAACCCTTCTCATTGCATCTGTTGATTGTTAGTGGATGACATGTTTGTGCATATTGGATTGCATATTTCTTATTGGTGCCTGGGTAAGTTTGTTTGTTAGCATTTGGATGTCATATAGAGACAATATCATGGTGGAAAGTTATGCATGTGTTAAGCGAAAAAGTCTAAATATTTAATGAGAAAAGCTGTCTGCCGTTGTAGGTTGACATTTCGTTTTTCTGGGGCGGTTGGACTAAAAATCCTTCAGAACGAGAGAGGATAGTGCCTTAAGTTGCTTACAGGTTTAATTGGTTCAAGTGCAACCCACGACTCTTTCAGGCTTCTAGATGCTAAAAACTCTTTTGGAGCGTCATCTGTGGCAAAATATAGATTCTAGCTTTGCTGATTTAACTCATGAAAGTCCAAAATCTAAACTAAAATATTTTCCCCCTTGCCTTACGTCCGTTTATAAGAAAATGGTTGTTTTATCTTTTTTGATAGATGCTTAACCTGGTAGAATTTGGCGGGACCCGTATTTTGTTCGTGGGTCTCTAGTTCCAATGGCTCAGCATTAATTCAAGCGATGAAAAGATCTAGAAAATGCTCAGATTTTCTTCAGCCTGCTTTATTTACGATTCAGGAATGAATTTTCTTCTGTGCGCCGAGACGCTTGGGGATTCATTTGGCTCACAAGGTCGTTAATAACGGGGCTTGCCGAGCAAAAATATAACCACTTTAAATATTGTTGATGAAATTCCGTCAAATAAAAGGAAACATTTAGCTTTTCTTGGTTTCTACAATCTTCGTAGCGCTTAATTGGTCACGTCGAAACAGGAATGGATATCTTGATTTCATTGCCCTGGAGTTTTTGAACTCAACCTGACAATTGCCTCTATCCCAGACTGTTGATGTTGTATGCTTTTGATGGCGTAATCATGTTTCATTTGTTCTTTGCTTGGACATGATGGCAACACGTATATTCTTTGATTTGCGTTTGCTCTTCTATGTGATGAAAGGATTATAAGTTCCGTCTCTGAGTCATCATGATTCTTGATTCCCATTTTTTCCAGGATCCATGGTGGAATCCTGCAGTGGAGGAACAAGCTGTGATGCGCATTCACCGGATTGGTCAGACTAAAAGTGTATCAATCAAAAGGTTCATTGTAAAGGTATTTTCCATCAGTTAAACTAATTATTGTCTATCTTTGAATCCGTATCACTGAATTGAAGCTTGTCCCAGCTTATTAGTGATCGTATCGTATCAGCCTATGAATCTCGTGTGGATTTCTTATGATCAGGTGTTGTGAATATGATATCATGATATATTTTCTCAGTCTATCTGGATTATAGCTTGCTGTGTTAAGGTAAAAGATATTTTATTCTTCACTCGGGTAACGCGATAAAATTTAAGGTGCAACAATCTGAGCCTATCCAACTGCGAAATGAATTCTATCTTGGGTAATACACAAAATGAAGGCCATCTTCCCTGAAAAGTATGGTGCTTGGTTTTAACGAAACTGAGAAAGGAAGGAAGTTATCTGTGTTTATGCACTTACAAGTACGAACATTTGGCTATGGTCATAACTTATTTGCTGTTATTCTTTGCTGTTTGGAGCTGGCATTTCTGGCTGTCACCCTGAACGAGATGTATCGTAGAAAAAAAAAGTCGTTTCTGTGCTTCCCAGGCGAGTCGGCTTAAAAGGCTTCTCTTTATCACACTAGTGCTTCTCGGTGGTCTTCTTTACCATATTAGTCATCATATTAGTCATCATGTAGCTGGGACATCATCATACATTCCTAAAGCATGTTTTGCCTATGAAAGTTGTGTGCCAATAATATGTATTAATTACTATCTCGCGATGTTGTTTAGCAGCAACATTCTTAAGCCTAAGCTGTCTGACGAAAATGACTTTATCTCATCGTTGAGCTCAAAACAAGCTAGACGAAGCTAGTTTTTTGGGCATCAAGGAAACTATCCACCCACAAAGCACGAACCAGGATTATTCAGGGACATGGCACTTCCGTGAGTGCTTAACAAATGTTTTCTGGATAAAAGGATCTTATGATGTGCTGTTAAACGTTTTTAAGGTTTATCATGGCAATGATATGGATGGCGTTTGATAGGGCTTGATGAATGGAAATGTTCTGCACCAGCAGGCTACAACCTTACTCGCCTTAATCACCCAAGACATTATGGTTTATAGTATTTGTAGGGGCCTAAGGTCAAGGGTCGTCTTTCGTTTTGCCCTCAATATCACAAATTCTCATAATTTTCGTAGTTTGTTTTTTCAACTCTTCGTCAGTTTTATGAGGTTCCTACACGCGCGGGATCTATTTGTCGACAGATGAAAACCACGGTTCTGTTCCATCTTGAATCACGGGTAATGTTATTTTGTTCAGGGCACGGTGGAGGAGAAAATGGAAGCGGTGCAGGCCCGAAAGCAGAGAATGATTTCGGGCGCCTTGACGGATCAGGAGGTCCGCACAGCGAGAATAGAGGAATTAAAGATGCTCTTCAACTGAAGGCCGGAGAATCCCGAGGGACCGTTTGACCACTGTTCCTGCCCTCGGTGGGCCGGCGTGTTTGCTAGAAGGCTTGCTCTGGCGGACCGGAAATCGGCATCCTTTTGGCGCGGGAGGGGAACCGAAGAGTGGATGAAGAGGTTTTTGGCCGGCAGGTTCGAGTACAGAACACCGATGTGCGTGGCGGCGGCGGCACGTTCGGGGGCCTGCGAAGATGTGAGGTTTCCGAAGTGACTGGACGGGGCGGTGGGGTCGTGGTTTTGGGGAAGCTTGCCGTCTTAGCCGGCTGTCGCGAGTAGAGAAATGGGGCTAGCTTGTAGGGGTGACCGGGGGCTGGCGGCAGTCTCCCTTGTTTTGTGCGAGGGAATCTCGACTCCTGGCGCCGAGGAACATGTATTTTAACAGTTCAGAGAACGGCCGCAGTGCGAGCACCCCAGCCGGTGGTGGCCTCTGGATGGAAAAATGCGAGTACAATCTGTCTCCTCGGCTACCCGAAGAACACATTTGTTTTGGTTTCAGACGGAGCCAACATATTAAGGTGAGTGAAGGACATGGATGCTCTTCTCGAGACACGCAACTGGCGGAGCAGGCCCTCGGTCCTCGCTCGTCCGGGGCCGAACCCCCCGCTGTGGACCTCGTCATGGTTAGGCGATGGTACCGTGGAGCTCCTGGTACGTCCACCGGGCCGCTCCGCGAATGCCTTTTCCGCAGATCGTCCAGTCAAATCGGGGATTCGAACTCTGTTCTACGTCCTCGTCTTCTAATGCCCATTGGGATCCCTTACGTGCCCGCCGCGACGGGCCACGTCCACGTGCCCCCCGCGGCGCCGCCGGCGGTTGACTGTCTGACGGTGGACTGTGCTGTTGTTGTTGTTGTAACTGTTGAGCTCGTGGTAGAAGAAGGGGTTCGATTGGGTTCATCAAGGACCGGTCAGAGTATGACTTGACGCGCGCAGGGGGAGGGAGAGCTTCGCCAGGACGGGAGGGGCGTCACGGTCTGTCCCCTCCTGGAGGGAGCTCACGCTGAGAGCCGCATAAACCAGAAGCTTTCATGCTCTTTACAACCGCGTAATGCATCGTCGCGACAAGGGAAAGGCACGTCCCATACATAGGAGGGGAGACAGCCTCGTCAACCAAACTCAGCAAGAACTTATATTCAAACATCACCGAAGCCGCCTTCCGCTTTATTTCGTCTCCAGATACAACAAATCAGAAAAAAAGAAAAAAAAAAGTCGGGGCACCTTGAGCGTCCTGCGAGCTCGCCGACGCCCCCCCCCGCGCCCCCCAACCTGCTTCCGCTCTCCCCCGCCGCTGCTTCTCCGAAGACAGAAGATGGCGGAATATGCCCTCTACGGGCTCGTCCCTCTCCGGCCAGCGAGCTGGGAACGATAGCCATATAGAAACACCTGACAGACATCCTCCATACAGTTGGGCAGCTAAGTAGACAGAAAACCACCAGGAGAAGGAAAGAGGAAAAAAAATTAAAATCCCCGCATGCGGCATCTCTTCGTCTCAGCCGCCGGGGAATCCTATGGGAAGGCGTGGCATCAGATCGCTCCGAGAGCATCTCCGAGATCGCTGGACTGGAACGAACAAGGTTCCACTTCACGCCCCGCTTTGCTAGGCGTTGGGTACGAAGATTCCGACATATCCGAAGCCCATGACGACGAATGCAACGGCCTGAAGGAAGAGGTAGATGAAGTAGTGGTTCCTCCCGAAGGCCAAGTCGTAGCACGCGCAGAAGCCGAGAAAGACTCCCATCACGAGTTCCATGACATGCAGTCTGGCAACGGATTAACACAGCGGGAAGGAAAGATAATTCAGTGAGTTAAGAGGACAGCGCGTCTCTCGGCTGACGACGTGCAGAGAGAGCAGAGTATACTTATGCTTGCGTGCGATCGGATCTCTTACCTGTCGCCTATCCTGAAACGGTGCTTCTTGGGCGCTTTGCCCGCGGGCTTGGACTTGAGAGCGTCTCCAAGCTTCTCGGTGACCACCCACTCGTTGACCCTCCCCGCCTCCAGCAACCCGATGAAGGTTGCCTTGGTTCTGTGCAGGGACATCACGTTCTCGAAGAGGATCCAGAACACGAGCAGATGCAGAGACCTGTTTTTCCGACACAAGGAGCGACGTATGTGCGCGATTCAGAAGCATACATAGGGTACGCGACTGTATAACTGCGAGAAGGGGGAAGGGGGAATGGGACTCGAGACTCTCTCCCGCACCTCGGAGTCCCGACGGCGTTGATAAGGGTGATTAAGGAGGGGATGTAGACGGCGCCCCACTTGGGGATCTCGACCTCCGGGACGAAGACGGTGGCGGGGATGACCACGCAGTAGAAAACGAAGGTGACGATGTGCGCCACGATCTTGCGAACGAAGAAGAAGCTGTAGAGGACGTGCACCTTCTTCCACAGGGACACCTTCTGCACTTCCGAGGACGCGAACGTCAGCCTCACGAAATTCCAGAGAGAGAGAGAGAGAACTCGCGCCCATCTAAAACGAACCTTGTTCTTCATGATCTCCATCACCATCTTCTTGAACAGGTTTGCGGGGCCGCAAGACCACCGGTGCTGCTGGTAGCGGTAGGCTTTGAACGTGCTCGGCAGCTCATTTTTCACCTGATGTTTTTAATTCATGTTCCAGGAGCGACGTCGTCGCGAAGATCAAGTGAGGTTTCGTCAGAAGACCGTCGGGAGGAACTGCACAGACAATCAATGAGAAGGCGAAGCGAGGCGAGCATACCTTGAGGTTGCCGAGGTAGACAAACTTCCAGCCGTGCAGACTGGCTCGGACAGCCAAATCCATGTCCTCCACGGTGGTCCGATCCTTCCACCCACCGGCCTCGTTCAGCGCCGCGATCCTCCACACGCCGGCGGTCCCTGCCAGAGATCCGCACACATATTTACATGGCGGGGATTGCACGCGGAAAGACGATCCCATCGTCACCGGGGACGGACGAGTTTAGGCGAAAGAACTCACCGTTGAAGCCGAAGAAGGCGTATGTGGAGGAGCCGACCTCCTGCTCGAAGTTGAAGTGGTAGTCGAGGGACATCTCCTGCATCCGAGTCATCAGACACTCGCCCGAGTTCACTGTACAGCGGCGGCGTCGTCAGATTTCCACCGTAACCAAGAAGAAGGGGCGCGAGGCGCGCCGACGTCGGCATCACCATGCAGAATCGAGCCAAGTGGAGAGCTAAATGAATAAGCAACACGAGTATCTAGGGCATGTTTGATCCGACAGGAATCTAGGGTTCGCTGTATCCATCGACGAGAAGGACGCTCGGAAACGAAATACTTCGGCGGCGCACGTCGCTGGCGTGGGTCAGATACTGATTTCCTAGAAACATCGCTGTGATATATATAAAAAACTTGTACCATAAATATTTCGCGACCCGGAAGCTTTAACGCCTCTGCGGGATGGCTCGATATAATTATGAAGTGCATATAATATTTGAGGGCATCAGCCGGAGGGGGTGGTGCCAACAGATCTACGAGTAGGGCTGTGGGCGGTAGGTGTGTGACGCTAAGCACCGCGTAGGTGGGGGACGGGGACGAGGGGTGGGGAGGGAAGGTTGGGGGTGCCCCCAATCTTGTCCTTTCAATGGATGAGGCCAACGAGAGATCGCCGAGGGTCCCTCCCACCGCAGGGAGGGGGATCCTGCTTCCTGGCCACGGTCACCGAGGAGAAAATGGGCGGTGGGCGGGCAGGCCGGGCCGCGGCCGGCGAGTATTAACTACTGTGCTTCGGCCAGGCGTCCGGGGTCCCGACGAAGCCAGGGTCGCTGGCCTAATCCACCGTCGGCCGATAAACCATAAATGAAGGGAAGAAGCTTGCTGCAGGATACGCAGCGGAGTTGGATCATGAGGGAAGAGCGGGGTTTATAGCGGTGGGCCCAATCTCTCAATGGATAGCGCGGTCGGACGGATCCACAGGCGAATGGGAGAGGAGGTGGCGCTGACAGACAAGACGTATATGTAGAGAGAGAAGGCGCAAATCTGTTGAAGAAGAGAGGCGTACAGGGAAGGAAGGAGGGCGAGTATGGGTTCCGGGAGGGATAGCCCATGCCAATGCCAATGGGGAGGGAGGGATAGAAGATGGGGGAGACTGGCGGCGAGGCGGGGAGGAGTGCGGGAGACGACGGAGGAAGAAAGGGGCAGGATGGCGCCGACACTGGCGCATGTGGGCGCGGAGCATCACATGCACATGGACATGGACCGGTGAAACAAGGGGGAAGAGGAGAGACGACGTCAAGAAAGGGTGGGGCCGGGAGCTGCAGAGGACATTGATTCCGAAAGTTGCACCCGCCCTCCGCCGGAGCTACTGTTTGTTCGGGCTTTCGCGTCTTTTACCACGGCGGCACGAGAGCGGGGGATGGTGAACGGAGGTGTGGGCTCGACGGTGTCGGCGGAGGCGAGGGTGAATCGGGGGGAAACGCGGGCAGCGGTTCCGAGTGTCGGCAAACGGAGGAGGTGCGGTGACAGCTAGTGAGCTGTAGAGGGCTCATAATGCGCCGTCGCCTACTGCTGCCTGAATCGACCAACGACGCCAGGCGTAAGAGGAGCCCCCCCGCCGCGTGTCCCCGATCGGATCGTATTGAATAAGAGGAGGGGGAGATATAGAGAGAGAGAGAGAGAGAGAGAGAGAGAGAGAGAGAGAGAGAGGGAGGGAGGGAGGCGGTGACTGACCATACTTCCACCGGGCCTGGACGAGGGCCACGTCGGGGTTGAGCGCGAGGAAGGGGATTGTGCGCCAGAGGAAGTCGGGCTCCGGCCGGAAGTCGGCGTCGAAGATGGCCACATAGTCGCAGCCCTTGGCGTAGTCGTGCTCCATCCCATCCTTGAGCGCCCCCGCCTTGTAACCGTTTCGGTTGTCCCGGTTCTCGTACCTGATGTTTATGCCCTTGCTCGCCCACCTCTGGCACTCCACCTCCACCAGGCTCTGCAGCGCCGCCACGGCCCTTCGAGGTCAGCTCTCTCTACGTCACCCCACCGGCGGCGCCGCCCGGGGCCTGATGGGCTGTTGTTGGGAGAGGGCCTTACCTGGATGACGGGGTCGGTGGAGTCGTCGAGGACCTGGATGATGATGCGATCTGACGGCCAGGACATCCCGCACGCGGCACCAATGGAGAACTTGTACACCTCCCTCTCGTTGTACATGGGAATCTGGACGAGGACCATGGGGTAGGCCGTATTGCCCAGCTCCACGTCGTCCCGGATGGGCTCCCACTTGTATTGCCTCTCTGGGCGCCGGCGGAGGAGCTTGATCAGCAGCAGGGCGACGCCCATGTAGACCCTCTCCACGAACAGCATCAGCGCCATAGCCAGGCACACCACCACCGCCACCTTGAGGAGGGGCACGATCACCGGCGTGCGCACCAGCTCCCACACGAGCCCAATCTGCCCGGCCACGTCGTCGCGCGCCGCCCAGTCCTCCGGCAACAGGGTCGTCGACGAGACACCCTCCATTCTGAGCGCGACCCTTCACACTCCCACAGCCGTACGCTCACTGGATGGGACGCACGCAGCAAGACGGAGACCCTATGCGCCCATCTTGCAACTGGGGGCAGAGGGCAACTGTTGGGGACGGCCGGGCATTGGAGCGTGGTAGATCTGAGATAAAAGCGGGGCTCTATTCTCCTTTTACTATTGGATTCTCTCCCTCTCTCTTTCCTCTCTCTGTGTGGAACCGTACCACTGCCGGTGGAATCCCTGGAAGGTCGGACTCCAAGCTATCTGCATGCAAGGAAAAAGCAATAAGACCCGTGAAAATGAAGCATCGAGCTGCCAGGGGTTGACGACTGGAGGCTCCCCAGGAGGAGTGCTTACTCACCTTTGCTTTGCTGAGGAGCGAAGCCAACGGAGGACAGGAACAAAAGCAGTGGCGGCAGGCCGGAGGCCGGGAGAAAAGGAAACGGAGGCAGAGGAGAAAGAGGTGGCGGTCAAATGATGAGCGATGCCCCTTTGCCGATGAGGTAGATTGTCAGAAGGCCCCTCGGCGGAGGGGCGGGGAAGGAAGGAAGACAGTCCTGGTAGGCTCTCTCCCTCCCTATGTCTCTCCCGCCACACTCAACGCTCTCTCACACCCTCCTGCCCCCGCTCAGCGGCATAAGTAGTGGGAGCAGTAGTGGTTAAGCAGGCGCAGAGAAGGGAGAGGGAAGGAGAGAAGGGGGAGGCCAAGCGCGCGGGGCCCAAGCGGAGAGAATAGCATTAAAAACCGGGAATCGGACTGCAGAAAGGGAAATCAACGAAAGAAAGATGACGGGGAAAGCAATATTATTGGTACGGGGAAGGGGGAAGGGGAAGGAGGAGGACGGGCGACAAGCAAACGGGAGAAAACGGTGGTAGATAGAGGCCGCCGGCTGCCTGCCCGCGCGGAATAAGTGCGGCGACTAATGCCGGCGACGACCGCCATCTGGATCTACGTCCATGCCCCATTATTTATTTCCCCTCCTGCCCCCCAATCCCCGCTCGGTCTGACCGACGTTTGTTTGGACAACGTAAAGCCCATGAGAGCGGGGCTAGAGAGGGAAATGCCAACGTGGAAGCCTTGAAGGTAAACAAACGTAGGCGCTCGACGGCGGAATCTCACCGTGGGTTGACAAACTGCTGTCGGTGCCGTCGGTCGCCTCTCTCGAGACCACACGATCGTCCGATCAAATCGAACCGCGTCACGTGGCCTCCGAATCGAAGCGAAACACAGCTCGTGGATGTATCGGCCGCCGGCGCCAACTGGCCGACGTTATTTCCCATGTGTCTCTGTGTCATGTGCACTCCTCTCCCTCCACCTGCTCCTCTCTCTCTCTCTTCTCCTTCTCCTTGAAGGAAGCAGCGTCGGCGGGCTGTCGACAAGTAGCAGTTAAGAGGGGCCACAGCGGACACCCGAGTTCCGAAAGCACGGTAGTGATTTCAGCCATTAGCGCTCCTCCCTGGAATCGCAGTCGGAGCTGACCCGGGGGGGTCGGGGGTCTCGGTTTGTGACCCCTTCTTCTTTCGACAATCAATTAGTGTGCAATGTGAGACTCGGACCGTTCTCGGTTGATCGACCTCTGATGGCACGCCTGTGACAAAGCAGGCGGCGGCGAGGGATCACCAGTGCAACTCGCAACTGCAGGGAGCACGGAGCTGCTGCCCCGCATTCCCGGGGCCTCCGCCCTAGATATGGAGCGTGCACTCGCTCGGAGACTCGCCAGAGCTCGTTCCTACACACACCCCCTCCCACCCCCACCGTCCCGCGTGGGCCGCACGTGCTCGGTCTCACTCCGGTGATGCCAAACCGTTCATTTCTAGGCGAGAGTTGTTGATTTTGTCACGTTGAATATTTGCACGTCGTTTCCACACATACAAACATCTGTACATCTGTATGTAAAAAAACATGTCTATATGCATTCCTATGTAGGGCGCGCGGGGAGAGAGAGAGAGAGAGAGAGCGTCGCTTGACTACGAATGTCGCATATGAGATAAGCCATCGTACCTTTATTGGCTGCCCTCCATTAACAACAATCTTTAAGTAACGAAGAAGAAAGGTTATGATATGGAGCCTTACCTGCTGCAGGTGCGGGAGTCAACGTGGGCTCGCCCAACCAAGGCACAACATTGCGCCGGGGCTTGACCTACCCTCCCCTGCCCTCACATCCCTCTCTCAGAAATTCACCACTCCTGTTATTTTCCTTTACGATGCCGAGGTCCATCGACCGTCGGAACGCAGCATCCCAAGCCCAGCTGGCTTGCCATCAATCAAATACGAGATGGGAGGGCGGGCGGACTTGCCGGGTGGCGGAGAGAACAGTCGTCCGCCGACCACGTGAGGCACGCCGTCGACTCCTCTTCAGTGCAGTTAATGCTCAGGGGGAGATGACGTCTTTCAATGTGTTGGGTAGTAGGATTCCCGTCCATGCCATTTGGACTTGGACAGCAACCAATCGGGCATGGAAGTAATTCCAAGCGGAACATGGCGCGCTACCTCCTACCGCGGAAGCAGCGGTCTCATAACACCAATATGAGACCCCTCCCTCACCAAACGAGATCTCGTAAAACACGCGGAAAATTCAATTGTGATAGACAAAATTGCCAGGACATGACCCACCAAAATAGAAAGCAGACTCTTCCTCCTACGACCCCGACTCGATCTGACAGTCGACGACTCCCCACAACGACGAACTTGACACTCCGTGCCCACCTGTTTTTGCACCACTCCGGCGGGGCGGCGTCACCTGAGTCACATCTCTCCAAAATTAACGAGTCATTGCGCATGTCTTCTCACTGGGGTGGGTGCTTGGCGAGAGTGTGGGATCTTAGCGCACTCTCATCTTTGAATGTCCTGCACGCGCCAAGGAAGAAGATTTCGTCAGATACAACAGAAAAAAAAAAATGGGCACAGCATGTCTGGCGCAGCTGTAGGGAGAGTTACTTAGGGCATGACTGGCAGGCCACTGAGCCACCTGATTTTTGCGTCTGTTGCTTGGATTTGTCGCTGGTTGCAGGAGTCTTCCCGCCCTGTTTCGTAGGGTACGGGGTAGCGGTATGGCCACCCTTTTTCCCATCGGGGCCACCACCTAGGCGACAAGAACAAATTTTTGGATATCATGCACAAACCCGTTAGGTCCTCAATAAATAAATAAAGATTACATCTTCCATAATACGTACATCTGAGCAAGTAAACATACAGAAAAAAGAATGTAAATCGACCAGTACGAATCATGCACCGTTGCAACATAAAGGATCAATTATTTCATGATCCAGTAATATCACCTGACTTCTGGCTACTGGGCGGAGCTACCAGTTTTGCTTTCTTGTCATGGATAGGTGTCTTCGAAGCAGATTCAGCAGGTCGTTTCTTGTTGTCACCCTTAAAAAGAAAGCCATTAAATTCAATAAACTTTGGAAATAACAGCACCATCTGATTTCTCATTTTCAAGATGTGATCTTCACTTGTTCCAAAGAAACATTAGGAGCACAACTCCGCCACACAAACATTAGAAGCGGCAATGTGTTACCTTCTTCGGTGTAGCTTCTTCCTCTTCCTCCGAGCTGTCATCTTCATCTGCGTCATCACTATCGCCCTCACCATCAAGCATGTCCTGAAAAGCAAGGATGAAATGATTAAAGAAATACGTTATCATATGTGCATCAAAACAACCTGAACACTAATTTTTAGTGTACCGATGCACCTATAAAACAATTAAGATCTTAAAACTAACGCACAAAAAACTGAATCCATTAGTCATCGTAAGTGACATACCTCATCATCGGATTCATCTTCCGAGTCATCCTCATCATCATCGTCATCATCATCAGAACCATCTTCCTCAATTGCTTTCTTCAGCTCTAAAGCTTTCACATCTGCTTTAGATGGCAAGGACTCGTTCTTCGTGACATTTGCCTTTGGCTTTGCCGGTTCATCCTTGGGTTCTGTTTCAATAAAAAGATCCTCATTTTCTGAATGTTAAAATGCACTAGGTGGAGCCTAATGATTGAATATGACATCCCATATTAGGATTTTACTTCCCAAACAAACAAAGAGATCGATTATCTCAAACCAAACCAAAAACCAAGCGTCAACAAAAGTACAACAGCATACAGGAACCCGGGTCATTACAAGAAGTACACCATAAAAAAATAACGTTCAATGGAATACAACTAGTTTATCAAGAGTACTCCAAGCCAATTACATGGCGCAATTTCATGACAATGCTCACCTTTGGATTCCTTCTTAACTGGAGAATCTTCATATTCGAATTCAGAATCAGTGCCATCTGTAGATATTCATGAAAGCAAATCTGCTAAACTGAAGGCAAAGTATGTCACTGGAATGTAGATGACTAGACAGCACATGGAAGCTTACCTGAGAAATCGTCAGACGTAATTTACAGAAAATAGCAGGCAGGATGTATGTCAAGAAAAGAACTTAAGGCCTTTATGCTTAATAATCGCAGTAAAACATTATAAATTGATGACATAAAGGATATCCTTCAGATGCTACTTTGTAGCCGACAAAAAAGACACTCCCATACTTCCAGCTGTGGGACAGCTCAAATCCTTTTTCGAAGACGAGGTCATACGATATTTGGGGACACTTGTCAGCAGATAAGGTCCCAATTACTAGCTTTTTATCATCAAATTTAACATAGATTGTCGCACTTTCATTTGCTTTGTTATCCTTCTTGCCTTCGCCAAGGGTTGCCTGCGTCAACAACATTAAGGCATGATATCACATAAACTGAGGCTAAGAAATAAGTACCAGCTAAATCAACGCCCAGTATAGTAACCTGTGAGAGATGCAAGTACTTATTATCACCAGCCTCGTATTTGACAGTCTCCCCAGATTTGACTTCAACCCCTGAACATCAAAAAATAGTAAGTAAATTCTATGCACTTCAACACTGGAACAATTTGCGCAAAAACTAGACAATGATGCGGCAAAAATGCCAAATTCACAGTTAAAGATAATGAAAATGTAGTGTTCAAGTTAGACGGCAAAGGAAGATATCTCCGTCAGTTTAACTAATAAGCAAACAGAAACTTTTAATATGCCATCTGTTGACACTCGGATGCCATGTTGAAAAAAGCTAGAAAGATAATCAAATGTAGAAGATGAATATCTGGTGTTGAAAAAAGATCAACATACAACCAGGAGCACAAAAAATTGGGAACTAACGTTTTAACGGCAATTATGTGAACAAGGAAAGAGTACCTTGCGACAGTACGGGTTCTAGTGGTGTTTAAGTATTGTGGTAATGCACTGTGTAATACTTTTGTTGATGCAATAGTTATAGGACAGAGAATAAACTATATGCTCTAAGTAGTTGTGACCGGGCCATACGATAACACAAGTGCATGCAATAAAAGAATATTCAGTTTAAGACGATGGTCAACGATTAGATACACATAGAGAGATAGATTTTTCGTGATCCCAAACTAAAACATTTAAGCAGGTACGGTTACATGTAGGGTTTTACATAATGACGGAGAAAATGATAGGTTTTGAGCGGCCCGTATAAAAAGTAGATAAGAATGCGCAAAGGCTAAGGCCGCAACGTTTTGGGATTGTCCTTTTAGACGGAAAGAATCAACCAGGAAAAAAAGAGAAAATACGATTGAGACCGGCAAAAACACTTGAGAAGCGATGGCGCAGTAAGACGACGAATTCGGAGATATAAGCAAAGAAAGGGCATCTGAAGTCAGGCACGAACGAGACTGATTACAAATCTTATCTAATTGAGAGTAAACTAGGAGCTCCACGGTACGGAGGAAGAAAATTTTCGCGAGGCTACAGTCACGCACATGAATCATCGAAAAGTAAGCAAGGGTTGATACTGAACATGAAATGATGAACAATGGCGTCGCCGTATTGCGCGAATATTCACTATCGTGATAAAGCTAAAGTCAGGAGTACAAAACCCTAAGACAGAAAAAAGGACGATCCATAAATAGCACCAGACGGAGAAAGGAAGAAGAGGAAGTACGCTCACCCCAAAACTCCATTGCAAACGCGATCGACGACCACGAGATCGATGGGAGGTGAACGAAGGGGGCGGAGGCTCCTGAAGGGAAGGGACGAGGACAAATGCAAAAGGGCGGGATTAGGGTTTTGGGCGGTCGGTCCACGGTATTTTAAGTATGTGAGAGAAGAGGCCGCTTAAGTGTACCTCGCGTGGTGTGGACCCCACCCTTGAAAGCTGCCTCACAGGAAGAGGGAAGCACAGCTTCAGTCGAGCAGACGACGCATGGCCAGGCTGCGTGACACCTCGGACTAGAGGCCTCTTAACGGGCCGCCTATTAATTGCCCCATTACATATGATGTGGGCCCTAACGCCATACGACGCCCCGCCCCCCAGCTCGGTCTCTCTTCTCTCACCACCCCTTTTCTGTTCTGTTCTGTTCTGTTCTTTCCATTCCTCTAGCTTCTCCCCGGGCATCTTATCCGCAGTCCCCTCCCCGCTGCTCTCGCCTCTCAATCGGCTCCGAAATGGCGGCAGAAGCCGACTCGAATGGGAACGTCGAGCCCGAGGAGATGGGGGCCCCCAAGCCGACTTCCGCCGACTCCGACTCAGAGGAAGAAGGCCCGGAACGAAAGGGCGATGGGGAAGAAGAAGAGGAGGATGAGGAGGACGACGAGTCCGACTCGGACTACGATTCGGACTACTCGGATGGAGCCTTCGGCGGCGGTCCCGAGGGTGAGGGCGGCGAGAAAAAGGACGAGGACTCGCGCGAGGCGACCGTCCGCCAGTTCGCCGAAGTCCTGGAGAGCAAGTCCGTGCAGAAGCGCTTCGAGGAGGAGGAAAAGGAGTACGTCTACCACGAGGACCTCTTTGACTTCCCCCGCGACCCGGAGCGCTGGCGCGAGGAGGACCTCCTGGAGCTGTGGGCCGACGCCCCCGTGGATATGACCAAGCCCGGTTGGGACCCGATATGGGCTGACGAGGAGGACTGGGAGGTGGTGCAGGAGGAGAGAAAGGCCGGAAGGGATCCCCCCATCGCCCCATTCTACGTACCGTACCGCAAACACTTTCCGGCCATCCCCGACAATCACCACGACATCTCCAATCCCAAGTCTGTCATCGAGGAGCTTGACCGGATCGAGGAGTTCCTTAAGTGGGTCAGCTATATATTCCCCGATGGAAGCTCGTGAGTGTTCTCCTCTCTTCCTGCCGCTTCTTCATGTTCTCCAGTTTCTTAGCAGTGCCGTCTTAATTTAGTGGGAGAGACATTCCGCTTCCTGATCATATCCTCTCATGGTCACGGCTGTAATTGTGCGTCCATTGTCTTGGCGAAATTCATTTCATTGGATACTAGTGGCATTTTTTGCCGTCGTCTTGTTTAGTTTGCTATGGTTTTGTTTCTTTTTGTTGGTTGCCAATTGTCCCAGCTTGAATGACTGAGACTGGCAAGTCATTTGAATGAATGATTCACTGCTCTGACATGGGAAACCCAAACGAGCCCCATTCAATGTTGACTCCAAATTTGTGGACAGAATCTTTCTGCTTTTGTGTTCTCTATCAGACTGATTGCACATTAATCCTTGTGGTGTTTAGGCGCCTACATTTTGATTAACAACCTTTTTCTGTACACTCCTACGATTTTGCTTCTATTTACCGTATCAGATATCATTTTAAGTATTGCGAACATGAAAACAAGTCTATGCTATTATAAAGAATACTCAGACACTGCTTGCTTCATCATCTTCACAATTTTTTTATCCATTGCCCGTTTGAAACCGATGCATTTATTGGTTCTCAGATTTATTTTTTTACGTGAAGTCAGTTGAGGTTCACTAACAGATCTTGCTTCTTCTTTTCTGAAGATACGAAGGGACAGTATGGGATGACTTGGCCCATGGAAAAGGTGTTTACGTGGCTGCTCAAGGTCTTGTCAGGTCAGTACTTTTATGATAAATTATCAGACCTTTTTTGCTGTCGTTTTTCAATAAACTTTCGACTCGTTTAAATTTTCTGGTTTAGTACTTTGCTTTTCGAAATGTAGGGTAAACATCTAAATGTCCACCAACCACGAAAATATGACATATACCTACCATTGACATTAGCGGGTGTGGTGATATAGAAATCACTTTTGTCGGCCATATATTCCTTTCACTCTATGCAATTCCTTGGCTTCTTCTCCATAACTTGATGCTCGATGTTCCTGTATCTTGTACCATCCTCGAGCCATACTAAATATTTCTCTTGTCCCACGGATGCTGCAAATCTATCCATTTATGTCATCATCATTAAACCGTGTAAATAAAGTTTTTTTTAGTGGCGGTAATCTAACCGATTTTCTGATGTCAAAATTAGCTACTCAGACATCAGATGGGTTTGCCCAGAATCTTTCTTTCATGGCATATTGTCTGGGGATTCCATTCTCTATTGGACCTTTGATATTGAAGTACTGTGAAAAGTTAGATTAAAGATCTAATCTGGCACATAACATGAGCCATTTTTCCGTTCTCTTCTTTTTTTGGTTTTTGTCTCAAGTAATCTCGACATCTATTACTTCAGATTTTAGTTTTTAACTCTGTGCATGAAAACTGTGTCCACACTTCGTGGCAGGCGTCCAATCGGTTTTTGTGTGTAAATGGTATTGAAAATTGGTAATGAAAAATGAAAAATGAAATCTAAATAAGTTATATCTTTTCACTATGCATGAACGTCTCTTTGAGATGCAATGCTGAGCTCATGGATACAATCATTTTTCTAATTTGATTTTTCTTTTTCGATGACTATGTTCGCATTAGTATCAGTGTCTTAGTAATTGATGTATACCTGTAATTTCCTGAAAAGTTACAATTGCCAGTGTTTTCCTTTTGACAATAATTGATTATATTTCCTGGTTATAGGTATGAAGGGGAATGGCTTCAAAATGCAATGGAGGGTCATGGTGTTGTCGAAGTTGAGATTCCTTCTGTAGAGCCTGTACCTGGTTCCAGGTGTGTAGCAAACTGGCAAAACTTGTATAATGAATCTCGGGTGTCTCATTGCTCCCTTTCCTATTTTCTCAACGACAAGCAATTTGTTTGCCATCGTTTTGTAGGCTTGAAGCTAAGATGCGGGCTGAAGGGAAAATTATTGCTCGAGACTTTATGTCGACAGAGGATAAAAAATGGATGGAAATGGACATTGAAGACAGTGTTGCCTTGGCTGGTAACCGTGTTGAGGTTCCATTTTACGAAAAGGATGAATGGGTTAAGCTATTTGGGAGTAAACCGTATGCGTTTACACTCCTTGATGATTTCATGCACAATCTTTGTATCTACGTACATACCAACAATATCATTCTCATGTCAAATAAAACGCACTACCTTTTTAATTGTTGATATGATATAGTTCTTAAACGATTTCAATTTTTCTTTGTCGTGGATTGAATTTTGAGGCGTATGTTTTCCATAAATGGTTTCTGTGGCATATTATCTTTTAATTTGTCTGTAATCCCTAAAAACCAAATTGAAGCACAGGACTATCCAGCTTCAAGTTTGGATACATGTGTGATCTATTTTTTCAATGAATCCATGTTTGTTTTGAACCAAAGAATCGTGATATTTAATTATTTTGCATAGAACATGCTAAGACAATGATACTCCATGACCCGAGCAGTCGTCCTATGGAACCTTAACCTTGTTTCTCATCTAATGAGCTTCAATCCCCATTCATAATAAATGGCTATTATCCTAGAAATCTTGAGAAAATTCAGGGTCTTGTTTTGCTGTCAAGGAACTGTATTAATTTTTGTTTCTGAGTGAAATTAACTGTTGCCTCTCTTAGCTTGTTCTGTTTTTGTGATTGTCTTCTACTCATCCACCAGTAATCTATTTTCTAAACAGGGAGAAAGGTCGGTACAAATATGCTGGACAATGGAAGCACGGAAGGATGCATGGATGTGGTGTATATGAAGTGAACGAGCAAATCATTTACGTATGTAATTATTGATTTGTTGTTCTCTCCTCCTCCATTTAGATTTCCTTTTATTTGCATCCCAACTGCTCTTCTCAGAGTCATTGTTGTTGGTTCGGTTGCCAAGGACTTTCTAAAATGGTGAAGTGACTTTGCATGGTATATGACTACCATAGAGTTCATTCCCTTCAATGATCTGACCAGCGTCAAAGAGTTTTGGTCTAAGATTGACAATGCCGCCTATAATGCAGGGAAGATTTTACTTTGGGGACTACCTAGATGATTCAACTGGTTGTGATGCTGACATCTCAGCGGTATATGACTTCCACTTCTGTCAATTTTTGGTCATTTGACGAAAATTTATGAACAGATGTGTTATTTCAGCTTCATGCAGGCATTGCAGAGGTAGCTGCCGCAAAGGCAAGGATGTTTGTAAACAAACCTGATGGCAGTATGGCCTCTTGCTTTGCCTATTTTGTCATTTGGGTAATTTTAAAGCATGCAGTTGCTGAAGTGGCTTGCTTAAGATGACGAAATTTTATGATAAATTTTCTGCACACTGAAATCTGGTAGACCAGTTTTCTTCGGCTGGGCAAGACCTTATCATCAAGACTCTAAACAGGGAATGTTACAATGACACATTGGTTTCAAAGAGGTCGGAAATCAACCTGAATATGGCTTGGGATCTTGGTCACTAGATCTCGGAGAGCTATGCTTTGTTAGATCATGGTTAGAAGAACGGAGCGATGTTGGGAAGTCACGTTTTGTCAATGAAACATCAGGATCGGGGGGTGCTGGTCCATTTTATATCATTTCCTGTTTTCGTTATTCAAGATCTTACTTTTTTGCAGTTATTCGTTCCTTTGCTGTTGGCAAAGAGCAAATTATATCATATAACAAGGTTTCTTTCCGTATTAGTGATGCTCTCCATCTTGAGAACCTTTTTCCTCTTTTTTTTTCTTTCTTCATTTTTTTAAAAAAGGTTTCAGACGTTATATTTGATGGTTGGGTTGTCTTCCGTCTACTTGTGACGAGGTTATTTTCGCATCTAGGCATTTGTGCATATTCTAAATGAAATATATTAAGATTCTGGACTGGTCGGCGGTGATCATCTAGGATTCTTAACAAGGAACCGCAATCTTTATTTAACCATTCAAGACGAGAGTTTGTTGGCAGCCTAGTCAAAATATGGTGGTTACAGATGGTTAGTCAATGAAAAAATATGTGTGCGCCACTATAGAGACTTGGCACGTCAGTTTTCATCAACTGTGAGAATCGTTATCCTCTCATAAGCATCTTTTTCCTTTTCTATTTTGTGTACTGTCAACTGAGATACTTGTGCAGAGCCTTGATGTATAATTTCATCCACGTGATTGCCATATGAAGTATATGTATTTTTTTACGCTGGTAGTAATTCCATGCCTATATTTTATGCCACTAAATTTCTCCAGTCCGTAAAATTTTCTTCTTTCGTATGTCTCTATCAAGAATAAAGCTTAACCTTATAATTTTTGTTTGGTCACGACCTTCCTCCTAGCTTCTCATTTCCCGTTATTTCTAACTTGCAGTGGTAAGGGAAGACAGAGGTCCCTATGGTGACCCTCAGCATCCATACTTTTATGAGGAAGATGATGTGTGGATGGCTCCCGGATTCATAAACCAATTTTATGAAGTAAGGCTTATTCTGTGGCTTTCATCAGTAGGAAAAATATTATGTTCATGAGGAAACCGTGATAACTGCTTCCTGTCAGGTCCCTGATTACTGGAAAACATATGTTCAAGAGGTTGATACAGAGAGGGAAATGTGGTTAAATTCATTCTATAAGTCACCACTGAGAATCCCTATGCCTGCAGAGCTTGAATATTGGTGGTCAAAAGGTATGTCCCTTGTCGATGACCCAGTTTTGTTTTGCTCATACCCTTCCTGTCAATAATACCATTAGCAATTTAATTCTACTTTTCGATGGAGCTCGGCGGGTTGTGCACATACAGTTCTAAACGTCTTAGATAGTTTCCCCCTTAGGTTCAAACATCTTCCAGAAAAGTTGTTCATCTGTGCATAGCGTGGGATAGGTGGTTGTCATCTTTGTTGCATTACAGATGAACGCTTGCAGACGTCACCATTACTTCTTAGATGTGTTAATAGATATATGGTATGGTTAAGTCAAGATAAACTTTTGAATAGAATGCTTGGGATTATTCTCATTGGTCAATCTCTGTGGTATGCTTCCTGCCATCCGTGAGAAGCTGAGAGCTCGTGAAAGCTATTCTCTGGTAAAGATTTTATGTCGAGAACAAGGAATCAGCCACAAATGGATGCATTTGCAAAGTGAACCTATGGAAGAATCTTGGCAGATATTTGTAGTCATACTGACTTCTTTGTATCGTATAGGATACTTGTTGCATTGCTTCTCAGATGTGTTAATAGGTACATGGCATGAAAGTGTTCCTCATACAACGAAATAGTCCTTAAACAACCATTCCAACAATCTCTCCGTAGGAGAGAAAAAAACTTAAATAAATGTCGTATCAACAATCACTCTCTCTCTCTCTCTCTCTCTCTCTCTCTCTGTAGCGCATTTTACATGCCTCCCATGTTTTCTCATTACATCATCGTTTTTTCTGGCCACTTTTCATCACGTTCTATCTCCTCGCAAAAATTATGCGCCTCAGGTTTGTATCTCTGCTTATTCTGCAGAAGAAAGCCCTGAGTTTGTTCTCATCAATAAGGAACCCGAGCCTGACCCAGAAGATCCATCCAAGCTCATATATACGGAGGACCCCCTAATTCTTCATACTCGAAGTGGAAGACTCATCAACTATATTGAGGACGATGACCATGGCGTTCGACTTTTCTGGCAGCCACCATTGAAGGACGGAGAGGAAGTGGACCCAGAAAAGGTGGAGTTTTTACCGCTTGGTTTTGGAGAGTTCTATGGACGAGCCGTGCCACGCGCAAAGAGACAGAGTGGGCTGATGCGCTTCGTAACTGCAATAGAAAACGGATTCAAGCCAGTATCCGACAGACTGGAGAAGTGGGCTGAGGAGAGGAAGAAAAAAACTGAATTGGATCTCAAACTGATAGACCAAGAGCTCGAGTTTATTGAGGCTGAGATCTGTCTTGAAGAGGCCATCGAGGATATGGAACTGGAATTGAAGATGAAGCAGGAAGAGGAGGAGAAGAGAGGAGATGACAGTTCATCCACTTCGGCTGCTGGGAGTGCCGCTGAATTAGATGAGGGAGAAGAAGAGGAACAGGAGGAGGAGGACAATGCACCATCCAGCTTTGGCACAGTTTCTGGAGAAACGACAGACAGCAAGCCAAGGAAGAATGGGTTTTTATCTCTCTCCTTGTCCCTCCCCTCGGTGTCAGTGGTGAGTTCTTGGCGTTCCCTTAGCCTTTTCCGACACTGACTGGTTACGCTGTCTAGTAGATCGCCGTGTCCTGCATCTATTACCAGGTAGCCTAGTTCATTAACGGGCATCCTTGAAACCCTTATTTACATTTTGTAGGTCCCACCGAAGCTTCTGCAATCATTCTCCATGTGGAAGAAGAACGCCCGACCACCGCCGGCGGCAACCGAGGTTCACTCTGGTCACGTCTCCGTGGCCGCGCCTGTTTCCGCTTCGCAAGTCTCGGTCAGATTTCCTCCCCAAACCCGGCCCTCAAGTCTGAGAGCGGCTGCGGGGGGCCTGAGGTGGCAGGGTCGCTGCCGGCGCCGTCGGAAGGATAATAAGAGGCACTGGCAGCTGAATACGTTGGCCAGGATGCTATCGGGGTCCGCAGAGGTTGCCCCCCATAGGAGAATGGAGGGAACCCAGGGTTGCCGAGGACAGCAGGAGCATCAGCTCAGCGTGCTGTCTATGCACGTCCCCATCTCGTCTTACATGCCCAGCGGCGGCGGCGGCGGCGCGGCTCCTGTGTGAGGAGCGAGGGCCCCAAATCGCCGTTTCTCGTCCCGAAGGGGGTTCCCTTCCTTCGCTTTTCCCTTTCGAGAAAGCGAACTCGGCGGGTTTCTTGTTGCCAATGAGGAGGATGCATTTTACCGATGAGAACGCTGAATTGAGGAGGACTACGCTGGTCCGGCAGCGTACTTGTTCGTTCGAGAGGGGATCTTGGATGGGGTTTTCCCGAGTTGCGAGCTTACTTGTGATGTGAAATTCCCTTTTTTTTTCTTCGCCCAAGTGCCGCAAGCTAGATCATTCCCTCCTACCGCAGGTGTTCGCCTGCGGTTCCTCTCCTCTGTTTACTGAAGTGTTGTTCGCCTGCCATCGGAGAAATCTCGAAAGGTGTGTCGTAATTAATGGCGGGCCGGGACGCTGTGCTGTGGGGGACGATTTTGTGCTGTTGCCGTCGGATTTGTCTTCCCCCGCCTCGTGGCGAAGGATGGCCGTGATGAAGGACCCGCGTCGTGCGAGAATCTACGCCGTGAAGCTGCGAGAGAGATCGGCATCTCCTGGGGATCGTGCGAATCGAGAACGCGGCTACTCCGTCCCCCACCTCTTCTCTCTATCTTCTCTCTCTCCCTAACAACTGAAGCTAGTGGGCTTAAGTTGCGTGGAACATCGTCCAAGAGAAAATGGTCCATTCCTTCTGCTGACTGTGGATGGTCTCCCTTCTCTCTCTCTCTCTCTCTCTCTCTCTCTATTCGTCTGTCCACCTAACCTGCCAGCTCCCCTATCATGGTAATCAATGGTCGTGGTAACATGCCTTTGGACTTTCAATACGACCCTCCAGTCCACCTCACCTCTAATGCCGCCGCCCACCTCCTGCTCATCGTCGCCCGATGCGGCTCGTTACGTCTGTCGCGAAGACCCGGTTCCACAAATGTCCCCGACTCGCCGTAAGTTCTTGGCCACCGCATAGTAGTTATCGACTTTACGTGATTTTCGCGTGCCAGAGGAGCTTTTCCACTTGTCGTTCGTGCGTGCCTCGCAACTCGGGGCCTGAAAGCTTACGGAGTCTCCTAACAGCGCGATATTGCTTCTTGTTCGCGGCGGCTTGATCTCTTTCTTTCGTATTGGCTCGGCCTCTCTGGACGCGAGAGATTCACTCAGCTGATGAACGTTTCTGACAAAAGACGGGGCCCATCACAGAACGCGCTGTCCGGGTAGCGGGAGGAGAAGGGTCAGGGTGCGGGTCGGAAGAGGGAGAAATTGATGGGACGGAGAAGGTTTTTCTGCCGCATTTTATTTATTTATTTATTTATCTTATAATGAGCGATCGCATAGGACCCGGAGCGATGTCTCGCTCGCTCGTTTCAACTCGGCGAGTCATCGCACAAAAATCGACTATTAATGGCATCTATCCTCCAAACGTAACGGGCAACCGGCTGCCCACCCGAACTGATCAATTACCCGCTTCCGTCTCTCTCTCTCTCTCTCTCTAGAATGGGAAAATACATTAACACCCGTCGATTTTCCCCCATCCTGACTGACACTCACCCTCGTCGCTCGCGCTCAGCCCTCACTCTTCTGCTCCTACTCTTCACTCTCTAACCCTCCGTCCCCCCTTCATCCCGGGCGCCAAATCACCTCCGCTTTCGGCTGCCCGCCGCTTCCACTCCCCCCTCTCGGGTCTCCTTCTTTCATCCAGCTGCCGACGCTCCCAACTGTTGCCGGGCCGCTTCCAAGCTCTCACCTTTCGGACCAGATCCGTGACGGCATGTGCCAGTAGCTCATGTCGGGCACCGACGGCACCCCTCAGCGGCGGCCGCGACCCGGGCCATGGCCTTCGGAGTCCAATCAGGCCGCTCCGGCGGCAATGCCGCCGGCGTCCTGGGCGAAGAGGACGGGTTTCAAGGGAAGGGTCTCCGGGGAGTCCGTCTCCGGGGACTCCGGCCAGTTTGTGCCCAACAGGGCCGCCAAGGGGCCCGAGGTTCTGCCAGATCTGGAGGCCGGTAGAGCTCGTCAGGGTCCCCCGCCCGCTGCCGCTGTCCCTCTCAACGGAGAGCCCGCGAGCAAGGATAGAGTCGCAGCCCCGACACCCGAGGGCGATCAACCGGTCAAGAAGAGGAAAGATAGCGATGGCGAAGGCGGGGCGGCCGCGAAGGGTCCCGGAGTTCAGGGAGTCAATGGCCAATCGAAGTCCGACCCACCTCCTCAAAAGTCACGGAGGGAAGAGGAGGCCGGGTCGTTGCCCCAGGTGCTAGAAGATGAAGACTTCGTCGGGCGGCGACCTCACATAAACTATGATCTCAGAGAATCCCCTGGCCTCGGTGAACGCTTTCTCAACGTTGTCTTATTCTGAGCAGATGGATTCCTTTCTGTTTTCTTTCGTATTGATTTCACCTAAATGGTGACATTTCAAATGGATGTATGGGCTGCGTCTTATAGTTTTCGCTGTCTTTCGATCTCAGTTCCCATCGCTTTCTACGGGTTTCAGCACTATCTCTCCGTGGTGGGGTCGATAATTCTGATTCCTCTAGTCATTGTTCCTGCGATGGGTGGTACCTACGTGAGCAACAATACCTTCCCTTTTACTTTGAGCACGCGACATTTGCGGAACTGTTTTCCTGATTAATCTAGCTGCAGGATGATACGTCTGCTGTGGTATCCACGGTGTTCTTCGTTTCTGGGTTGACAACTCTATTGAACTCCCTCTTTGGTTCAAGGCTGCCTCTCATTCAAGGCCCATCATTTGTTTATCTGGCTCCTGCGCTGGCGATAATCAATTCTCCCGAGTTCTTGGGATTGACAGGGAATGTACGAGTCCTTATCTCTCTTTTCAAATTATTCATTTTTTCTGTGTAGGCTTTCTATTTTATAATTCAGATTTTCTGTTTTTTTTTTTCTGTCGTTGAATATGTTTATTGTATGCCTCACAGTGTGTGAATAGTCGTTGTCCTTCCGTTTGTGGGATGCTTCACTTAACTCTGCTCTTGCAAGCTCATTAAGTTAGACAAGGAAGTGTATTAGACGCCTTTCACGATTTCTTAAATATCTTTTAAGTTGGATTATAGGTTAATAGGCCACTTCTTATGGGAAAAATGGAAGATCGAAGCATAATGGATGGAAGAGACTTTAATAAAATGATGTAGCGTTCTACTCAATCGAGGACCAAGTGTTGGGTCCACATTTGAGATAGCGATAAGATAGAAATGATCAAGACCTTGGAAGTTGTTGAAGAACTGTTGAGAAATGCCTTACTCAACTGGGGATTCAGTGTCGGGCGTAAAATTAAGTGAAACGATCAAGCCTTTCCATATCGTGAAAGGAATGTAGAGCAACGTCTTTCTCAGTTAAGGACTCAGTTGGTTCATGTGGTTATGTAGGTTGCTGGCTGCTTTCGTTTCCTCCCTGGAGGTGCGTGGCTAGGCTGGACTTCTGTTGCTTTGATCAGGTTGGTTGGATCAGCTTTTAATTTGTCACCCATCCGAGGGATTAGTGTGGAGTGCTACCTTGATGAGGTTGGGGCAACAGGTGTGAAGATGTAAATGGTTGGTGGAAAAAGGGGTGTTTAATATTTTTTCCTTAGCTGTGGTACCGACAGCCTTGTAATGCTAAACGACGAAGAGGGCACAGAGAAGAAGAGATTCGTATAGCGAATTGCGATGGGATTATGGTAACCGGTTTCGCTATGATGTGGCAATTGTAGTTAAATGGGTCATGGACACTCACCAGTCGTGCTTGATGCTCACAGGTATTCTCACTGGGGTGGGTCTCTTTGATTGGTTTTAATCTATATCCGATATGGTACCTGCTCAACATTCCGAGGTAACCGTGCACCACGAGAAATTCTCAGTTTCATCAATCGATTAAGGGTTACTCTGGGATTTTCGCTTGCAACTTTCAAGCGCTTTATGAAGATCCGAGTTTGGCGCGTCGGGGTGCTTCTTTAGATGCATAAGATCTTTAAAGTAAAGTTTTGAGCATTTCTTCCGTGTGTATGAGGGCATATGATTCTCCCCTTATCCACCGGATCATCGGTGGCATTGGCATTTCAATCCCTTTAATGAATACGTAGTCTGACATATTTGTTGGTCAGTGGCAAGTTTCTCCATGTAGTCAAGGGGGAGAGAATGCAGCTTTTGAAGCCACATCTCCTTCTCATATCCTTTTAGTGGGTCACAGAATGGAGGAATCATGGCTCAGGAATAAGCCTAGCTCTTAGGACGTGTTCTGTCGGGGGACTGGCGACTCTCTGACTTTGTCGCAGCCTAGAAAATAGTCGCCAAGGTTTGTTTTAGGCCCACTGAACCTTGGCCATCAGAACTTGGAATTAGGCGTCAAAACATGTCCCCCTTGCAGGGTACACGGATGAATAATAGGGGTCATTGGAGAGCCAGCCATTGGGGGGATGTGGGGCGAAAGCCACCACTTTGGGGAAAAGTTTTACGCTTGCACATGGAGAGAGGATCAAGCATTTGGGAACAGCACGTTTTTTCTCCTTTCAGCATCGCACATGTGGATCTTGGCATTTGCAGCAGGGTCCTGGGAAGAAGAAAGAGAAACCATAGATCACGAGAGGCCATTGAAGGCTCATACCACACAATTGGAGGTGAGAGCTCAATTTGCACAACAATGGAGGTCGCACTAGGTCGCATTACGCGTTTGCTAGAAAATCCTTGCTCGCTTCATTGGAAGGATGTCTGTTGACTCACCCCATAGTGGGTGAGACTGGCTTCCAACACGAGTCACAAGTGGGTCTGGGAGGCAGGACCTGCGATCCATCCTTCTCATTTTTTCTGGTCGATTCCCCTCCCTTCTCGAAAGTCGCTGCGTTCACATGGGTTGGGAGGCGGCTCCTAGCTTTGAAGAAAGGTGGCTTTCACCGAGCAAACGAACACTGCGAACTTCTGTGAAGATTTGAAGTATGAGACAGGAAAACGGAACGACGAGGGGGTAAAAAAAATAACTGCAAAAGAAAAGGAAACATGGTGGTGGTCTTTTCTCTGCGATTTGATTGGTACGGACTCTCATATTGCAGATGCATAGTGATGGGCTGGCCCTGATTGTCATGGAGCAATGCCGGAGAGAGTCAGGTCGGGTTGATGATCCCACGCTACCATCGTAGTTCGATGATCAGGTCGGTGATCCCCGGACGAGCAAGGTCCTTCTAGTATCCCATCTGACCTTCCCAACTGGTGCTGTGACTCAAACTGTACATTTGCCTAGGCAACCTCTTGTCTCCATGACATTCTCTCGGAAGAGAGTGTTCACCGAGCAAGGAAGAATATGTGACTGGTGCCCCGATTTATTTATTGATATTTTTCAAATCTATTGATTTGTTTATTTAATGTTTGTTCGGGGAAAAGGACCCTCAGTCTAATCGAAAGGGAAACAGTTGCTGTGAGGATCTTTTTCTTTTTCTTTTTCTTTGAGGCTTAATCTCTTTCTTCTTTGTAACAGAAATTTAGGCACATAATGAGGGCACTTCAGGGTTCCATAATAATTTCTTCTGCGTTTCAAGCATTTCTGGGATACAGCGGACTTGCGTCAATCTTCTTGAGGTATGCCTTCTGTGTGTCACGCTGGCCCAATTGAATTTTCTTTCCTTGTTCGAGGGCATCTCTGTGAGGAGGTTGGTTGCCTGTTCCTGGGCTCTCTGCTCGTAGTTTCGGTTTTTTTTGGAACTGGGAAAGAAGGCGCGGTGATGACGGTTTTTGGTTTTCAGGTTGATAAATCCTGTCGTGGTGTCCCCGACAATTGCGGCTGTTGGGCTCTCGTTCTTCAGCTACGGCTTTACCCGAGTGGGTGTGTGCCTGGAGATCGGCATACTGCAGCTGTTGCTCGTCATCGTGTTCTCGCTCGTGAGTGCAGAGAGACTCCACCCTGCCACACCCAATCCCGTCGGCGGGGTTTCCTCGTTTCCGCTGGAAATTCAACCACCTCCCATCCTAACTAATCCTAATCCTCTCTTGTTGTTGCAGTATCTGCGTAGGGTATCGGTGTTCGGCCACCGGGTGTTCCTCATCTACGCGGTGAGTGGAGTACATTCGATCTCATGATCGGCCTTTTCTCCGTTCCTCTCCTTTGTTCTTCTTCGTATGAAGGAAGGAAGGATACCATCTATCGGCTGTTAGTTTTTGGTGTTGGGGTGCGTGCATGACTGCGGCGGCGGGCCTTGTGCTGCGAGTTGCAGGTACCCCTGAGCGTGGGGATCACTTGGGCCGTGGCTTTTCTTCTGACGGAAGTGGGCGCCTACAGCTACAAGGGCTGCGACGCGGACGTGCCCTCGTCGAACGCCGTGTCGGAGTACTGCAGGAGGCACGTCCCCAGGATGAAGCACTGCCGGGCTGATACCTCCCACGCGTTGAGGTCTTCTCCATGGTTCAGGCTTCCTTATCCGATGCAGTGGGGTACGCCCATCTTCGACTGGAAGATGGTGCTCGTCATGTGCGTGGCCTCTGTCATAGCCTCCGTCGATTCGGTGAGTTCCTGCTGTTATTCTTCTTCGCACATCTCTCACTGTTGGGGATGACATCGCTTCGCCATATCTTCTTTCTTTGTTTCTTTTTTGTTGGTGTGTGTTGATCGTTGTTTCTCGCGGGATTCTCTGGCTCTGCTGCAGGTTGGATCCTACCATGCGTCGTCTCTACTGGTGGCGTCGAGGCCTCCGACCTCTGGCGTCCTTAGCCGAGGGATCGGTCTGGAAGGCATCTCCAGCGTGCTGGCGGGTATCTGGGGCACCGGAACGGGGTCGACGACACTCACCGAGAACGTCCACACCATAGCCGTCACCAAAATGGGAAGCCGGAGGGCCGTCGAGGTCGGCGCGGGCATTCTGATACTCTTATCTTTCGTGGGTAATCCCTAATGATCCCTAAGAACCCCCCCTATCTATTCCCTTGTCTGTCTTGTTTGTCGTTTGCCTTGGAAGAAGAATTTTTCTTCTTCTTCTTCTTCCCCGGCTGAGTCAGTCAGTCAGTCAGGTAGGAGGTGCTGGATTGATGAACGAAGATGCGTGCGTGCATGGGTGCAGGGAAGGTCGGGGGATTTATCGCATCGATTCCTGATGTGGTGGTGGCGGCCCTTCTCTGCTTCATGTGGGCGATGCTGGCGGCGCTGGGCCTGTCCAATCTTCGCTACAGCGAGGCCGGGAGCTCCAGGAACATCATCATCGTCGGGCTCTCTCTGTTCTTCTCGCTGTCGGTGCCGGCTTATTTCCAGCAGTACGGGACCGTGTCCGGCGCGAACTCGGCGGTGCCCAGCTACTTCCACCCCTACGTCGTGGCGTCCCACGGGCCCTTCCGCACCAGATACGACGGGGTATGCTCCTTCGTTTCATCTGATCTCATCTCACGTCATCTCCTTTGCTGAATTCCTCTGAGTTGACCCGGGGGTGCTGGGGTTTTTGGGTTTGGCAGGTCAACTACGTGATGAACAGTGTGCTGTCGTTGCACATGGTGGTGGCGTTCCTGATCGCGGTGGTGCTGGACAACACGGTCCCGGGGAGCAAGCAGGAGCGCGGGGTGTACATATGGTCGGAGCCGGAGGTCGCGAGGCGGGATCCGGCGCTCGCCAGGGACTACCAGCTCCCGTTCAAGGTCGGGAGGCCCTTCCGGTGGGTCAAGTGGGTGGGGCTCTGACGAGCCACCGTGTCTCGGACCTAGTCGGAGCTACTCGGAGAGAGAGAGAGAGAGAGAGAGAGAGAGATAGAGGGTGGGATCTTTGGAGGAGGGGGGGAGTGGGGTGGGTCTTGGGGGGGGCGGGGTGGATGAAGGTTTGGTCCGTCGTTTCGCAGTATAACTTTTGTCACGTGATGAATACTCGACTCGCCTGTGTTTCGTTTCCCTCTCCGCTCGCTTCCTTCTTGTTCTCTCTGGCTGCGTGTATGCGTACGAAGGTGGGTGGGGCCCAGGGGGGCGCGCTATTGATTAAATGGCCAGGCAGACCAGACCAGACGAGATCAGATCTGGATCTCGGTCTAGAGTGGGGCCCACACTGCCATCACGAGCCCCCGGCTTTTTATAAGGCCGGGCCCGGTGCCCCCCCCCGTCCGCCGTCCCTTCAGCGTCATCGTTGGGATTTTGGCGCTGCCGCTGTTCCGTCTACCCGGATCCATCCTTGCACACCCGGCACGTCTCCGACCGTGTCTGACGGCAATCGGTGATACTTCCCACCCGGAAAAGCGCGGGACAGCGCAGAGGTGACGTGGAAAGGTCTCGACCGGTGGGGGCCCGTCGCGCTGCCACCCACCAGCGACCCCGCCGAGCGCCCATTTGTCAATCCCTCCCAGATCCCAACGAATGTGGGGCGGCCCCCCGAAAATAAAAAAGCTGTCGTCACCCCCCATGGGGACCAACCCCGCGCGTGCAAACACGGCGACGGCGTCGACGACGACGGTATCTTTAGTATCTCGTATCATATCTCGACGACGATGACGCGAGTAATTATGATGAACAATAATGATGGTGATTATCCTTACATCCCAACGAATCCGAGGCAGCGGGCCGGCATGGTAAAGAAAAACGACGATGACGACGGCGATCGGTGCAGCAATAATATAATAATAATAATAATAATAATAAATGATGGACCCACCACACCACACCACCCCGCAGCGCCCGCCTGACTGGTTGGGGTTCTTTCTCCGGGCAACGGCGGAGCCCCCGCGGCGGCGTCAGTGGTCGTCGGCGGCGGGACGGGGGGCGTGCCAGGGGGTCATGTCCATGGGGTAGCTGCCGAGGACGCGGAGGAAGGAGGTGAACTCCTGGATCTCGGCGAGGGCGTTCTGCGCCCTGGGCTCCGCCATGGAGGCCTCGAAGTCGACGTAGAACATGTACTCGAAGTGCTTGGCGGATCCGCCGAGGTTGGCGTCGTCCACCACGCGGATGGGGCGCCCCCTGTGCGGGCGGCTCTCGATCTTGGTCAGGCTGATGTCCCGGAAGGCGAAGGCCGACAGCACCTTGAAGAGCACGGATGTGCCCTCCCTGTCGTGCGCGAAGACGATGCTCGTCTTGAAGGGCCGGTCCGTGCGGGGGATGATCGGCTCCCTCGCCAGCATCACGAACCTCGTCACGTTGCTCGCGTCGTCCTGGATGCCGTCCGCCAGCACCTGAAGCCCGTACAGCTCCGCCGCCCGCCCCGACGCGATCGCCGCCGTGTCCCGCAGCCCGTTCGCCGCCACGAACTCCGCCGCCCCGGCGGTGTCATCCACTGCCTCCCGGGCCACGTTGAGGCCCATCTTGGTCAGCGTGAGCTCGCACTGCGCCAGCGCTTGCGGGTGCGAGAGCACGCGGGTGAGGTACTCGAGGCGGACCCCGGGTAGGGTGAGCAGGCAGTGGTGAACGGGAAGCTGGACCTCCCCCACGATGTGGAGACGGTGGCGGAGGAGCAGGTCGTAGTTGCGGTGGATGCTGCCGCCCAGGGAGTTCTCCACGGGGAGAACCGCGCGATCGGCGATCCAGAGCTCAACGGCCTGGAAGGCGACCTCGAACTGGTCGCAGGGGATGGCCTCGCAGCCCGGGTAGGCCTTGCCGGCGGCCGCCTCGGAATAGGCCCCCGGGACCCCCTGGTACGCCACGCGGAGCTGAGAGCCGTGCATCGGCGCCGGAGAGAGGTCGGCAATGGTCAGCGGGCGAGGGAGGTTTCGCTGATCGACGGTGGCCACCAGGTCAAGCGTCGTCTCAGAGGACTCGGAGGAGCCGGTGAGAGCCTTGTGATCACCGTTCACCACCGCCGGCACTGCTGCTGCTGCCGCCGCCGCCGCCGCCGCAGCGCCACCACCGCCATCGCTATTATTCTCCTGGCTGTTGTGGTGGTGGGAGACGGCGACCTTGCTGGAGAGAATGGAGCAGGAGCTCTGCCAGTCAGAGCGGCTGTTGCCGACGACACCTGGGAAAAATCGCCCGGGGGCGGAGGAGGTCCCCCCCTCAGGGTGGTGGTGGATGCAGCAGACGCGCCCCGTCCTGGGGACGCAGGGGAAGTGAAAAGGGAGAGGGGGCGATGAAGGGGAGGAGATGGGGGGAGCCAACACCATGGTGGCGCCGTATCTGGAAAGAGGAGAGGTCGGATGGAGGAGGGGATCGGGAGGGGCGGGACCGGGCTTTCCTTCCCCTTTCAGGAGAAGAGGAGGATGTTGCTATCTACCTATATATTATGCAGTCAGTCAGTCAGAGATGTATTATGCAGGCAGCGCCTACCAGAGCCCACAAGGGAAAAGAAAGGTGAGAAGGACGTTGTCTTCCGCTCTCTGCCTGCTCCGTCTGTATCTCTCCTTCTGCAACTCAGCAAGCTGAGAAGAGGGGATGCTGAAGGTCGGGCTGGGCTCTTCTTTATCGATGCAGCCGGAGTTGGTCGATGGAGGGGGGGTGGGGAGAGAGACGTCGGTAACTCGGTCAGTCAAGGCGACCGGCGGCACCTACCGTCTGCCAAGAACCGAGCTGGTCAAAGAGGCCACCTGCCCGCTCGTGTGGGCCGGTCAATGATGGCCATGTGTTGGGCCAACTGGATGTTAGCCCGGACGTGGAGTTGACGCTCATGTGGGCCGGGTATTATCGGCCTGGCCGCCGAAAGTGGTGGAGGGCCAACCTTGGGAGTAGGCCCAATGAAATCCACGGGGTAGTATTTAATTTTATTTTAATTTCCGCGTCGACGGATATATTATTATCTTCCATCGACCCGTGACTCACTGGGGCGTGGAGATCGGGTTACCAGATTGCGCCAAGAAACGCCGCCGTGTTTGACACGTGTGAAGGACCTGGTCCTCTCCCTCTCCTCCTGCCAAGGCCGCCTCCGCCACACACGCCGCCAGTCGCAGAGACGCAGAGGCAGAGGCAGGGAGTAACGCTGTCTGGGTCTCTCGTGAAAAAGAAAAGGGCCAAGTCGCGCCGAGCTTTCTGAGGGTACCGGCCCGGCCCGGAAGCATCCTAGTCCTCTGATTCTAAATCTCGTAGCACAACCCCCCCCCCCCCGCCCCCCCGCGGGACTCTCTCTCTCTCTCATCACCATCACCCGCCCGCCCCCCCCGCCTCCTCATCTCTTTCTCTCTCTCCACCTCGCTCACTCGCTCGCCGTCGGCCCGTTCTCCCTGTCGTCAGCGTCTGTTTCCGCCTCATCCTCTCTGTCGCTCTGTGCTCCGTTCTCCTCCCTTTCCTTCCCTTCCCCCGGGTGGCTCAGCCCGCTACACGAGAAAAACGCGGCAGAACAGCAAGGAAGCTGCAGCGGGGGAAGGCGACAATGGCACTGAGGGTGTCGCCCCTGACTTTCCCGTCCCGGAGCTGCCGCTGCTCATCTTCCCGCTCGCCCGCGATCAGATCTCACAGGGTTGTCCTGGCGTCGACCGTGAACACCGCCACTAAGTGAGCTCCGCCTCCCTCCGTCTTTCCTTTCGTAATCTTAAGCTTTCAAATGCGACCGAATCCCAACTTGGGGCATCTGCGCGAATCCCTGCAGCATATCGTCCATACTAACCTTCATTGCGCCCGCGGTGCTTGCATTCTCCATGGCGTTAGAAGTTCAGATATGGATCTTCTCGGGTCTTTTATTCCTCTTCTGAGGCGCGATTTTGATTTTTCGCCCCTTGGAGGTTTAGGGCGCACTGTGGGTCGGTGTTCTCGCGTTCCTGCTGACTCGCCTGTTCACCATGCATCAGTTTTTCAATGTCTTCCAGCCCTTCGGCCTTTGGGGTTTATCTTATTTGACTCTCAACATTTCTTTGACGATTTCTTATCTTCTTAAGAGGCACGAAAGGCATTATTCCCTTGTTATTGCGAGCTCTTCGGTCGGATTTTGCCGCTACAGTCATAGAATCCAAGTTATTGGTCGGTATTTCTTCTGCAGGCTATAGTTTCTTCAGATCTGTCACACTTATTTATAGATTTCAGTGTCGTCGGATGCATGCGTCTTGAATTGTCACTGGCGATGCTTATTCGACCACCAACAGATCCTGGCAATCCTCCGCTGGAGAGATGATTGAGTTGGCGTGTCGATATGTCTCGTCCTATATGTTGGTCTTGTTGCATGCGATTTCCTTCGTCCGCATTATTTTCTAAACTATGCGTTCATCGGGTCTGATTCAAGTTGGTGTGGAGGATTCTAGGAAACCATTCAGCCCCCCCCGCGAGGTGCACGTCCAGGTCACCCACTCTATGCCACCTCCGAAGATTGAGATTTTCAAGTCGTTGGAAGGTTGGGCAGAAAGCAACATCCTCCCGTATCTGAAGTCTGTGGAGAGAAATTGGCAGCCACAAGATTTTCTTCCGGATGCTGCTTCTGAGGGATTTTATGACGAAGTCAAGGAGCTCAGAGCACGAGCGATGGAGATCCCAGATGACTACTTTGTCTGCTTGGTGGGAGACATGATCACAGAGGAAGCCCTTCCCACGTACCAGACGATGCTCAACACCCTTGATGGTGTGCGAGATGAGACAGGTGCGAGCCCCACCTCATGGGCCATTTGGACGAGGGCATGGACTGCCGAAGAGAACAGGCATGGGGACCTTCTAAACAAGTACCTCTATCTTTCGGGGAGAGTGGACATGAGGCAAATCGAGAAGACGATTCAGTACCTGATCGGGTCAGGAATGGTACGACTTTCTGCTGCATTTATATAGTCTGTTGGTCCTCCATTCCTACAGGCATTTCCCTATCTAGCAGTGCAATTTCTGCAGATCAGTCGACAAATTTTGCGTAATCTTCACATACTTTTCTTTACCTGTTCCTTCGATGTATAAAATGTGGAATTTTTTGTATAGCTATCTGCCAGGTTGGATGTACCCTGGGTTATGTTCCACTGGGCGAATTTATAAAATGTAGTGCTCTAGTTGTTTACGAGACCTTTCCTCATAGAGTTGAAGGCAACCTCGAAAAGAAAGCTCATTCATTTATCTGCCCTCAGTTTTCCATGGGCTCCATTGAAAAGGAAATGCACTTATGCCCACTTCTGATTTATTTCTGGACAACTCTGCATGATGTGGGGGTGGCTGGCTGGCTGGCTGGCTGGCTGGAGGACATAGGTTCCCAAGACCGTGTGCTGAAATGGTCCAATGCCGATTTTCAAGAAGCCTAGTGTTAATCCAATGTCGTCCTGTGTTATCCATGGAAGGGCCTGCTTAGCTTTATATGGGGTGCCTGTTGCCTCCTTGGATGAATTCTGGCAAGTGGTGGGGAGATGTTTCCCCAGGATTGGCTTTGAATGAGGGTTGAAGACAACATGATCACTTAGCTCGTGTAGCCTTTTCATTTAGCCATCATGTTGCTTATAGACCGACAAGTAACTTACATTCCAACTCTGAAGGATTTTCAACTAGTGAAGGGGCAATCCAGAGACTTGCAAGTGCTATGTGGAAAGAAGGGGAGAAACAACGGAATATTTGTAATGATCGGAAAGCTATTCATTGAGGGACAGATTTATGCCACTTTGATTGCCATCGCCTGCAGTCGGCTGAACCCACCCTATCAAATTATTTTCATAATTGCCAATGTTGCGTATATTTATATGCACATATATATGGAATTAAAAGCGTCAATGGCTTGACGATACATTTTGTATTTTTTCAACCGATTTTCTCTCTGCCTATCGTCGCATAGTTTTAAAATGGGTCTCCCCCAGCCCTGGAGGGACGGATTAGGAATCACTGCCGAGATGGTTTTCTGGCGTTTTCTTCGTCACCGAATCTCTGAACACTGTTTGGTCTTTAATTCAGAGCCCCCTGCAGTTTGTTCGAGTTGAATTTTGGCACTTGGACTGTGATGAACTGCAATTTTTATCACCCTCAGCCTCTCATCTGTTTCTATGATTGTTTTAGGATCCTCGGACCGAGAACAGCCCGTATCTTGGATTCATTTACACATCTTTCCAGGAACGAGCGACCTTTATTTCCCATGGAAACACCGCCAGACTTGCCAAGGTACATGGAGACCTCAAGCTGGCGCAGATATGCGGCACGATCGCTGCCGACGAGAAGCGCCACGAGACTGCGTACACCAAGATCGTGGAGAAGCTCTTCGAGATTGACCCAGACGGCACGGTGCTCGCATTTGCGGACATGATGAAGAAGAAGATCTCAATGCCGGCGCACCTGATGTACGACGGACGCGACGACAACCTGTTCGAGCACTTCTCGGCCGTTGCCCAGCGGCTAGGCGTCTACACCGCCAAGGATTATGCGGATATTCTCGAGTTCCTGGTCGGGAGATGGAATGTGGAGAGCTTGGACGGTCTGTCCGGGGAAGGGAAGAGGGCCCAGGACTTTGTCTGCAGCTTGGCCCCGAGAATCAGGAGGCTGGATGAGAGGGCCCAGAGCAGGGCAAAGCGTGCGGAGCCCGTTCCTTTCAGTTGGATCTGCGACAGAGAAGTCCAGGTCTGAGAACGCGCGGAGAGCTACGGAGCCTAGGACAGATTTTCTTTTTCTATTCGGAGTGATTGTTGCATTGCTACGCCGAGACTGGTTTGATCTGATTGGTGGTGGCGGCTTGTAGAAGCTGTCGTTCGTTGCTGTAGGCCACGTTTAATAATTCTGGTGAGGTCTGGTGCTTGGGGTTCTTTGCAAGCGAGGGGGCTCGCGTGCTGCTCTGCGTTATGTGCTTGCGCTTGTGATTAATATAACTCCTCCCTGCTTCTTCATCTCTTACCCTGCTCCGTCGATGGCGGCTGCTCTCCATTCGCCCGGGCGCGGGGGACTGAGCTGTCCTGATCTATCGATCGTTAGCCTGCTCTTCTTCGCACAGCCCTTGTCGGTAATTAAGAGTTTGAATGGGCGCTGATCGCCGCCGAGGATGACGACGTTGACCGGCGGCGGCGTCAGGACCGTGCGTGATGTTTTCGGGAGGGGGCCTCCTTATCCCCCCGAGAGAAAATATCCCCGAGTCGCTGACCTTGAGTCTTGTCCATCTTCTGGACTCTTCCCCCCTCCGCCGGGAAAAGGAGGATCCCTCTCTGCGTTTGTCCCTCCGGCAGGGTGGACCCTTGACCCACCCGTCTCGGAGTTGACGAGCCCCCTGAAGAAAGATCGGTGGCATCAGAAGAGACCTTCGCAGAGGAGGCGCACTTAAATTCCGAAAAAAAAAAGAAAAGGAAATCTGTAGCTCGCTTGATTTTTGTGAATGGCAGACGGATAGACAGATGGATTCTGTGAGGTCGCGCATGGGACGTCACGACAGCCGCAAATCGAGGATCGACCGACGGCCTCGGTTTTCCTCCACCGGGTGGACGGGGGGGGGGGCTGGTGCTCCCTGTCACACCTGCCGGTGGGTTCTGTAATCTCGGTGGGCGCCGCCGGGTGGCCGGCAGGGGAGGGGTGGCTTTTCTGTAATACCTCCCAGTGGGTTCTGAGTAATCTCGATGGGCGCCGCCGGGTGCTGTGTTTCTGATCCCCCGGCGGCTTGATAACGGCTTGGCGGGCCGAGAAGGGAGGGAGGGCCCGAGGTTTAACCGTACCTGTGGCTTCTGGGTCGCTCGTGTTGACCTTCTGCGTTCGTAATATCTCCCGGCAGCTCCACTCGCTCTCGCTGGTATATAGAAACGTAATGATGAATCATCAGACCCCATTAAAAGAAACGATCTTCTATTTCTCAGAAAATCGTGACTAAGAGGAAGACGGGACGCGAATCTCTCTCTCCTCTCTCGATCGTCCGAGCATAAATAAAAGGGCACCCCACCCACCCCAACCAGACCATATTCCTAAAGGCGTCCTCTTTTTCTCCGTCGCGTCTCCCCTTCCACGGCCTTCGTCCCTCAGCGGCGTGAAGATGTCTGCCTACTGCGGGAAGTACGCTGGTATCTCTCTCTCTCTCTCTCGCTCTCTCTATTGCACACACACACACTCCATTTCTCTCGACCTCTACTCTCGTCGGCTGTTTGTGGTTTCCTTTCCGGGCGAATGATTTTCACCCGCCTTCTCCCAGTTTTAGCATCGCAACCCCCCTATATTCGCTAGATCCGGCGTCGCCCAATTTGGGTTTCCCTTGTATCACCGTGGTCGTTCCGTTTCGGGGTAGGGTTAGGGTTTTTTATTTTGCCGCTTTGGCTGGGAAATCCTTCGTTTCTAAGCTTTGTCCTATTTTTCGCTTACGTATGCTTTGATTTCCCATCCCATTCAACTCTATGCATCGTCTCCTACTTCTTGGTCCCATTCCTCACTCCCCTTCTGCTGCTGCTGCTGTGCTCTTCCGCCTCCCGTTTCGGCTCTCTGGTCACCTGTTCTAGCTCTCCCCTTCATACTGGATAAGCTTCCTCCATTGACTCGAGGTGTGCCCCTATCCGTCTGCAAAACTGTAATCCTTTTGTCTCCGCTGTTTGGATTCATCCTCTCCCGTTACCATCTCTCTCGCGCATCTCGGTCATCGCCATTTGGTGGATGGATTTACCACTGCTAGAACATGCCCCGTCTTTTCTGCGCATTCGAGGAGGACTCTCTGGGAGGAGAGTCGTCCCGGTTGCCGATGATTGATTACCCCGCCAAGACCGTACGTATTATTCCGCCATGTCGTCGCGACTTTCAGTAGCCTTCTGCCATGCCTGACATGGGAGTACCTCGGCTGTCTCTGGTTTTCCTTCTCGCTGAAGCGAGCTTCTACCTTGGTTGGTGCCGTCGGTCAATTTTCTCGTGGAGTTGCGTGCTTATGAGGCGACCTCTGACTTTCTCTCTGCAGATGAGCTTGCCAAGAACGCCGCCTACATTGGAACCCCGGGTAAGGGGATTCTCGCTGCGGACGAGTCCACTGGCACAATCGGGAAGCGTCTGTCGAGCATCAATGTGGAGAACGTGGAGTCCAACCGGCGCACCCTTCGCGAGCTGCTCTTCACCACCCCCGGTGCGCTGCAGTACCTGAGCGGGGTCATCCTCTTCGAGGAGACCCTGTATCAGAAGACCGCCGTGGGGAAGCCCTTCGTGGACGTCCTCAACGAAGGCGGCGTCCTCCCTGGAATCAAGGTGGACAAGGGCACCGTGGAGCTGGCCGGCACCAATGGGGAGACCACCACTCAGGGCCTCGATGACCTCGGCAAACGCTGCGCCAAGTACTACGAGGCCGGAGCTCGCTTCGCAAAGTGGCGCGCCGTCCTCAAGATCGGCGCAACCGAGCCGTCTCAGCTGGCGATCACTGAGAACGCAAATGGCTTGGCTAGATACGCCATCATCTGCCAGGAGAATGGCCTGGTTCCTATTGTGGAACCCGAGATCCTCGTTGACGGGTCTCACGACATCGAGCGCTGCGCGGCCGTGACGGAGCGGGTCCTCGCCGCCGTCTATAAGGCGCTGAACGATCACCACGTCTTTCTCGAGGGAACGTTGCTGAAGCCGAACATGGTCACGCCCGGGTCGGATGCGGCAAAGGTGGCGCCGAAGGTGGTGGCGGAGCACACGGTGAGGGCCCTTCAGCGGACCGTCCCCGCCGCAGTTCCGGCCATCGTTTTCCTCTCTGGCGGGCAGAGCGAGGAGGAGGCGACGCTGAACCTGAACGCGATGAACCAGCTCAGCGGGAAGAAGCCCTGGTCCCTGTCCTTCTCCTTCGGTCGCGCCCTGCAGCAGAGCACGCTGAAGACCTGGGCTGGGAAGGAGGAAAACGTGGGGAAGGCGCAGGCGGCCTTCCTCACCAGGGCCAAGGCCAACTCGGAGGCTACCCTGGGAACCTACAAGGGAGACGCCGCCAAGGGAGAAGGCGTCTCGGAGAGCCTCCACGTAAAGGACTACAAGTACTAGCTCCGGGTTGCTCTGGCTTTCTCTTTCGGCCATGAGCCCGTCTGCCGAGGGGTTTTGGGCTTGGATGATGTATCAGCTGCCTGTAGTTCGCCTGAATAAGTTGGAAGAGGGTTCCCCTCTCCAACACACCCGGTTTGGACGAGGACCGCTAGGTGTATCCTCTGGCTCGAAGAGGCGGGTCTGCTCTGGTTTTTCCTCCTTTTATGTCCGTTTCGACTCGGTGTGGTAATCTGTGGCTGTCATCATGCGGATTCTCCAAAGACAGCGGCGGTCGAACACCACGCTGTGTAATTTCTCCGCCTGACTAACCAAGCTCTCCGAGATTCCGGCGTGGAGGCCCACGAGATGGGGGGCGAGCATGAAACAGGGGCAGATCCAGACAGAGGGAACCAGGGGGGCCAATCAAACTAGACGAAGCATCCAATGTAATCGGCCCATCCATCGTTTTTTTAATTCCCCGATTCATGGTGTCCGAAGAAGGTCGACTGCTTGCGGCTTTGGAAGAACTCTCTGTCATGAACCATTTATCTGATTCGAAGCTAATTCGCGTCACTGAGCTAATTGGCTATCAAAACGTGGAACTCAATAGCAGCAATTTTTTTATTCACCCCCACGGGAGCGGAGTTAACGCGACAAAGGTCCGATATTTTCCAACGCAAAGGTCCCGTGATATCTTTCACTGGAGGCGGTAGGGTGAGCGGACAGCGCCACCGTCTCGACGGCGCCTTTGCTGCTATCGCCGAGAGTCCCAAGCGCAGCAGCAATAAGGGCGTCGCTCTTCTCTGCTCGCCTCTGGCGCTCCCTCACCTCACCTACTATTTCTTCCCACACATCCTCTCTTATGAGCCCACCAACTTTCTCATGGCATATACGTGCACCGCCAACTTTCCGGCTCCCTCCCCCCTGGCAATCCGCGCATAATAAACAGGCTCTCCCTTCCCTCTCGCCACCTCAGAGTTCCCACAGGACAGCTTGCAGGCCGGGGAGCCAGTAAATGTTCTCTGCTACTCTCCCTCACCAAATTTCTCCAGCTCCTCTATTATGGCTCTCGTCTCTTTTCCCTCCCCCATAAGAAGAAGAAGATCGGATGAGGAGAGAGGCCTCGTCTATCTCTCCTTACCGGCCGACGCTCCGGCTCTCGTTCCAACCCACCCACCCGGAGGCCATGGCTTCCCTCCCCGACCGAGCCTCTTCTCTCTGCAGCTCCCAGCTCCTCCTCACCTCCCTGACCTTCGCCATCCCCCTCTTTTTCTTCCTCTTCCGGAAGAAGAGCAGATCCCGCGATCTCTGGAGGCTCCCTCCGGGTCCCCCCGGCTGGCCCGTCGTCGGCAATCTCTTCCAGGTAGCCCTCTCCGGGAAGTTCTTCATGCACTACGTGCGCGACCTCATTCCGGTCTACGGGCCTATCTTCACCCTCCGCATGGGCTCCCGCACTCTTATAATCGTTAGCAGCTCCGAGCTGGCCCACCAGGCCCTCGTACAGAAGGGTCAAGTCTTCGCCTCCAGGCCGGCTGAGAACCCCACGCGGGCCGTCTTCAGCTGCGACAAGTTTACCGTCAACTCCGCCATCTACGGCCCCGAGTGGCGCTCCCTCCGCCGGAACATGGTCTCCGGCATGCTCTCCCCCTCCCGCCTCCGCGAGTTCGCCGGCGTCCGCCAGGACACGATGGACCGCCTCGTTGCCCGGCTCCACGCCGAGGCCGACGCCAGCGGGGGCGCCGTCTGGGTGCTGCGGAACGCCCGTTTCGCCGTCTTCTGTATCCTGCTCGCCATGTGCTTCGGCCTCGACCTCAGCGAGGAGGAGATCATCAATGTCGACCAGGTCATGAAGCAGGTGCTCATCGTGCTCAACCCCCGGATGGACGACTTCTTCCCTCTGCTGGCCCCCTTCTTCCCACGGCAGCGGAGAGAGGCCATGCAGATGAGGCAGATACAGATCGGCACGCTGGTACCTCTCATCGATCGGCGGCGGGCAGTGTTGCGGGGCCACCAGGTCGGCGCTGCAGAGAAGGCGACGGCGCCCTTCTCCTACCTCGACACCTTGGTTGACCTCAAGGTGGAGGGGAGGGCGTCGTCTCCCACTGACCCGGAGCTCGTCAGCCTCTGCTCGGAGTTCATCAACGGCGGTACAGATACCACCGCCACGGCCATCGAGTGGGGGGTCGGCCGGCTGATCGAGAACCCGCCCATGCAGTCCAGGCTCTACGACGAGATCGCGGCGCATTGCGGCCGCCGGAAGGTGGAGGAGACCGACCTGGACAAGATTCCGTACCTTCAAGCCTTCGTGAAGGAGCTACTCCGGAAACATCCGCCGACCTACTTCTCGCTGACCCACGCGGTGGTGGAGCCGACGACGCTCGGGGGCTACGACATCCCGCCAGGAGTAAATGTGGATTTCTACCTGCCGACGATATCCGAGGACCCGAGGTCCTGGCGGAACCCGCGGGCGTTCGAGCCCGAACGGTTCCTCTCCGGCGGCGAAGGAGCAGACATGACGGGGGTGAGAGGGGTGAAGATGATACCGTTCGGAGCGGGGAGGAGGATCTGCCCGGGTCTGGGGATGGGGGTGACCCACATCGCCCTCATGCTGGCCCGGATGGTGCAGGAGTTCGAGTGGACCCCGCACCCGGAGCATCCCGGGGTGGAGCTCGACGAGAAGTTCGAGTTCACCGTTGTCATGGCTCGGACTCTCCGGGCGGTCGTCCGGCCGAGGAATCAGCAGCCGGGGGGACAAACGGGGCCGGGACGGCGTGAATGAAACCATGTTATACCCGGGGGTACGACGCGGATATGCCCGGCGTTCTGTACTGAACTGCACTCGAATACAGTGGGGGTAGCCAGCCATCTTCTTCCTCCTCCGCAGCATGAACATGCGAGCCCGTCGTCTAATATTGTCGCAAGTTTCTTATATAATATGCGCAGCATCGTCTTGTGCGAGATCCAGAACACATAAATACCTCAATTCCCGCGACGAAACGTGCGTCAACAGCTGGACTGACTGAATGGGAGCAATCATGCACGCTTCGCCCTGTCAATGGCTGTGACTGAAGGAAGTTGAAGGATCAGACTGGACGAGCCATGATAGCGACGGTGGCGATGACGGCACAATGCATGAACTCCCCCGTGTGAAGGCACATCGGATTTGGTGCAGAGGGCCCGATCCCACGAGATGCGTTGGGCAATTTATTTTTCATAATCTAAGTAAAACGGAAAATTATGACTGGCTCTGAGATTATCCATCCGCTCTATCGCAGGCTGGGTTCGTGTTGGATCGGCCAATATTTCTATCGGACCGAGCCAGACGCTCCAGGAGATCTATCGCGTTTATCGCATCGTGGTTTGAACGCTGGGAAAATCCTCCGGCCCGCGCAGGGGTCTGAAAATTAAGTCAAGACGAGCCTGAGGGAAGATACTGGGGCCGACTGATCGGCTGGGTGTGGTGCCCTGTCCCCTACCCTCTTCCCCAAGGCCATCTCCACAACCCCGGAAGGAGGAGGAGGGCGTAGGGGAATCCTAGGATGATGATGGTATCTCCTACCCCTCGGTTAAGTTATCGACAGCTCCACGGCGAGCTCGTGCACCAGCACGGAGAATACGACGGCTGACAACTCCGCCGCCACCTCCGGGACTTGCTCCTGGCACCCCCTCCGCGCGTCCCCCTCCTCCCGCAGATCCAACTTTACCATCACGTCGACGGTGTCCGACTCCACCCCTTTCCAGGGCTCCAGCCTCCTCCGCATCGTCGAGTCGGGACTGCGGTCTCCCTCATCGTCGAGTCGGCGGTCCAAGGCGACCGGGTCGAGGTCTGCTAGCCTCTCGAAGCTGGAGATTCTGTGCAGCAACTCCTGTTTGCTTCCTGTGCGCCAGACAGACGATCAAACAGCGGATCGCACTTTGAATTCAAATTTCTGTCGATTGCGCTCTGCAGACTCCACGGCGTCCTCGTCGACGGGAGGGAGCGAGGAGGCGGGTGAAGGGGGGAGAAGAGACGTACTCTGCAGAGTGGCCAGCCGGCGCTGGAAGGAGTCGTCGTCGTCGGCCACCGCTGGATCCGCCGCGTCCCCCTCAGCTGTTCCACGATGCCGGCCATCCTCCTCCTCGTAGAAGGGCAGGTCGAGGACGGACACAGGGCTCAACTGTTCCTTCTCCTCCCCCTCGAGCGGAGCCCCCGCCCTCTCCCCGAACAGCTGCCGCAGAAAGAACAGTGTCAAGGCAGGGCAAGCCAAGCGAAACCAGGCGATGGAGGGAAGCCCTCGATAACACTCTTCGGTCTTTTTCCCAACAGAAGAATACATAAATAAAAAAACCCAGACGGTGAGGAATGCTCCCAAATCGCACACGAGGCTGCTGGTACCGATAGACCGTTCCTTCCACACAGACAAGATAAGACCATCCTTTGCTCCCCATCCCTCCGCCGGCCGCCCCATCACGACGCTTGCTCGATTTGTTTGTTTATCACAAAAATACGACGGCGGGCAGGCTCACGTGCGTCGGACGCATCCCGCCGCTCCACATGCTGAAAGCCGGAACCAATACTCAGCCGGAAAAGCCGCCGGCGTTCAAGGTCCGACTTGAGTAGATTATAGGAATTCATTCAACTAAGGAATCCCAGGCGAATACCGGCGGCGTAGATTCGGGAGCTTGATCTACTTCAATCCGCGCACGTGTACACCTGTCTATACGTATGATGAGCTCGAGGCTGGTCGAAGGACTAGCGAGGGGGACCCCGCATTGGATTCGAGGAGGGGGAGGACAGGAACAGATGAGCGAACGAATTAATTAAAAGGCGTGCGACCGGATGCCGGAGGTGTGATCCCCCTAAGACGACAAATCCGAATACGACCGGAGCGGAAGAGGGAGAGAGGGAGAGGGAGGGGTGGCGCACGTACCTCGGTGCTACGACCCGGCTCGGAGACGGACGGCGGTGGCGTCGTCGGGGGGGGGGTAGCCGGCGAGCCCGGCTCCGCGTCGTCGCATGAGGAGCTAACGATGGCTGGCCCCTCGCCTAGCGCGTAGCCTCCGTCGAACGCCGGCGGTGGACGCCCGCCGTCGTAGAGAGGGCACTCGGGGAGGCCGCACCTGCAACTGACGGGGCTCCGCCCCTCCTTGCCCTCTCCGGTGGGTCGAGGACCGAACTTGTCGGGGAGTGGCTCGCCAGAATGTACTTCCTCTTCGCTCCCTCTCGCTGTATCAGACGTTGCCCGGTCGTCTTCGCCTCCGAGTGGGTCTTCGTCTGAGATCTTGGAGGATTCGCCCTCCACTTTCTCACCCCCCGCGATCCCCAGGTGGCGCTTCTGGGAGGACAGCCTCTTCACGAGGAAATCGACGAAGCCCGAATGGACAACGTTCACTGAGCTGTCGTCCGCATTGACTCCGCCTTTCCTGCTCCTCCTCCGCTTCTTCCTGTTCGGCTGCAGCTGCTGCCGTTCTTGCTTCTGATCATTGGTGCTCCTTGAAACTGTCTCCAGGAGGAACGCGGTGGAGATCCTGGCCGACGAGAAGGGGTTCTTCGCAAGGGCGAGGCACGACAGCAGTGACCGCCGCTTGACACTGCAGCTCCGGAAGTGGGCGAGCGAAGCGCTGCTGCTTCTCAACAGGGAGGACGCAGAGGGAGGCGGCGTATGCCTCGGGCGCTGCTGGAACGGTGCCCTTGGCGGCGATGATGTGTCGGACGACGGCAGCTGAAGTTGGCGGCGCCTGTCCCGGATAAAGCTCTGGAGGGCGAAGGGCTCCTGATCCTCTCTCAGTATCTCGTAGAGATGTCTCCCCCCCATCGCGGGAAAGAGGAAGAAGACAGAAGGGAGTGGGACGCAGGAGGAGAAGAGGAGGCCAAGAAGACGGGTGGGAGAGGGAAGTGAGTGTGTGGTCTTCGAATTCCCGGTATTTGAGGGATTTCCAGAGTATTCTAAAAAGGAGGACAGGGCGCAGGAGGTACATCTGATATATGGAGCGAGCGTCTTCTCAACTCCGAACACGTACCATATCTACGTCCACGAGGCTGTAGATGGTGACCAAAGAGATAGATGTGGATGCCCCTCTCCCTCTCCCTCTCCCTCTCTCTCGTACATGCAGACGCGACAATGGTGGAAAGCGCGCGAGCGAGAGAGAGAGAGAGAGAGAGAGTATCTCTTTCTCTTCCCCCCCCCCGCTCCTCCCTGTCGTTAGGTTTGACGAAGGAGAGAGAGAGTGAGAGGACGCCGCACTGCGAGTAATCTCCCGACCGGCGGCAGGAGGCGGAGGGGAGTAGAAAGAGGGGAAGCAGCAGTAGAAAAATCAAAGCTTGGATTATCAGAGCACGTAAAGACGAAGGTTTCATCGCAAGGACGAGATGGCCAGCTCAAATCGGACGACGCGTGGCGTCGAAGGCAGCGATGTGGAGATCGGTCGGATCTTCTGCCCCTCAAACCGCTGGTTTCTGGATTCACGGAGGTCCTGTTGTCGGTATTCTTGTCGTGTCTCCTCGAGAGCTGTCCTCCGTGAGGAAAAATACAGCCTGCATGAACACCACCCCTCCGTGACGCTCTGTGCAAACGAGGGGGCTGTCAGTGAGATGAAACCAGGGGAAACGCAAGACGAGAGAAAGAAGGGGGGGGGGGTCTTGTCCATCATCAGATCTAATATCTCGCAAAAGCATGGCCCGCAGTCCGGATGGGGGATGGGTTTCTCCAGCTTGAATCGAAACACCAATAAGATCGAGTTCCACATGATTCGCGTTGCACTAGTACTGTCAAACGCCTGATCGAGTGGAACCCATGCACTGAAGAACAAAAAAATTCAAACAACTAGGAGGCAGGGGCCTCTTCCCCCCTTTTAAAAGTCTGGTACCAAAACATAGAAACTAAACGGCGTATGAAATCAACGAATCCGCTGATTTTCGTACTAAAATAAACAAAAAGGGCATTTGAAACACAGTGGCTTCTCTCCTCACAGCCGCGCGACGACGACTGGGGCATCGCCACCTTCTCCAACGACCCAACATGATGCGCAAGCTCCACCATGTTCGGTCAATTCCTCGTCTGTAGACAAAGAATAATAGATGTTGACTCAGAAATCATAGAGAGAGAAAGTTCGGCCTCAGCCGCACGCAAGAACGCGCTCGATCAAAGCCTCTCATCTACCTTGCGCTTCTTGAATCTCTTTCCTCCCTGCCCAGGATTCATGAAGCTGGGTTCATCGGGATCGCCGGACTTCCCCAGAGGTAAGGCTCTGACATCATCAAAGAAATCTGATAACCCGAGCAACCTGATGCATGGTCATTGGAAGGCGACGTCAGGCGCCGATTCTGAGTGGAGAGCTTCTAAAAAGAAAAACCAACTTCATCGACATATAAGAAGAGGCGACGTAGCAAGCAGAACCGAACCAAAAGAGGGAATGCAATCGAAAGGGCAGAGGTATCATACCAATTCCTATCTCTAGACGAAAATAGGAGCCGCCCATTTTCTTATCTACTTCTTGAACCGGAATTTTGAAGCTTATGAACCAGGTCATAGCACTGCTCGTGTTAAACGAAAAGCCTACCTCTCAAGTTGCATGCGTAGGTTGAAATACATGATCAGTTTTCTCTCTGTCGATGCCCCCTCAACTGGGGCATCGGGGGTCCTTTCCGTCTGAGTTTTCTAGTTAAGTTATGACCATCGTTATGGCCATCATTTATGGGGGCATTCCCTCGAAAAAAGAAAATCCCTTCTCATTTAGATTTCGAGCGGTCAAACTGGGACGCGACTGGGTAATTGTTCTAAGCTTCTCTACTCAAGAAACGCATTGACGTAGAATAATTGATGGTGTTTGATACAGAAAGGAGGAAAATATGTGATCTACTAAAGCGGAAGAAGAAGAGAGAAGTCATGACCGCAATATCGATATATGGAAGAGAGATGACGATAAGTACCATTAACACAGGGATGAAATGCGGCATACCCGTTCCTCGACTTCCTGAGATGCTTCTCCATCTTCTTATCAAGCTTGGTAACAGGAGCACGGATAAAGAGCTCCTCTTCCTGCCTCGCACGCTCTTCTAGCATTGCTTTGTACCTTGTAACATCCCTGCTCTCTGCACCGATCGTTTCTCTCAACTGCACATCATGAGAAAGCACAAAAGGCTCAAACAGGCGCAACAGGAGCCGCAGGGACTATGAAGAGATTGGAATTTTGTGGAAAAAGAAAAAGAAAAAAAAGAGTGAGTTGCAGAATCGACCTCTTCAGGCCTCCCCTCAATCTCATCCATGAGCTCCTTTGCCAGCGTGCTCTGTTTTGCTCGCATCAGCACATCTCTGTCCTTCCTCATCGCCTGTTTTTCCTTCCTTGATATCTTGTCATCATCGTCCATACTTGTAGGTGCAAAGCGAGGAGGGCGGTAGACACCCGATCCATTCTGCAGCAAAAGCAAGTAAGATGATACCATTTCTGCGACTGAATTAGAAACAACAACAGAGCCTGAACATGAGTCGCTCCCTGAAATTAAAATGGCTCGATCAAAGGGTTTGGCATCTATCTTGAGGTCGAATTTCTATAGTTTTCATAGGAAATAAACCCTGAATCATTCCAAGACCACCCCTTTAGATACCCGGCAAAATTAAAACAGAATTTCCAGAAGGAAACTATTGCGGTCAACTGAGCCAAGTAAGGCAAGCTAAAACGTTGCGATAATGATTACCAAAACCATTAATGATCAAGCAGGTTGTCAGGAATGTGTTTGACTTATTTCCACAAGAAGGGCGATCAGGGTTTTTCCAGTGTGCATTTGCTTCTTCCAGAGCAGAGCCAACGTAAGTATACTGAGGCAGAACCAACTGAGAGGAAACCAAATAGACACACTAATGCAGCTTGTAAAGAGGGAAGGAGAAAATCTATTCACCTGAGCGTCCTGATCGATTTTGCTGACGAGCATGTCAGGGTTCGGCCTATACTTCAGCGGATCCCCTGCATCCTGAGAATTATCTTTTCCTCCATCCGACGCCACTTTGTTTGGCAGCGCAGTGTTAGCAGCCCTTGTAAGCTTCTGGACTTGGTAATCGAGCTTCTTATCTATTGGGCGAATCTGTGTACCATATAGCATACACATCATGATCTTCGCGTCATAGAAAACAACTCATAATAAACCGGAAAGGAGGAATAAGCAGACCTTCTCCAGAAACAGTCTGATCTCTACAAGACTCTGTATGACGGGATGCTTCTCGATTGAGAGCCCCTTTGCCTTGCGTAACAGGTAGTAAACGATACACTCACAGTAGCTCAGAAGAAGGAGGTGCTTCGCATCCAGATAGCTCATTCCCTCCCCTGTTGGATACTGGTTCTCTCTCACCTGTGAAGAATCAATATAGAACAGCATGGGTCGAATGTCTCAAAATTCTGATATTCAAAAGAAAAAAATGCAAAAAAACGTTGCGCCCACCTTGGACGTCAGAGCTTCCACTTTGCCCCTCACCAAATCTAACCCGTTCTTCATCTCCTTCAACAGCGCCACCAACCGTGGGGCTTCCCTGATAGCAAGGAGCACAATTCCGGAGTTCACATATGAGTGATGAGCGGGGAGAACACAGACCACAAACTCAAAGTCAAGAATAATGACCATGACCGCGACGACAGAGGAAAGAAAATCCTTACTTGTTCAGGGTTTCTGTGCGGGAAGCCGGCTGCTCGGCAACCTTGGGACCATCCATGGGGAAACAGAGACCCCGGGCACCAGAGGAAACTCTATGAAACGGGCCCTATCAGACCTAGAAGAACCCGAATTATCAGGACGAACACAGGAGACTGATAAACTAAGCACCGGGGAAAGAACATTGCACATGTTGAAACGGTTGTATGCACAAATTCAACATAAGAAGGATAAGCTCAGCGGAGGCTTTAAATTGAAAGGAACAAGAGGCAGTCCCGTTCTTAGCCAAGCCATTGTTCTACTACAGGATGGAAGCAAAAGATGCACTTTTTATGGCCCAAAGGGAAATATGCACAGGCATGCTCCTTTCAGACACACGAGAACGCACCGACTAGGTACTTTGGCGTTGGCCGGAATGTAGGATGCGATTCGAACAGACAAGAGGGGGGCAAAACTGAAACTCCCGTCAGGAATCGTCCAATATGAATGATTTGGAGCAAGTGGGACCGTGAGGCGGAGGCCCCCGGCCGGGGAGAGTAAACTATCTACTCTCGCCGCGAGCCCAACGGCTGGAGAGGGGCCAGAGCGAACCCTAGAACAGGAGTCTGCTGGGAAATTGATGTCTCAGAGCCCCGCTTCAAGCCGTCGCTGGTGCCCTGCTCCGCCACGGATGGAAGAGGAACCGCTTGAGCCTCCCCCGGACCGCCACGGCGGGTCAACTACTGGATGGCCAACACTCAGATACGCACGCGCTGCAGTCTCTCCGCGGGCCTCGCCCGTCAACCGGACCCCGCCGCCTGGGCAGATACGCAGTCGGCAACTTCCCCTCCGCCGGCGGTGGCTGGCGGATGGGAGGGGGCACCAAACCCTCTTCTGGCTCTCCACCTGGATGCAGAATAGAACAGAGAAAAGGGCAGAGAGAGCGGTACCTGATAGCCCGGTCGGCGCCGCTTCCACTGCCGATGCCGCGCCGCTCAGCGTCGAGGAAGGAGAACAGGCGGTGCCGTCATTTTTCTTGGCGTAGTCTCGGTTAGGGGAGAGAACCGATACGGTACGACCCGAAACACAATCCGAATCGAAACAAGGAAACGAAGTGTTTTGAGCACACCTCACTGATCATTATATTGTACTCGTACCCTATATCCAAATAAAGGCATGTATCCTCCACCCCGAAAACTGATTCTTTTACGCCGTTCAGCTCTCAAAGCCAGGCGTTGACCGAAGTTTTAGTCGTCAGTGGAAAGAGGACCACCGACGATGCGGAGTATCCTCTTCTCACACACCGTAAGTTTTCCGCCATGCCAACAAACTCAACGGCCTCACAAGATTTTGAGGTTTAGTGTTGAGACCACGAATTTGACCAGTCTGTGCTTGCTGAGATACCTCCTCAGAACATTATCTTGATACTTGATTAGTGTGGTGGGAGGGGAATTGAAAATGAAAAGGTTTAGTGTTGAGTCCTGGAACGATAATGAGAATCAAAGCTTACCGCAAAACCATATCCAGATTCATTTCGATCCAAACCTTTGCCTTTTTGCCTTTTAGATCAGCATAATAGAGTAGCTCTAATCCTATGACTTTTCCACTTATAATGATTGAATACTTCAAGAGTAATTCTGACGATGCGTGATCTACAGATTATGACCTCTTATTTATAAACAGTGGATAGTCTTGCTTATTAATGTCACTTTCTTATTTTTTTTCTATCATAAAATTAGAAATAATATGGTCTCCACATATATTTAACTTTATACTTACGAGAGATTTTATAATCTATTACTAAGCATAATTAAATCACTTTACTATAAACTACTTTAATAATAACCTCATAATGTATAATTTATATATGTATGTTCATACTTTTATGAGATCAAATACAAAAATCTTCTACTTATACAACATATATATAATAGTCTGATATTGTATAATATGATCCTATGAACCTAATAAATTGTTATCATTACCAAAAGACATCTCTAACAATTTAGTCTATTATTGTAATAAAATAAGACTAAATATACTTTTGTCACATTTGCATGTAACTAAATTCAACAATAATCACATATATCTATACAAAAAAAAATGTAATCACATATATTATGATCAAGTATAGACATGTAGTATGAAAATTACACGAAATGTAATTCAATATTTAGATTTATGATTGACCCCTTTAATTCTTTATGAAAATCAACTAACTTTGTTTAAAGTAGGAATAAACATAAACTTTATTTATGCATGCAATAGCCAAAGAGTATGCCCATAATTATGTGAATATTAACATATAAATTCTAACTAAAATCATAATTGCTCATGATAAATCACACCTCTATAAAAAACATGCTCATAAAAGAACTACAATAGTAATCCTTTAATAACTATATGTAACCATAAAGTTTGTCTCAATATATTCTATAAACATTTAGTTACTTTGAATCATTTCCTTCGCAATTAGTAATTTGATTTCTAAATTATTAAACTTTCTCAAGCTTCTATTATTGTTGAAATACACAATGGATGCCTTATTGCTAAAATAATACTTCTAGTAGTATTTTTAATTTCATTTAAATTTTTGTGACAAAATTGCACAATCATATTGCATGATTTGATGCTTCATAAAATTTTATCAGCTCTATTACCATGGTGGAAACAAAATTGAGTGTCTACTTTGTACTCTTCTATAATATAATTCTTCCAATCAGTAGGTAGATATAGACTTTAATAAAGTTTATAATTTCATCATATATAATAAAAATTAAAATCAAAATATCTAATGATCTTTAATTGATCACATTTTTTATATGTGGCCATATAGTTCTTTATTTTCTAGAGGTATTACATGACTCTTTTAGTCACCTTCTATTGATTTACATTTTGATTACTTAAGTATCTACTCTAATATTTGAGCAAGTACATATTTAAGCATATGTAAAACTTTATATAATTGATACATAAAAAATCTTCTGCATCTCTTTAGTCTTGTATTTATTTTTGGGGCACTAATTGAAACCAAACTTGTTTTATTTAGTACCAATAGTATCACATAATTTATATTCTTACATACTAAATCTTTTAATAACTTTATAATAAAATAAAAAATGAAAACCTAAATATATTTCAAGACTAATACATGTATGATTAGTATAAATGAGGCTCCATCAAAATCATTCATCTTAAAATTCCTTGATATAAACTTTTTAACTTTACATAATAAACTTATATCATTACTCACAAGTAAAATGTTATAAACATATAAAACTAAGAAAGTATATTTACTTCTACTTAACTTATAATATACAAAATCATAAATTATAGTCATCTTGAAATTGAATGAAATGATAATTTCATAAAACTTGTGATACCATCAATATGAAACCTACTTGAACTTGTGAATATATTTATCTAATTTGTATATCATTTTCTTTGGGTCTCCCAACACAAAATTTTCTAACTACAACATATGAATCATTTCATCAATGTCACTATTAAGAAATACAATCTTTACATCCATTTGATGCATAATTCAAAATCAAATGTGCCTCAAGTGACATTATTATTTTAAACGTTTTTTTTTTTAAAATTAGATGAAAAATCTATTTATAGTCAATGACTTATTTTTGAATAAATCTATTTATGGAAATACATCTTATATCTCTCAACATTGTCTTTGAATTATTCTTGGTTTTAAATATCTATGTATAATCAATGAGATTTTCACTTTCAAGTAATAGTGTAAAATCTTAAATGTCATTGTACTTCATACATTTAATTTCTTAATCAGTAACATATATCCACTTACCATAATTAGATGATTTTGTAGAAACTGATAAGATCGTCTTTCATTATTCTGATGTAATCCATGCTCAAAGAAATATGACAATCATTTAGAATTACATTTCTCCTTTTTCTTGTGGATCTTCTTAATGATATTCATTTACAAGATTATTGAGTTTGTGTTTCCGAAACTATAGTATGAGAATATTATTGGGTTTTAGCCTAATAATGTTATTTCTTGAATAATGTGAGACAAAATTATTAGGTGTTAGCCCACACAAGGATCAAGAAGGAGGGGTTGAATTGATCAAATTTTATTTTTTTAGATGAAAATTATAGTAATGAAGATGAATGATATTCTCCTTCTAATCCTTGATTATTTAAGTTATAAGATGGAGAAATGTGAGTCCAGTATATTTTTATAATGGTTCAGCCTCTTACATACATTCGCTCTCCAATAGTAATTCATGTTCTTGAATTTTGCTCACTGATTCTAGGTTTTTAAACTCCTGAATTTCACTTCAAAATTTCCTTCTACATTTATGGCTCTAGGAGGCCGATAATTATTTAATGAGAGAACTCTAACAAGTGATTAAATAAAACTAATTTCATGTTTATCCCACAACATATATGAAATGATTTTACTGTGGGTTGATTTTTGAAGTATGATTTCTTTGAAAGCTTCTAGAATTTTGAGGAAGAAGACAAGGCTTGATAGCTTTATTAAAGGGACAAAGCTTTTTAAGATTTGAATAATACTCTTTGATTTAATGTTTCAAGTAGCTTAACATACCAACATGTTCCTCACGATTTTTCTCACTTGATTTTTTTTGCATAAACTTAATGTAAAGCTGGAGATCACTAAGAAGATCAAGATGATCAATATCTAGTGATATGGCTATTGGTAAATAATCATGTTTATAGCTAAATCTTGTACAAAATTCTTTCTAGATTTCTATGATTTTCTAATGTTTATTTTCTCTAAAATAAAATTTATTCAAATGTTTAAGATATCAATCCAATATTTTTTTTAAATAGTATGGATATCCCCATGTGAAACTAATAAATGATCATATTAATACTCAACGTTCATATTTGAATCATGGCATTTTATATGATAGATCAAATATCATGAGCCTAGATTCTGTAAACTATCTCATTAAAACTATATAAAATAATCAAACTTGATTTGAATCACCTCAAACAAAATGTGATGTCCAATAAGACATCTTGATTGATGATTTTAATATTTTTAATCACAATTCAATGATTCAATGACTTACCATGATTTTAGCATATGTTCAATAATATCCATAAAATATTATTTGACAAAAATGATTAATATAAATATAGTCTATTAATTCGATGTCAAAACCTTTTGAAACTAATAATGTAAACATATGAGTTCATAAATGATTGAGTAAGTTTTCATACTCATATTTCACTTTACAAAATCTTATTGATTTGACTACTTTAGTCACTTTATTTCTTAGTATGATAATTTATGTAAATATTCAATAACTATCTTATTCTATTATTTATTTTTTGTACACTTTGTTTTAACCTATACCTCTCCATGTTTTATTTAACTATTTATGTTTTTTATGATGAATTTATTGCATTATTACACATTTTATTTGTATGATTTGTTCTAACTCATTGATAAAGTAGTGTAGCATTTGCCATTTTTGTGATGGTGCCTACATATATTGGTTTGAAATATTTGTATTCTTGTATATCTAATAAAATTCTACTTATTGTCATTTTCTAGTGATATGTTGTTTCACTATGTTAAACAAAATAATGATTGAAAATGTTCCCTAATCTCCTTGTAATCTACCTAAAACCCTATAAATTGACAAAAAAATGATTCTAATACAACATTGAGGAGATCATTCTTTTGTGAGAGATTCATCACTTCAGAGGCCTCATTCCGTAAATTTTTTTCATATCCCATTGAGGACAATGCCATTTAAGTTCAGGGGTGAGGTATGATTGAAATATATCACAAGGTGCTAAAAACATTTATGAAAACTTCTGGTCAAAATTTAATTTTTTGATCTTTTCTATATAATACGCATACAATATCTGCTCATGATTGATATTGCATTTGAACTTATTTGCAGCATTTTATTAGAATGAACTGTGACATTAGGCAAAAATCTGTACTAATGTAATTTGAATTATGAAAGAGACTAAACTTCTCATTTCTAAATAGTCAATAATAACATAATTTTTTAACTTAAAAATGAAAACTGAATTATTTTTAAGAGACAATATAAAGTCTCATTCAAATCCAAACAACAATCATTTTTTAATGATAACATAAAGTTCTTATAACTTCCATGTCGGTTGTATTGTCATCACCTATGTGGATGTACCTTTCAATATTATTTGATTTCGAATAGTTGAGACAATCATATATAGATAGACATGTGATTAGTCCATACTCTGATAGTCCAATCACGCAATAGTTTATCTACTAAGTGTTCAAAGATATAAAATTTAAATTAACCTCCTAACAAAATTGATGTGAGAAGCTCACCTTTCTTTGCAAGCCAAACTTTGATATCACTTTATGGAGAATTGAAATGAAATGATCTAATGTTGAGTCTTGAAGAATGGTAATAAAAATGAGAGTGAACAAAAAATATACATGAGTCCTTTCAATCTAAACTTGGGGGTTTGTGCCTTTTGGATCAGTACACTTGACTTACGTGAGCTCTTTGAAGTGATGGGATATTTTGGAGTAATTATAGCAATATGCGTTCCAAGGACCATCCCTTATTTATGGGCAAGAGGTGATTTGATTATTGGTGTTATTTTATAATTTTTTATTATAAAATTATAAATGACCTAGTCTCTACACATATTAACTTCATATGAGAGATGTCATAATCCCTTATGAATCATTAATAAATCACTTTAATAAGAATTATCTCAATGATAACTCATAATATACAAGTCACATATGCGCCTACAGTAAGATAAAATCCAACAATGTGAGCTTTGGACATTCTTGAAATTTTACTTGAATTATATTAAAAAAAGAGAGGATGAGACACATATTTTAGATATGTTTCGTAAATATTTCGAAGAAGCATGCAGGTGTGTGTCTGTTTAACTTTTGATCCCTTGATAAAGCGCTAAAACCAACACAGAAGAGGAAGAACTGCAGAGCTCTGTCCCCAGGAAATCGAAGGCTTATGTTTTTATTTTCTTAATCGGGGAGGAGGGAGAAGGAGAAAAGGAAAATCACACTGGGGGGAGGAGGGGCCTGCATGGCGGGTGTTCCTAGGTTGACATCTTCAGGGATCAGCCGGCAATTATTCGACGGCGTCGGGAACTCAGCGGAGTTCGTCCATCATCTTGCTCAGCTCCTCCAACTTCTGCATCCGGAGCCTCTCACTTTCGCTTATCAACTGCGCGGACAGACACCATGGAGATGATGAGCTAGGGCTTCGATGAGCCAGACATGCAAGGGTCGATAGCGCTGAAAATCGGTTACCTCCACCAATCTGGTCACCATCTGAGCTTTTTCCTTGTTCCTCTCGTTGAACGCTTCAAGGGCTTCCTTGTATTCCTTCTCCTTCGGGGTCGAACGCAGATGTATGTTTCAGCAGGAATGTCGATCTAATAAAACGGATAGCAAAGAAAAAAAGAAAAGAATGAACGTCCACAGTCGCTTGTTTTTCACCGCGAGCTGTTGGAGGACGAGGGGAAGGAGGCTAGGACCTTCTTCAGGCAGCTCTGTCCGAGAGGCTTCAGGTCCCGATTGAGAGCATCGATCTTCTTGCGGACAGCCGCGACCTCCTTCCGCGTCGGATCCGCCATGGCTTCCAGCTCCTGCCGGATTTCCGTCGCGTCAGTCCAGGCGGATAGGGCGGATTCGTTCCACGCCAGGATTTATTCATGGAAAATCACAGACGTAATAAATGCAGTGCTGATAGGGTTTCTGATTTTCTGAGTCCTTATTGAGGGTTCGACTCACCTCGCGGATAACAGACAGGCGTTTAGTCTCCTGCTCCGCCCTGCCGAGCTGCAAGAAGACCTTCTCCCTCACCTCCATCTTCCTCCTCTCGATCTCCTCCTCATTCGCACGGAAGATGCTGAGGGCCGACATCGACGTCTGCCCTTCTTCCTCGGTGGGGCTCTCCCTGTCGTCATCGCCGGCGTTGCTGATCCTCTGGGCTTGTCGTTTCCACGCCTGTCCCTCCGTCGACGGGGTGGGCAGCATCTTGCCTCCCTCTGCTGCACTTCTCGCACGAGAAGTTCTCCTTCCTCCGCCTCCTCCTCCCTCGTATCTGTGTTTTCCTTTCCAAGATAAATATAATCGATCCCGGGAAACTGTCGGGATCTTAAGCAAAGTGCAACGATTTGCTGGCGGCGAAGGCGAAAGGCCGCTGCCTGCGGAGTGCCTTGGGCATCACTGTTCTGGGTCCCCCCCCTCCCCCCTTCCCTCTCACCGTCATCCGCATCCTTGCCGGGGCCATCATGTTTACGTTCGAATTCAGCCATGGCTGTGGAGTGGGAGATGGAAAGGTCTAGCCCACCTACATGGGCACGGGGGAAAGAGAGCCTTGGGGGCCAAGAAATAGAGGACCCCGCCCTCCTCTTCTCCTCTGCCCGCTATAGACCCCTCCCTTCGGCTGAATGTTTCGGTTTCCACCCATGAGGATGCTGACTCTTTCTTTCCCACGACAGAGTGGGCATGTAGAAGAGGAAACTCAGAGACGACCTTCGAACGAAGAACAAGAGGGGAAAAAAAACCGGTTTTTACTAACTGTCCAGAGAGAATGACATTGTTACCTTTCGTCCCCTGCCCAAAACACCCATCACTCTTCACTCTTCCAGGCGTTGACTCTCCTAGGAGTGGATGTGGGACGCTGACTTTGGTCCTCGGAAGGGTGAGAAACGGCTCTCGTGGAATGACAATGAAGGCTTTCACCGTGTGGATGCTCCGTTCCAACTTCCTGATTGCCGCCTTCTGTTCGATTGCCTCGTTACTAGAATAGAAGGTCGAATCCGACAAGGAAGAACAAGGAAGCCCGAGTCCCGATCAATCTCTGCGTCCAGAAGAAACATGGATGGATGGAGAGAAGATCCACAACAACCAACGACTATCTACAAGCCTTCATCGACCGTACTTTACGAGGATTTCTCATCATCTTGAAATTCTTACGGCATTTAGACCTGCAAACATGTTTCCGCATTAGTTAATGATAACAAAACCAATCCTCAACTCAGATGTGCTATAGGAATCGCCACCAGAAGCTTGTCAAAAGCTCACTTCCAACCTTTCGAATGAAGCGAGGAGCATGCATATGAGAACATAATAGCCTTGCGTAAGATAAGGTCAAATAGGCAAGCCATGCCTTCAAATTTGAGAGGGTGTACGATCTAAAAATAGTCGGTCAGCTGGATGGATGGAGACGGGGAGCCCTCCGGCGCGGGGGAAGAAGAAGGGGAAGAAGAAGAGGTCTCTTGTGTTGATTTGGTAATGGAAAATAGAATCTTTGCATAAAAATAGGATGTGAGATCCAGCCAAAGGGAAAAAGACAATTGAATGTGAGTGGATATTCAAGAAGAAAGAAGCCACATCGAGAAAAAAAAAAAAAGAGATCAAAGTTTAAAGTTTAATTAGTAGCAAAAGGATAATCATAGGTGAAGGGAATTGGTTACAATGAAATCTTTTCTCTAGTGGTAAAGTATCCATCAATAAAAGTGGCATTAGTCATTGTTGCACAAGAAGACTTCTTCTTCTTTCTTCTTTCTGATCCTTACTACTAAATATACTCAAAAGCTCATAATGTGCCCTCCTAACTCTGAGGTAAAATGCTCAGAATTCAATGAGAGGAGAAGCAGGTGGACTTATAAATGTAATTTTCAGGGGCGAACCTTAAATTAAAAAGAACACAAATTAAAGAAACACTTGAGAATATGTGAAACATTGTGTCTTTTCTTATTCTTTAGGAAGTGAGGTAAATCTCTCTTTGAAAGCAGGGTTTTAAACACAATAGTAAGCAAGATATCATATAAGGGTATAACAATAACTTTATATAGTACTCTTATAAAAATATCAACAACTAAGAGGTGGTATGGAATTGAAGTGAACACAATTCAACAATGAGTACATACATAAAACTTCATACTTTATTAGTTTGGTTGATATTATTGAATTGATTTGAGTATCTATTCCTATTAGTGGATATTATTGTATGTAATGGATACTAGAAATATGCACATATTTAGATATAATAAACATGAAAAGTAATGCACACAAAAATTTAGATGTTTCAACATCCAGCTTATGTTTGTTATCACAAGGCCTCCTTACTTCTTGGTTTTCGTTAGTATTTCTCAAATATTATTTCTAAATACCAAAATAATACAAAATAATTTTTGATGCTAAGTTAGTAACAACCAAACTACAAACTTTTTTGGCTCTGTCCCACCATATAGTCTTTCATGATAGTATCATCTTCGCACAAGCCTTATGGCCTTTCCCACCAAGTACCTAGTTGTCAAACTCATGCTCACGTGCACTACATAGACAAACTCAATACCCATCTCAAGGGGATTATATAAAATTTCAAAATACAAAAATTAATCCTCAAATATATTATCACATAATTTATTATTTGTTGACATCCGACTTTGTGATACAGCTGATGTTATTCTTATGTTATGCTGACTTTGATCCATTGTTTGATTACTTGGGTAACTTTGGATCACTCTCAAACTTGAATGTATTGAACATCAATGATCCTTCTTGTCATTTAAGCTCTCAAATGGCTTGTAGATTCATTATTGTAAGGGTTGATAGGTTGTTGAAGCTCTCCCTCTTTTCTCTCTCTCTCTCTCTCTCTCTCTCTCTCTCTCTCTCTCTCTCTCTCTCTCTCTCTCTCTCTCTCTCTCTCTCTCTCCCTCCCTCTCACTCTCTCACTCACTCACTTATGGGGAGTTGTCCTCTTCTTCCATGGTTTAGTTCTGACCCTCCAATGGTCATTAATAACAATTGTAAAGTAGATTGCTAGTTCTAACATCATGCATTTTAAATGTTTTTGAAGAAAATATACTTTAACTACTGTTTTTATATTCACTTCTTTCAGAAAACTTTCCAAAAACCATATGCAATTTCATATATATGAAAAGAATTTAGATCCAAAAAAATGTTTCAATAATCTAGTGTTAGCTTTACTAATAACCTTTAACATGTGAGATTTATAAAATTTGATTTTCAATTCTTCATTTAACCTATTAGATTTACTCTCTTTTTTTTAATAAGCAAGTTAATCATGTAAGAATCTCAATAATCTTTAGGATTAATACCAATAATGAATTTAAAATGAGCTAATAAAAATGATGTGCATAGTGGATTAATCATTACAAAGTTTGGCAATAAAAATTTATAATTATACAATCTGAATTAACTTATGTAGAATTTAACATTAAATATTTAATTTTTGATAAATAAAAGTATCTAAAAATATCAATGTTTAACTAAGATCAATTAAAAAAATTAATCTCTAACATCAGAAAAGCTAAGTCTCTAACCTAGACAAGTAGTGATCAAGAAAATCCTTGTTCCACTCTATAGGTATTGGTAGAGGTTAAGCTCAAGAACTAGCAACAGGGTGAAAGATGGAATTTAGTGTGAGAAATGGGATGAAATGAAAAGGAGTTGTCCAAGTTCACTTGGGTATGGTAGGCTTTGGTGACTCTACCAATGAAAATGGCAATGTAAGAAGATAATAAACAAAACTTTTGTCGTCGACCTCCCTTTGTCCATGCACACATACCAAAATTCCGCATGCATGCACTATGTACCTAATGGAGTGAAGGATATGTGAGTTAGGCTAAGTCTTAGGCCCCAAAAAAATTGGGGGTTGAGCCTAATTAAGGAGTGCAATTTTACAAAGTTTCCAAGCATGATTTGAGAATGTCACTCATGAGATGGCTGGCCCAATAGCCCATGTCCTCTAGCAAACGTGAGGTATGTATTGAGACCATAAACCATTAAATTATCGTAGCCCAAGTCACACAAAGGAGCACAATAGCGTGTCCTCCCTGTATGTGGTGGATTGAGACCGAGAGAAAGCATATAGATGTTACATTTTCTTTTTATCATTATGGAAGGTGATATGGACAGAACAATATCCAAAAGATCTACTATGTAAACATATTTAAATTTTTTAATTAGATTGAATGAGAATAAGAAGAATTAGAAGAAGAACCACATAAATTGAAGGACGAGAGACATACCTGGTGGAGAGAACTCTTGATCACACCTTAACCCCATAGCCAAGAACGAATCAAGAGGGGAAGGTGGATACCTGGTCTTTTTTGTGTAGACTAAAACCGATGTATAAATGTGTAGAAGTGTTATCAATTATTGTGTCAACATGCAAGTCTTACTCAGGACATAAAGATAAAAACACCTAAATTTACAATGATTTGGCTCCCTTGGTCTATTCCCTTGAAAACTACTTTCACAAGTACTATTGTATTGCATATGTGTTCATGGCTATTGTGGGTCCAAGTACACCTAGCACTTGCTTCTTGATTCATAACTTTATGGGCAGACAAAGTAAATAGGCTCTACTTGACTATTTTATATTCACATTTATATTACACCAAACAATATTAGCACTCAACTAGTATCTTATAGATTCACAACTTCTGAAAGACTGGCCACGAATTTTTTTGGATGTTAGATCACTATTTAAATTAATAAGCTTATGAAGGCATGAGTGGCTCCAAGTGCTTGCTACTATAAGTATTTTCCTATCTCTCATAACATTTATGATAAAAATGCATAGATGTTTAAGATTACATCTTTATCCTAAAAAATGCATAAGGTCTTGACTTAGAAGCTTCAATCTATTGGGACAATGCTATTGGAGTTGTTGATTTATATTGCAGCTTAAATCTAACTTTAAGCAATCATACAAGCACCATAGACTTACTAGAAATGTCCCAAAAATGTTGTGAAGAGGATTCTCAATTTTGTCTTATTCATTAAGAATAATTATATATATATAGGCCTCAAACAATCACAATAGCAATGATGTTAATTGTGATGATGGTCACCTTTTTAATGAGCTCAAATTTTAAAAAAATCATTTTTATTTATCATTTCCTTCTTACTCATATGCAAGTCAAGGTGAGTCAATTGACTTGTTTAAAAATCCAAACTAACTTGAAATATATCCAATCAATCTCAAGTTTTTCATT